GGTTAGTATCCCTTGCATTCTCTGCATTGACTTTACTCACGGGTGCGCGCCCATTGGTAGAATACCCGCTGTCGCGTCTCCTTCAAAGATGAATCGAAGAATGAGACGGGCGCCGGGGGAACTTCCTCGCCTTCCAATGCCTCGATTTTGGCAGTCATACTGGGCTCGAAGGTGAATAGGTGAAAATTTGCGAAAGGTACATATAAGTAGTGATGCCACGACGTTGCTATGCGACGACCGTTTCCGGCGATGTAGTTCGGGTATTCCACTTCGGGAAAGTCCCTGGCTTATCTCCTAGGGACTAGCAGATCTCATTGAGCAAAAGAGAATTGGACACGAATTTCTTCAAGGGTAAGTTTTCGATAGTATATCTCAGAGGCTAAGCCCGTATGTCGGAAAGTGTATATATCCGGCCAATTTTGGTGGACTGGCGATTGAACACAACGACCAAGTATGAATTGCTCTATCATTCGAGCGTTTAACGCTTTAAATAATTCCATGAATGATAGTTTTAGGGTAGCGACCGACGAAGCTACTAGGACAGGTAGATGTGTCGCCCCAAAAGCACAAGAAACGACTGAGGGTTGCACTTAATCTTCGGGAAAGTTTCCGGATATGGTACCGTAGGCGTCTTCAGGACTCAGGGTATACGATTGGTGCTACAACAAGGGTCATAAGTGTGCGTTCAGAGCGATGAAGTATTGAATAGACGCGAGTATATTGTTTCATACATTGTTTTCGCCCTACTTTGACCTCTCTTTTTCACCTCCTTTTTGCCCGTTTCCCAGCGCCACGGGCTATAGTTGTTTAAAAATGGGGATCTGAACGGATGTAATTCTCAAGTGTATACCTTTGCAAAGAGATTACAAAATGCAAGGACCAAGCTGCAAATGAAGCAATCCAGCCCAACCCAACCACAATGCGACATAGCCTGATTCACATTAAGTGCGGGAACCCTAGTAAATTAAGCGTTTGGCTATCTTCAGGGACCAATCATCCCTTCACGCCCGGGAACTAGCCCCCGGGGTATATGTATCAGGTTGCCCGCCCTTGCGTGTCCCCGTTTCAAAAGGCCGACCCTGCAGTAAGCTTACAGGGGTAATCCGTGCATACAAGTACAGTCAACTCTCGCTTATACCACGGTGGGATATTGCACATTCTTGATAATAACACATCCCTTGCTTGGATGGCCCCTTCATTCCAGTTTTTTCCATATAAATTGACAGAATATAACACATTTTGTTTTACCACACTTTCTTCCTCTCAAATCTGCTTAGTCAGCGCAATCAACCAATCAGAATGCCTCAATCTACAAGCTCTCCTACCCTCCCGACCCCACCCAAGCGCGTCAGAATGGGACCAAAGCGTACCAAATTGGGTATATCAGACGCGCAGAAACAGGCACTACGGGCATTTTGGTCTAATACTAGCCCAAAGCCCACGCAGACTGCATGTGCTAAGTGGTTTGAGGACCAATTCAAACAAGTGATTGACCGGTCAACCATATCAAGGATCCTTTCATCCAAATACAATTATCTTGATACGGGCCCTGCAGGGGCAAACAAACGATCTTCATCCTCTCATTGGCCATTATTGGACCAAAAGCTATATGACTGGGCAGATAACCATATTGGCAATGGAATACCAATAAATGGCCCTTTGATCCAAACTAAAGCAGCTGAGCTTTGGAGACAAATACCGGAATACAAAGATCGGACCAAACCTCAATTCTCTGAGGGTTGGTTAACTCGCTTCAAACAACGCCACTCTCTTCAATATCATACTTTCCACGGAGAAGCTGCCTCAGTCCCATCCTCGGTACATGATCAGATCAAAAGCACCAAATCGATTTGCAATCAATTCAAACCGTCCGAAATCTACAATATGGATGAAACTGGCCTATTTTGGCGACGTATGCCAAATGGTGGTCTTTCAAAGGGAAAAATTGCTGGCAAAAAGCTTGATAAAACACGAATCACTATTGTTGTTGCATCAAATGCGGATGGTTCCGATCGAGTCCCTTTATGGTTGATTGGCACAGCAAAAACCCCTCGCGCACTCCGGGGGTTAATTTCCGAGCTCTGGGATGTGTTTGGCGTCACAACAAGGCAGCATGGATGCGTCATGACATTATGGAGGACTGGTTGCGATCTTTCTATGGGCGTATTCCCTTAGATAAGAAAGCTTTGCTCCTTTTAGACAATGCTTCACCACATGTTATTGGACTCCAGCGAGCGCCACCACCACCCCGGATTACGGTTGTTTTTTTGCCAGCAAACGCAACTTCAATTTATCAACCCTTGGACCAAGGTATTATCCAAAACTTGAAGCACCATTATCGGAAGAAATGGATGCGCTATATGATTGCTTTTCTTGATCGTGGGATAGACCCAAAACAAAGAATGAGCATTTATTATACTGTTACCTGGGTAACGCAAGTTTGGAGAACAAGTGTATCAGACCAAACGATTATCAATTGCTTTAAACAAAGTACTTTGATTAGTCCAAAGTCTATACCTATACCTGAGTCCGCGCCCGAGTCCGCACCTGAGTCTGCACTATTTTCCGAGCCCGGATTGAGTGATGAGATTGAAAGTCTATATAATCAAGCAATTGATAAGCTTGGTGATAAAGATATTGTGCCATTTGACGAGTTTTTGAACCCTTCGGACGAAGACATGTTAGAAGATGGGACTGAAGGGCGAGATGAGACCAATGAGCAAGATATATATATTGCCCCAACAACCTCAGAAATTCAGGATATTGACATTGATGGGCCCCCACCTGAGCTTCTGTCTAATTCTGCTATATTGGACAGCCTCCAGGATATCCTACTATGGGTTTGTAGCAAAGAAAAGGGTACCTCGGACCATATTAGACAAATTGAGAGCTTAATCAGCGACTTTGGCAGGATTCAGATTGATGAGAAACGTCAGGTGACTTTGGATCAGATGATGGGATGGAAGACTAAATAGGTATTAGGGCTTAGAGTTAGCTTGTCAAATATTATGTCATCCTCTCACCAAAACACAACTCAATTATACCACGTAATTTGGCTTGGATAGTATGCTGTGGTATAAGCGAGAGTTGACTGTAGTTGATTTGATCTGTACATCAAATCGACGGGATAAATGTGAGGGGAAAGTGTACGCGTACGGAGCAATTTCTGCCCCTATCGCGCCATCTCCTGGCCGCATAGACCTCCAGCGCCGGTGAGCGAGACGGCGCATCCCTGAACACACAGACCACAGTGATCGACATCCTCAAGACAGGCCTCCAGCACTGAGAGCATAATATGAAGAAAAGCGCAGACACGAGAATGGAATGAAGATCGTTAATTCGTTTCATTTGTCTAAAGGGTATCATTAAAATTCTATCTATATTCCGCGCCCGAGGGATCAATGAATGTCCGACGTAAAACAACGAAGCCAAAAAAAAAAAAATTTGAAATCGCGCAATAGATCCAAAGCCAGCCTGAGATCATAAATGACACTATTCAAATGTCTCCGTAGAAGTGTATTGTATCGCATTCACTCGCAGGTCACCTGGTAAGAGCCGTACCGGCGTCGGGGACCGGCCATGCGGCATGTGTTGGTGGAAGTGATCTGGCCAGCGACATCGGAGAGCTCGGTCTCGTCGCACATTGTGTTATCGAAGAATTCGATGCGACAGCCCTCGGCGACGGAGTGGAGGGTGTAGGCGGAGGCGACGCTGTTGAGGTCTGCGCGACAGCCTGTACTCCCAGAGCCGGCGTGGGGGTCGCCGGTTGCGTTGCAAGAGGAGGTTGGGAAAAGCGTGAAGGACCATTCGACTTCGCGGCTGATAAGGGGGAAGGCCGCTGTCATGTTGATGAGGAAGAGGGTTGCGGTTAGGAAGCACAGGCGGAGAGAGGAGGGCAACATGTTGGTGGGGTGGTAGTAGTTGCTTGAACGAATGTATATGGAGGCCTGGCCTTTAGGGAATATAGAACACGGAGATCAAAGATCAGAGATCAGAATAGGGTCTGGAGTCTTTAAATATAAGTTCAACGATTTCAGGGACCAGTCTCCAGTTTAATATACTGTGTGGATCCACAGACATTTTGGGTTCCGCTCCCTTTTCGGTTTCAGCCACCGATTACGTTCATGGGCATACGTATACTTGGCCTTGGCCCTGCACATTTTCTGACATGCATATACATAAATTCCATCTCCGCACTCTCTCGTGTGCTTACGCTTAAGCATAGCAACAACGTTGACTACGAGCCCCGACAACGGTTCATTCCCAATGACCTCATCCCGAACGACGATCATTTAGACTATTTTGGGGAGGTGGGGAGCGCTGTCTTACGCAGACGCGTACGTACCCTCCATCAGGAAGGGCATCGGTGGCCTGGGAATGATCTGTGGCAGGGTCCAGTCGCTCTAACTCACCAGTTCTTCCTCTGAATTTCTATTTTCGTTCGGGGGGCAAAAACATACGATCTCGGGGTGGCTGGGCAAAAATCAAGTGGCAACCATGCGGCTGCCATCTGAGCGATCGGCGAAGTGAAATTTTTGTTGCGATCGACATGCAATCTAGTTTCTCTTGTTTTGATTGACATCTACCATGGTCCAGTTTATCTTGTCTTTACCAGTGACGCCTCCAGGTACCAGGGCCAGAATGTTGTACCCACAATTTTAAATATTAAAAGATTTCAGATCGAGAGATCATTTCTACACGTGGGATGACTTATCGGCTTCCCGGTCTCGTCGACTGTTATTCCGAGGATCGGCAAGGTATTGTCAGGTGAAGTCGAACCTTGGTATCCTCACGATACTATGCGAAATACAGCAAAACAAAAAGTTACATTTTTACTCACTATCATTCCATTGTATCATTATCCATCATAAGACCCGTTTGAGCATCGGGCCTGAGGCTTAATCCCATTCTGAGTCACTACATCCACACTCCCCAGTTGTAACTCCCCAGTTCTAACTCACCTTTCAAATCACCCAAATACAAAATACAACACATTCAAAATGGAATATTACTTCTTCTACGGTAGCCTCATGGACCGTCCCAAGCTCGCCGAAATCCTAGAAAAACCGGGCTGGCATGAACTCCACTCGGCGAAAATCGTTGGCTGCGACTGCAAGATGTGGGGAGAATACCCGGCTCTAGTGCGTGGATCGCCAGAGGACGTCATTCACGGCATGGCGTTTGAGGTTCGGACGAGCAAGGAACGAGATAGTCTGATCGCTTATGGGACCGCTTATGAGACTGGTGCCTACGATCTCCAAGATTGCGTTATTGATCTCGATGGTAGAGGTCGGGTTAACGGGAAGACGTTCGTTTGGAACGGAGAATTTTCATCGCTTCGTGCTGGAACATTTGATTTGAAAGATTGGAAACTGAATCAGGAACGTTCCTAGCTTTGTTGAGGCCCACTCGTCGATATCTAAACTACCTTCTTGGGTCATGCATCGTATCGTGAATTGATATTTTTTTTGCGAACTGAAGCAGGATCATCTATATTTTTTCAGCGTGCTATTTCTGCAATCTGTTTTGCTTTGCTATGCCTCTAGTATTTTGCTCCTTTCGACCTCCCCTGTTACATGTCACGGGGCACGGAAATAGATTAACTTGCTTATTAAGACGTCAATATCAATATTAAGTACTCTTTTGATCAAAGCCACAGTTCGTCCAGTGAACCCAATAACAGTGCTGTTTATTTTTTCACAAACACACTCTCAGTTTCCAGCCAAGTCTCAAAGTCCTTGAGACCTGGATGGATCTTCTTGACCTCTTCCACATCAGCGCCAAATCCCTCATCGTGAAACCACTTAAACATATACCCCATATCTTTAACCACAGCCATAAACAACGCAGTGAGTGGTCTCCAAGTGGTAGGCAGCGTCTGCCCAGTCCTCTTCTCGAAGATTTGCTTAAACTGAGCATATGTCAATTCGTCACCTGCCAGAGAGATAGCACGTCCTTTATACGCATTCGCATTCATAAAGACCTCTGCCGCAACAGCGCCAATATCGCTCACTCCAATCATCTGCAACGGTGCCCCCTTGAGAACCATTTCAAAAGCCGTGGTAAAGATTTTGCCGAAGAAGTCTGGCGTGAGATTATCATAGAAAGCAGTCGGGCGTAGAATCGTCCAATCCATATCGCCATCCTTTGTATTTGCCAATAGGTGTTTCTCTATATTGTATTTGTGGATGAAGTGCGGGATTTGGGTTGAGTTGTCTGTGGATTTTGCACCGCCACGATCAACTGAGCTGTAGACGAAATGCTTGACGCCGTGTTTGATTGATTCGTCAATGATTGATTTTCCTTGGGTCTCTTCCGAAGCGCCGTTTCCAATTGCAACCTTCAATAATCGGTTGTTAGCATAATGCTTCCTAATAAGAATAGAAGAAATGGATATGTAATGGATATGAAATGGGCTGTTCATACTTGGACACTGAAAACACCCCATATTGGCTGGGTGGTCAGACCCCGTGCTTTCTTGAATAGCTCTGCGGGGTGGTCTAGATCGCCTTGTACGAGACTAATCTTGGATGACTGCTGTAACAACTTTTGCGCGGAGGGAGACTGAATGTTGCGGGTGACTGCCAGAATTTGGAAAGGCGCATTCTTGCTAAGGAGATTTTTGATTAGTGAGCCACCTTGTTTGCCAGTAGCTCCTATAACGAGGATAGTAGACATTTTGATGAATACTGAGTATGCAGAAATATACAGCTGTGGATACAGTAATGCAGATTCAGGCAGTGCGACCAGTCCCTTTTTATATTCTTATCCCTACTTTGACATGGAAAACTGTACTCCTGACAAATGAGCGCGGCGCTTTCAAATCCTCGAAGTCCGAGACCCGAAGCATGTCATCCCTGAGTGTGGGTTCGGGCGCTAGTTATTTTAATGCCGAAGTGGGGTCTTGGTCATCCACCGTCCGCGCCCACTTCATACTAGAAAGTTTAAGTGCTCCTTTTTTGAGGACAAATGAGTACTAGGTGTGATGCCTTAGATATCCCTGCCAGGCTATGCTTGCCTAAGGTGCGGTTTGCTCACTTCTTGCTTCACTTTTTGTCTCTTGTTTGCTCTAGTCCATGTGGGTCCCTAGATATATATCTATGCCCACATCTCAAATAAAAAATTGCTTGACCATCTTCTTTTTCTTCTCTGTCTTCTTCTCTCACTCTCTCAGTTTAGTCGCCTGTCCTATCTACGACGCTCATCTCGCTGCCAAAAAAAAAAAAAAAAAAAAAACTGGTACTTGCCTTAGACTTGATATTGATCCGCTAGACATATCTAGCTAACGAACCGACTAGTTAATATAGTCACTTCTTATAGTCCAGCATCATTGGTTCGGCGCATAAGCTCGCGGCTGACAGACACAGAAGCAGCACAGAATTAATTCTTAGTAACGACTGCGGCACCTGATGCTGGGGTATCTGACGTGACGATGACCACGTCTGGCTGAATGTTGCCGGCGGGCTTAATGCCAGCGGGAGTGCTGCCCACATTGAACCCCTTTGGATTGGCGGGGATACGCCGGCCCCCATATAGCTCGAACTTGTCTAACTTGGTCGAAAAGCCGCGGAGCTGTGGATATGGCAGACGTAGTGGCATCCTGGATGAAGAGAGAATGCAAAAGGCACGTGTCGCCTCCAACGTGATAAGAAATTAAATACGTATTCCCCAAAGATCCCATGATCCAGGTCAAAGCCCACCTTGAGGCCAAGCAGGTGCAGGGTATTCGCATTCTCATTGGTGGATTCATGGAGACCAATCTTCAGTCCGCTTTTCAACATCTTTGATCCTCAGACCAACACCTTCCGCTTTTGGAGTCAGGGTGATGAGGTTATGGAAGGGACTACTTATGACAATGCTGCAGAGTTTACCCCAGCTGTTTCGGTAGATTCTGGTGCCATCTGGAATCATGCAATGTAAATGAAACACTATTGGCTACTTGTCCTTGGCTTTCTGTAATCCGCGAAATTGCTCAGTCTTTCGAAACTGTCTATGGTGTCAAGCCTAGCCTGCAGAGTCGTATCCGCATCAGCGCATCTACTGTGAGACAGTAATCTGCAACTGACACGGGCGACCTACAGCATCTGCACGGAATCAACATGTCCATAAATCATATGCAACATACCTGTTCCCCGCACCTCAGGCTCGGCCTGGATTTTGTGTTTGATGCGAGACTATAATTGATCGACATGGATGCATACATGGATCCAGTATGCATGAAAAGAGGGTCTATTAAGGTCTTTTTTCTTGCGATTGAGATTCTGAGCGGCTGCTACATATAACAAAAAACAGATCTAAATCCTCTATGCTCTAATATCATCCTAGGGACTCTGGTATCTTCAGCTAGCTGTTAGCGTTCCTAGGTCAGCGATAGAGAAGGGTCCTGCATGAACGTATATCAATGCCAAAGGTGGCTCATCGCAACTTAACTACGCCGCCTGTTGAGATATGTCCCATTCCGAATCCTTTGCGCTTCACGCGAGCTCGGTAAAATATGTAACTACGCCTTCCAATTTGTCAGTGAAACATGTATGTTTGCTGATGACAAAGCCCCTGCATAGGTATTGCGCAATGGTTCACTATACGTACGAATTGGCTTCGCTCGCAGCGCAGGGGAAAGAATGCGGTGTGTATCAGCTTCGTGTTTGATCTAAGCCTGTGAGGTATCGTGCATGAAGCCCATGCTACAGTTCTCAATAGCTTAGTAAAAGTGGGTAGAGAACCTGCAGGATAGAGGCCCAAACGCCGATCCGTCTTCCACGAGTAAAAATTTGTCAACTGCAAGAGTATACAGAGTGGTCGGGAACATGGATACTTAATTTATGATATAGACTGACTCACCCTCACCCTCCCCTCCCCCTCCTCCGCCGCCGCACCAGACCAAAAGTCAAAAAAGACAGTTTATGATCATTTTCAGAAACGCCCTCATTTTTGGTCCTACATACTCTCTTTGGAAATGGCAGCTGTCGCCCCACAAGTACTTCCTACCACAGCGAAGCGAGACTTTACCTCGTTCTACAATGAGTGCAACTCTGCTCCCCGCATAAACCAACTTCTCAACTGGTTCGAATCCACTGCCCGGGGTCAGACCGGGCGGACAATAAAGAACCCAGAAGTCGACAAAAGATTGTTCGACAAAGCATTGCTGGAGCAAAATGGCGAGCGATTCGCTCAGTTCCTGGAGGTCTTTAATACCATAAAGCAATCTTCGCTTTTTGTGAACCACTATTATGCCAGTATTCCCTATCGGATTGAGGAAAACTGCCGGCTTGGAAATGCAATTATTCACTACAGCCAGCAACTGCCTAGCCGTCCACTTTTGTATCGCTCTGTCGGTACCGGTGACAGTAGCATGGCACGCTCTGTCGCCGAATTTGCTGAAGGGAGCGTGGAAGTCCTCTGCTGCAGCCCTAATGAGATGAGCGCACTCAATTTTGCGATTAACGGAGATCCGCCCCGCGCCACCTTCTTCCATGGGCCTTTCCACCGCCTGACAGACGAAGTGATGAATTCTCGCGATGACCTTGCCAAGTTTGCTTCCGGATTCGACATCATTGTCGAAGATACGACGTTTCAGATGTACTCGCCAAACCGCGACGAACAAGTTGGGTTTGTGGTCCAGTCTCTGAAGGAGGACGGTATCTTCGTTTTCGTCGAGAAGTTTCGACATGCAGACATAGACGAATATGAGCGGCGTGAGTTACAGAAGGATTACGGATTTAAAGCGCGGTACTTCAGTAGTAGTGAGGTCGCAGCGAAAGGAAAGGACGTTCTTGTTACTATGAGTCAAAACCAGGTCACACTTGACGATATGGCGGCTATCCTCCATCGATACTTCCGGCATTGCTCGATTACTTGGAACAGCGGCAACTTCTACACTCTTGTGGCTAGCAACAACCAGGTGAATCTTGATCGTTTTGTTGCTTGCCTGGGTGCACCGGCCATCCCCAAGAAGTTTGAATACGAAGATAATCTGCCTCGGTCACTTTTCTGATACGGGAGAGAATATGACAAGGGCAAGTTCGCGGGCATTGACTGCAAGAAGAGCTTTTTGGATTTCAATATAATTTGCAAATACCTGGGCAATGTGTGCTAGCAAAGAGGATCGGTTAATAGCAAGAGGTAGCCGTGGGTCCTCCTAGTATTTAAGCTACAAAGCTACAAACACTCATTCGGCCTATTCAAATGCCCTAACAAGCAGAGAAGTCCCTTATATTAGTATATCGCCTCATAAGCGTGCCTATACCAGCGTTATATGTTTCGCAGGGCGTATAACTTGTCATGCTCTGGGTGTAGACAATGTATAGAGTGAACCAATAAGGATTCCAGGAAACAAGACCCACAACGAATTCACGTGTAGTGAATCATCCATCCGTATCAGATACAGATATCCTCCATTTCCTTATACATATACATCACATAGTCCCTGGAAATGAACAACCCAGTAGCCGAAAATGTGCTCGGCACTCTAGGCGCGGTACGCCGACAACCCACACCCCCGTCAACCCCCAGCTAACACGTCCCGTGTATAGGTTTGCTGGTCGATCCAGGTATGTAAATCCCAATTTGGACACAAACATAGTGGCACACACTTACATGTATATCCACCAGCTTCTCCCTCAGATTATTATCAATTACAGGAGACATGATACCGAAGGCCTCCAAGGATCCATGATGCTATTATGGGCCTCAGCGGGTGTTCCACTGGGCGTGTACAACATCGTTGAAGAATTTAACATTGCGCTTCGGGTTCAGCCTCAGATATTGACAACTTTGAGTTTGATTACTTGGGCTCAGTGTTTGTATTATGGGAAGGTAGGTTATATGTGTTACTTCGTCTATTGGCTTATTCTGACTTTATTAACTAACGTTAACTCTGGGTTAGAAATACTCGATCGTGAAATGCAGTGCTGCGGTTACTTCCCTGCTTCTGATACTAGGTGGTATTGAAGTAGGGCTTGTTTTTGCTTTGCGCGCTGCAAAGGATCAGGAGCTTGAGTGGCCTCTTGTTCTTATGGCCGTTTTGAGCGCTTGTCTGCTTGCCGCTGGTGTTCTAACACATTATTGGGATATCTATGTTCACCGGACTGTTCGGGGGATTAGCTTTCTCTTTGTTGGTATTGATGCTGCTGGGGATTTGTTCTCCCTGGTCTCTGTTCGTAAGTTCAAGCTTTCAAGTTGAAGAGGTATTTGCTGACTTTGTGTTTAGTATTTGGGCGGTCTATTGATGTTCTAGGGATAATCATTTATGGCACGGAATTGGTATTGTGGATTGGTATATTTATCTGTGGGGGTATTTTCAACCTCTTCCCTTGGATCAAGAAGCGATCCAGCAAGCGCGCTCTTGATCAAGAGCCGGTTCTTCTACATCCGATGCCATCATCAACGTCTGTGTTTAGGACTGCATCTGGATCTCAGGTCGTGGAAAGGAGAGCATGGCAGAACTCATCATGAAATGCCATGTTACGTATGAAGATCCCTCGGTACTAGAATATATGAATCGAAAGAAAAATACAACCTTGAAATGATCATAGATCAAGATGGATTGAAAGTGAGAGTCCCAAACATTTTTCTACTCTATGTGGCGTAAATATTCATGATCAGGAAAGCCAAAGGCTACCCTTCATCTATATAGTAGGCAAATAATTTAAGCAAAGGCCTTGGCCTCGCCGTCCTTCAGCTTGCCAGCGTCAACAAGGCGCTTGGCCTCACCAGCCCAGGCAGACTTGACGGCAGCACCGTCCTTGCCAGCGATGGTGAGCTTCTCGGCGAGAACAGCGAGCTCATCAACGTCAATCTTGGCCATGATGAGGTCGACATCGGTAAGGACAGCGTCGACCTGAGCGGCAGTGGGCTCACCGGAGGCGGCGAAGTAGTTAACGTCCTTGACGGAGCTCTTGAGAATACGCTTGTTCTTCTTGGAAGCGTTCTTGGCGGCCTCCTTGGCCTTCTTGTTCTTCTCACGGTCAGCCTTCGCAGCCTCCTCGGCGTCCTTCTTGCGCTGCTCCTCGTCGGCCTTGGCCTTCTCCTTCTCCTCCTTCAGGCGCCTGATCTCAGCCTCCTTGGCAAGACGCTTAGCGTCCTTGCCGGCACGGGCCTGCTGTTTGAACTTCTTAATACGCTCATCGGAAGCGAGACACTCGTCAACCAACTCACGCAGACGGACGGTGTCCTCAGTCTTACGCTTGCGGCGGGCGTTGGCGTTTTTCTTCTCGACGTGACGCTTCTGGTCACGGCTTTCTCCATCATCGGGCACATCCTCATCGAGGTACTCGAAGGTCCTCCAGCTGTCGAGATTGTACCAGAAGTTGTAGAAGGTCTCAACGTGCTCCTGAGTGCTGTTTTCGTCACCGAGCTGGGGCACGGGCTGCTTGTTGGAGAAACGACCCTCGGCCTCGAAAACGGGGCCCCAGGCCTTGTAGAACTTGCTGCCGGTCAGCTTCTTGGTAGGAGGCTCAACCTCAGCGGCCTCATCGACGGAGTCGAACTGGCGACGGCGGGTGGGGTCCAGAAGCAGATCGGTGGCCTTCTGGATACACTTGAAGAAGCTGTCATTCTCATCACTCTTGCCCATGGCAGCCTTCTTGTCGGGGTGGTGACGCAGGACCTTCTTGCGGTGGGCCCGCTTGATCTGATCGGGGGTAGCACGGTAACGGTGCTTGGATAGACCGAGAACGGCGTAGTGATCTTGGCCCTGTAGAGAGTTAGGATGCATTTATAAGACAGAAGTGCTGAGATACGAACCTTCCAGTCCTTGGCCTCACGGGCGAGCATCATGGGATCCTCATCCTCGGAGATGTCATCATCCTCCTCGACCTCAGTCTTCTTAACGTTGTGCTGGGCCTGGATACGCTCATCCTCGGAGAAAGTGCGGTTGTTGCGCTTCTATAAGGCTTTTAGCTTCGAGCAGACAAAACAACAGTAAAATAATGAAGCGGAACTTACTCTGCGGGCGTGAGCCAGGAAGTGCGGGCCAACAGGCTCCACGTTGCGCTGAGTGGCACCAGAGAGGGCACCAACAATCTTAAAGTCCTTCTCACCAGTCCAGCCCTCAGGCAGGGTAGGGAGAGTAGCGTTGACAACTTGAACAGAGGCCATTGTTGACGGTATTGGTGATGGTCCCAAGTTGTGTGTGGAGCGCTGAATGTCCCGCGTTGATTTTTTTGCATACCTTTTTTCTGCCCCGAATTGCCGCCTCTCTGACCAATCACGGGTTAGACGATCCGGAGATTCGAGACTCGGGCGTCACGCTTCTCTTCTTTCTGTTGCATACATTACATCTGTATATTTTCTTTGTGGTGAAATCCAGCGAGTCATAATGTCCACTGCAACCGCCGTCTCCGCGAAGAGTGCCTATCGCCAACTCCTCCGCGCCACTCGCGTTGTCTTCCACAGTTCGTTTGCCAAACCTGATGTGCCATTCTGGCATGCTCTTTCCCTTTACTGACAATTTATTTGAAGATGACCTCCCCGTCCTCCTTGCTGCTCGGCAGGAAGCCCGCCAGACCTTCGAGAAGAACCGCCGTCCGGCCGTCGATACTGGCATGCAAATCAACCATGCGATCGAGGTTGCCAACATTCTGCGCCACAACATCGTGCAAGGCTCGAGAGAGAAGGATGATGAGAATGCGAAGTGGGGTATGTACAGATATGACTTGAGATCCAACCCCCAGGGACTCTGCGGCTTAGGAGTCGACTGATGGCTAACCCAGCAATTGCCACAGAACTCAACATCCACGAACAGATCGAACGCGGTGATAACGACTCCATTAAAGTTGGCGGGCAGGATGTGAAGATCCACAAGGCTTGTTCCTCATGAATGACAGATACAGTGTCATCATGCTTGGTTCAAGCGAAATCTCCGAGTCTACCAAGTGTCCAGAAAGACGTCTACAAGGCATCTGGGTAAAGCCGATTCTCTAATTACCTATGTGGAAGCCAAGGCATATGGATCTACAGATAAAGCTAGGACAGTGACCGGACATGTATAATAAGATACCCGACTCTTTTATTATCATTGGCGTCCCCGGGGTATTTTTGATTTAAGTACATAGATCTGCATAAAATAAGCCCAATCCTTGTTAACGCCCGCTCCGAACCTAAGTTACATGCAACCTCAATCTGAGCAATGGCAAATTCTGCGACTTTCGTTCCGTAGTTATGTTCAGTCGCCATTCATGCTGGCGTACTGGACCTCGCTGGATCCAGGCGGTGGTGCGACAACATGGGTCCGATGATGTTCCTGGCCCGCGCTCTCTCCTGCTGTCACAGCTCGCCTGTCGATTTGCTTTCCCTTGCCAACAGATCCCACAGTCTGGCGGCCCTCGCGGGCGTTCTTCATTCTCTCCTCGCGATCCAAGTTGTCGAGAGACTTAGGCTTACCCCAGCGGACACGGAGTGGGCAGCCTTCGATGATGGCTTTGCCCTGGCAGTGGGCTGCCGCGGCTTCGGCATCCGCACGAGTGACGTAGTTAATGAAGGCACAGTGGGCGCGATGAGAGCAAATAAGAGATCGGAGCTGACCAAATTTGCTAAAGAACGTGCGCAGGGTGTGTTCGGGAAGGTCATCCTCTACGCCTGTGACAAATAGAGAAAGGACATTGGGGTCCGCGGGAGGAAGAATGTCCTCAGCCGAGGGCGGCAGCTGTGCGGTGCTGGGGAATGGACGACCACCGCGACTTCCACCACGGCCTCCACGGCCTGGGAGGCGGTTGCCGACGCGGCTTTCACTGGTGCGAATAGGACCGGGACCATTTCCATACCGGCTGTTTGTTCGGGGTTGCTCCGTCGATGTCGACTGCTCTGCTCCCTCTCCTTCGGCAGGTCCCTCGATCCGGCGTGGCTTGCGGTAGTATGGTTCACTGTTGGCGAGGCGGCGCAACAGCTCGCGAGCTTTGTCATCGGTCTTTTCATATTCTTCGATGGCACCGCGGCCTTCCTCAATTTCCTTCTCGTGGTTTTGCGCATAGAATTCACGGTTGATAGAGCTTTCTGGACCCGGGGCAACCATCTTGAGGGCCGCATCACGGACGACAATGGGCAGACCGAACGAAAGATCGAGCATGCAGCATTGGCAGCAGTTCTTCAGGCGCGCGCATGTCAGACAGATAATAGATCGCTTTTGGCGCGATGTTCGATCGGCCTTCCAGCGGAAAACGGTGAAGGGGCGTGTGCACTATCCGGAAGCAGTCAGTATGAGCTCAAGGGTAGCTGGGAGGGTGAGCACCAAAAACTTACAATCTTGCATTCTGCGCCATGGTCTTCCTTAATCATCTGCACGTATGGGTTCTCGGGAAGGCAGTTCTCGCAGACGGACGGGAAGTCGGTAGACTCCCATCCCGAGCGATTTAGGTCATGCTTAATTTGGGGAGGCATGACGGAAGCGATGGAATTGGTGTCCGAGAGGTGGTCTGAGAGAGGATGGATTATCAAGATTGAAGTGGCGTGTGGCTGGTGTAAGTCACGTGCCCGGAAACTGGCCAGTCCGGCACCGCCACAGCCCGGAACTGCCAACTCCCGCCGACAAAAAGAGTGTGGCCACCCCAGGTCTCTCAGGGGGTCCGTGGGTGATTGTCAAAAAGTTGCTTCGGATTCGACTGTATTTATTTTCCCCCCTTTACCTTCTCCAGTCGCTCTACTTCACTACCTGCTCTTTTCCTTCTCTTCTTGGTACCTCCCGTTCAATTGGTGTGCCGTCGTCTTTCCCTTGGAAATTGACCCTTTTTGTTCTACTTCTACCCCTTTTAATCTTCGCAATTCTTCACAATGGCCCCTTCTGCTCTCGAACGTGAGGACGTCGCGCGTGACGCTGCCTTCAACAAGGCCCTCCATGGCAAGTCTGCTAAGGCCCAGGGTGGTCTCGCTGCCATGCGCGGCAAGGACGCCGCTGCGCAAAAGGCTGCTGTCGACGAGTACTTCAAGCACTGGGACAACCAGGCTGCCGCCGATGAGACCCCCGAGATTCGTGAGGTATGAATTGCGAATCGCAAGGCATTGACTATGCGGCTAACATCCTATGTGCGATAGGCTCGCAAAGCTGAATACGCTACCTTGACTCGACAGTATGTTTTTTTAAACCCTTATCCGTTGATCGACACCCCATACTGATAAACTTGTTCCAGCTACTATAACCTGGCCACCGACTTCTATGAGTATGGCTGGGGTTCTTCCTTCCACTTCTGCCGTTTCGCATACGGTGAGCCTTTCCTCCAGGCTATTGCCCGCCACGAGCACTACCTCGCCCTCCAGGCTGGTATCACAGAGAACATGAAGGTTCTGGATGTTGGCTGTGGTGTCGGTGGTCCCGCTCGCGAGATGGTCAAGTTCACCGGTGCCCACGTTACGGGTCTGAACAACAACGACTACCAGATCGACCGCGCCACCCACTACGCCGAGAAGCAGGGTCTCTCTGACAAGATGGCCTTTGTCAAGGGTGATTTCATGCAGATGAAGTTCCCCGACAACAGCTTCGACGCTGTCTACGCCATTGAGGCTACTGTCCACGCCCCCGAGCTCGTCGGTGTCTACAGCGAGATCTTCCGTGTCCTGAAGCCCGGTGGTACTTTCGCCGTCTACGAGTGGCTCATGACTGATGAGTACAACAACGATGACGCCGAGCACCGCCGCATCCGTCTCGGTATCGAGCAGGGTGACGGTATCTCCAACATGGTCAAGATCTCCGAAGGTCTCGAAGCCATGAAGAACGCCGGCTTCAACATCACCCACCACGAGGATCTGGCGGCTCGCCCCGATCCCATTCCCTGGTACTACCCGCTGGCGGGCTCCTTCAAGCACATGGGTTCGGTCTGGGACTTCTTCACCATTGCCCGCATGACCTGGTGGGGTCGCGGTCTTGCCCACCGCTTCGTGGGTGCCGGCGAGAAGATCGGTCTCTTCCCCCGGGGCTCCCAGAAGACCGCCGACAGCCTGGCTCTGGCCGCTGATTGTCTGGTTGAGGGTGCCCAGAAGAACCTCTTCACCCCCATGTACCTCATGGTTGGCAAGAAGCCCGAGTAAATGCTTGACCGGCGTTTGTGATTCTTATGTACAAAATATTACCCTCGGCGTGCACGTTCGCCCCTGGTGTCTCTTTTCTGCCCGCTCATCCTTTTACAATTTCTTCCTCGTTTTCATTCATATGACACCGGGGCACCTTTTCTTGGCTCACTTCTGACCTAGTATTGGTAGAGAACGAGCCACCTGTGCCGCGTTCTCCTGATAGATGGTGATTATTGATTTTTCTTTCTCTTTCTGTTGTTTCTTTTACCTGTCAAGATAGCTATGTAATAGTCATTGAGTCAAGAATAACGAACAAGGGACGGATATTCCGCGTTAATATCATTTATAATTTATTCCGCTAATAGATTCTTCTGTTCTCATTCCTTGACTTGAGTTGTAGTGCAGACGGTAAGGGGGTCGTATTCTAATCTTTGCTCCCAGCCCGAAGCACTCTTGGGGTCCATTGGGAACCTCACTGTAATGTAAGCCTGCCAAAGCGATAAATTAAACCATTGAACAATTGAATAACCAGAATACTGTGCATAGAGTATCTATTACTAGAGATATTACTTCGATGTGTATCATGCTACCTAATTGGAAGAGGTTATAACATTGAGTCAAGATATATATCCGAGGACTACTATGGATTTTTGAACTGCAACAGGAAAACAATCGACTAATAGCCGAGCTATTTGAAATAAAGCCTCTAAAACAGCTGAAACCGACTTCTACATCTCACAAGCAAGAAAACTCTGTTGAAAACCTTGAGAATCAGATGAATTTGCAGCACGGCAAAAGCGTTCATCCTCGGAAGGTGTGGAATCGAACAGACACCTGGATACCGGCCAAAGACTGCAGCGATGTCTTATTATATCACATTTCAAAGTTAACCACGTGATTAATTGACGATCCTGTATAAGTTAACGTTAAGTTAACTTAGCTCACTCATATCCACCTGAGAAATAAGGCTGCAGTTGATAAGTTAAGTTACTCCGTGTACCTTACAAACCCCGAAAGCCAAGATCGAAAGTTGCATTCTCCGTTAGAGTTCTAAAAGCTTCTTTTGTCCCTATACAGTGACATCGGTAATGGCGACGCGTTGTATGGCTGGCGGTGGAGAATACCAAGCAGCCAGTCAATGCCCAGGCGCCAACAACGTGTCTCGGCGGCCCAGGTACCGGGGTTCACCTGACCAACCAGGTGACTGCAATATTTCCGCAAGTAACCCACTCCGCCAACTCGAGTGGCCTTGACTCTTTCAGGCTAGAGAACGAGGGGAACTGCAGCCAGTGAGCCTTGCGCCGATCGAAACGTGGTCACTGGACTGTCCATGTGCCTCACATTCCAGGGCGGCATTGCCCGTCAAATCTCGCTTCCAACACTTCCAGCCGAGAATGCTACATTGTCGCAGCTATAAGATCGCGTGTGTCGCCCGATCTGCTCTTGTATTTCCTGTCTCATCGCATCGTCTGTACAACTCGCCAACGATCTCTGGTCGTCATGTTCACCAAGCAGACTCTTCTCGCTTTCGTCGGCGCTCTGGCCCTCGGCGCAGCCAAGACCATCACTGAGGAGAACCCAACTCAGGCGGAGATTGATGCCGCTCGTGCGACAGTCTTGCCTTACTCGCCTGTATCCAACGTCAAGGGTCTGGCCTTTGACCGTTTCGTGGACATCTGGCTTGAGAATACCGTATGCCCTGCCCAACATTCCATTCATGGAATGTGTTCACGTGCTCACATTTTCTAGGACTATGATACTGCCGCTCTGGATGAGAACCTGGCCAACATTGCCAAGGAGGGTATCCTCTTGACCAACTACTTTGCCGTCACCCACCCCTCGGAGCCAAACTATTGCGCCTCCGCCGCTGGTGACAACTTTGGCATGGACAATGACGACTTCCACCAGATCCCCGCCAATGTCTCAACCATTGCCGATCTGTTCGACACCAAGCACATTGCATGGGGTGAATACCAGGAAGACATGCCCTATGCCGGCTACCAGGGTTTCCGGTACCCACTCAGCGGTCCAAACCAGTACGTGCGCAAGCACAACCCCCTGGTCCTGTTCGACTCCGTCACCAACGACGCTGTGCGTCCCCGCCAGATCAAGAACTTCACCACCTTCTACGAAGACCTTGAGCACCACCGTCTTCCCCAGCACATGTTCATTACCCCGAACATGACCAACGATGCCCACGACACCAACATCACTTTTGCCGGTGAATGGGCCAATCGTTTCCTTTCTCCCCCTGCTCAAGAACGAGTACTTCGCCAAGGACAACCTCGTCCTCCTCACCTTCGACGAGGTGGGCAACTACTCAGTCCCCAACCGTGTCTACAGTATCCTCCTTGGTGGTGCCGTCCCCGAGCACCTTCGGGGCACTACCGATGACACCTTCTACACCCACTACTCCGTCATCGCCTCCCTGTCTGCTAACTGGGGTCTCCCTTCGCTCGGTCGCTGGGATTGCGGTGCCAATCTGCTCAAGCTGGTTGCCGAGAAGACTGGATACGTCAACTGGGAGGTTGACACCACCAACGCCTACATCAACGAGACCTACCCTGGCCCTCTGTCTGACAACGACTACTCCGAGTACTCCCCCAAGTGGGCTATCCCTACTGTCAAGGGCAAGTGCTCTGCTGGCCACGGCATTGCCGACGTCGTTAAGAAGACCTACCACGGTCTTGAGCCTACTTACAACTACACCAGCCCTGTGCCATATGACTCGGCCACAGGTCTGAACCTTGGTATCAAATACCACCGTACTCTGGTATGATAATCCTCTTTTCTCTTTGATAATGAATTTCTGCTAACGATTGAATAAAAGAACGGCAAGACGGAGTCCGGTATCACCGCGTAAATAATTGACTGTTAATGCCTACGTTGGGCCGCTATTGCTGCTTCATCTGTGCATCGTCACCTTTTGGTCCATGTTTCTAAATATTGAATGAATATTATGTTGATAGACTATTTTATGGGACTCTTCTCGTAGAACTTAGGATTCCACAGTGTTTAACTTCCAACACTGGACTTACGCGTCTGCCTTAGCAGCCCTGCACTAGATATATTAATTGATTATGTTGAAATTACACGATGAATGACGCTACGTAACCACGTATGTCAAGGCCAACGAGGTGGTTTAGGTCTGATCTCTCTCTCATGAGAGAGAGATCCTATTTAATGGAGAGCATTTCTCCTGAACTATTCTCTATATAGTAGGTTCAATGCTGATCATGAGATTTATGCTTAGTGAAGCAGGCATTTCATGCCTGGAGACCCATGAAATCTCAACAGATTAAATGGGTTGGAACTGATATGCCTACCTGACACTGTATCTCGAAGAAAATGGAGATTTGTTCTTGTCATTGTGATATATTTGGGCACAATGCGATGATTTATGTCACTTGAACTACCGAGCTGATAGTAAATATAAATTAGACGTATCTCACTGGTAACTTCTGAAGCCAAAACGCTCACACAAAATGCATATCCCTAAATGTAAAAGACCCTCAAATAACACCATAGTGTGTCGACGTATCGACCTTATCCAGCAGCATAAGTACTCTTCTTCCGCAACATCTCGCCAAACTTCCACAAAAATACAGGCGCAGGAGCCCCAATGGCAATAGCCAAAAAAGCAAGCAAACTATTTCCCCAACCATAATGCAACGCATTATACATATACGGCGCGAAAAGCGGAAAGCCAAATCCAGCCAACGACCGCAAAAACGCACCTGCTGCAAGGGCACTAGCCGCAAAACGCGTATATGTATCAACCATATAGGTCTGGATACACTGGAAAGCAACGATAGTACCAGTACCAAACAGCACAGCGCCGATATTGGGCGCGATCCAGTGGCAATGTTTCTGCGCTGTCCAGCCATATATGAACAAACCAGAAGGAATGAAAAAGGCACCGACGAATAGGAGCGGAACGCGGAACTCTGGCTTTCCGATGCCATTGTTGCGAGCTTTGAGACGGCGGTAGATTCTGTCGTTGAAGGGTGCGCAGATCTGGGAACCGAGCCAGAAGCCTAGACCCAGTGAGATGTAGTTCAAGCCGCCTATGCCGATGGACTCGTTGTAATATTCTGGACTTGTCCAGAGGGAAGGGAATGTCGAAAGGACGAGGTACATGATACCGTAGATGTAGGCCATAAATAGGGCGAGGACTTGGACGATTGGTTGGGTGAGGAGGAGCTTGAATGGTCTGACGAGTGAGCCGCGGAGGACTTGTGGGAGAGTCTTCTTTTGGCGCTCTGCTTCTGTTTGGTAGGAGTCGTCGCCTGTCTCTTTGCGGATGCGGACTGCTCGGTCGAGTAGGATTTTGGGGCCGTAGCTTTCGCGCAGGAAGAAGAGGCCCATTACTTGGATTAGGCCGTCTACTATTGATGTCGAGTAGAAGACCCAGCGCCATGTTGTGTTTTCGGCGATGAAACCTCCCGCGATTGGGCCTAGGGCTGGGCCTAGGAGGGGTGCTAGGCTGTAGATTGCGATGCCTTTTCCGCGTTCTTCGGCTCGGAAGCAGTCTGAGAGGACGCCACCGCCAATCTAAGGGGAATTAGGTAGGGTATATGTGATGGCAGAGGGGATAAGACTTACGGCGAGTGGGGCACTTCCTCCTAGTCCAGCGAAGAAACGACAAACGATCATTTGAACCTTGTTCTTTGACACTGCACATCCGATGTTAAAGACTAGGAAGAAAAGATTGGCAAGTTGGAGGACGATCGTTCGACCGTAAATCTCCGAGAGAGGACCGAGGAATAGCGGGCCTACAGCGTAGGCTAGGACGAAGATTGACAGCATGAGTTGGGAGACAACCTGGTCCGTGACGTTGAAGTCGGCAGCGAGCGATGTAAGAGCTGGCGCAACCATCGAAGAAGAAACCGGGGAGATAAATGTGAATAGTGATACTGTAATAGTAGCTGCCCACTTCTTCTTAGTACTCCAGTTCTTAGGGTTGTCTGGGTCTTCAGGACCCTCCCAGGTCACCTGCGATTGTTAGCATCTAACAAAAGGTACCGGGCCTGGCAAAGCAACACTGCCGACATACCAATTTCGGATCATGGCGCGGCCGATTCGACTTTGCCGTCCTGGATTTCTCGAGCTCAGGTTGTTGAGCATCGCCCTTTTCCAAGTCAAGATCGCGTTCGTTCACAACGCCGTTCCTCACTTCCTGAATCGTATCGGACCTCTCTTCAGCTTCGAATGTTGATTCATCGTCGTTAGATCCATCACTGTGGTAGACAGATTGGTCGTTCATATGTCTCCCAGAATAGACCCGATCGACCTGTGCCAACCCAGGATTTGACAAAGACCTCAGTCTCGTCCTGAGAGAGCCGGCCAAACTGCGCGAGCGAGATCTCGTCCTTGATACACGGGAATCCGAGTCCGAACTTGATATCGACGTCGACCGGGACCTGGCCGGACCAGATTCTTTATTATCTTGAGACATGTTGCAACCTCATGTAGTCAAAGCAATAGAAGTGAGCAGACTAGAATATGCATTGAAAGGCACGCGACACTGAGCTAGCAGAAGTCAAAAAAAGGGACCAAACTTCCACGGGACGTCTATTTATATCAAAAATCGGAAAGCACTTTGGCTCAGGCATAAATCCTCAGAGGAGACCTGCATACCGGCGATAATAAAGGACTTAACAGAGCGGAGACCTCCAATTTGCAATATCGCATGCTGCTATTGGCCCACATCAAAGCTTGACACGACCTGATACCCGTTTGCCCCTCTCAAGTCACAAAATTTCCTCGCAATAGGCGGCTTGGCCCGTGTGGGACGAAAGTGGCTGCAGACGGATATGTGGCCTCAGGTGTCAATTATCGGGTTTTCGGCACACAGGTCACGTGTGTTGGATCGGCATGGTTTGTGGCCTCCTTTGGTGCTTGGTCCAGACATAATCCCGGTCCCGGGATACCTATGATTGGCCGGGTGCTTTATAAGCTTGTGGGCGGGGATTTTATGTCCGCTGGTATCGCCGGTGTCTGCCTTAATTTCCCGTCGGGTCCTCCGCTGATTTCGGAGGTCCGATGCTGAAGTTTGTCTGTGGACCGTCGGTTTGTTTCACAGAAGTTATGCATGTCATGAGCTACTAACGTGATAAAATGATTGAAAGCGAATTCAACATTTGGTTCAATATACCTTATCGAAAAGGTTCCGGTATAGTTCATTTCATATATGGAGAATCATGTGTTTTCTGGATGATCGGATTGTGTCTTAAAGAAATGCATCATGGAACATGTACAGCTGTGATCAGGGTAACGCACAACCTGGATGGGAAGGACAAAAGTGCTGTAGTTTGTACCTTCATTCAGCTATATATGATCAGGGGTGGTGAGAACGTCAGTCATGATGGGAAAACAAGTTGCCTGATATGGAGATCCCGAAGCTGGAGCACATCCATGAACTTAGTGTAGGGGCCTCCAGCCAGCGTAGGCGTTATATGCTGAAGCATTGCAGGCGTGGGAATATTTTGTGGATGTTGACTTACGCGGTGATGGACATATTCCTCTATTTTTATCCAAATCTACGCAGTCAAATGGAGGTTAAGAAGTAAGAAATAATTCCTAATAAGAGCATCCTATGTAGGCAAACATGCCATTTCGGTAAGTTCCGAACACCGTACCCTATGATCTCATGAAATGCGGGGAAACTGGAAAGAGACTGCACAACAAACCCTAATGGAGAATATCCATGGATGAAATTGGACTGACGCGAGCATATTGCCTGGCGTTATATTGCTTTATCCCCGTCAATTGCCGGCAGCCGGAATATTCAGCGGGGCTTGTACCTTGAACCCGACCAATATTGCGGGGTGCATTTAATGATCTTTAGAGATTCGGAGAACATTTATTTTTAGTGGGTTCGCCTGACACTGGATATCCCTAATCTCCGGCAACCACCCAAGCATTGGGACTAAGATTGAGATTATTGTGGCTTTTTAACTTGACAAAGTTACACAAATGGCAAGCACATGTGCCCAAACTTTGCGGTCAAGCCTCTTAAGGTGTCCCAACAATGGATACAAACGAAGCCAAGCGTCGGCGGGTGGGACTCGGGGTGTTAGGATGCCGTCTGAGCCTCGTGTTTGCGTCATAAGTGATTTAAGGGGCGTCAACACTCTCAGTCGCAATTTCCAAGAATCACTCTTCCCTCAGACACTGTGTACCATGGAGCCACCATATGAACCCTTTACCTGGAGGCAAACGAAGCCTGGAAGGTGGGAGCGCGATGTTGACGAGGTCGAACAGTTCTATACCACGCTGGCAAAACGGTTCCAAGGAAGTCGCCGTGTCTTTTTCGCCTTGACTGCTCATGTTTCTTTCTCCATTGCGACCGATTCGATCTCCAAAACAAGCGAAGCACGCGTTCTCAATGCACTGCGGATAGCATGGTTGCGACTGCGATACGATCATCCCACCATTGCATCCTGGGTCGAGTATAATCACGACGCGAAGAAATGCCATAAAGTCTATGAAACTTTTTGTGATGAGGGGGAATCCACCTGGCTGAAAAACACATTTCAGGTTATATCCAATTGCCAGTCCGGCCAGGAATGGTGCAATTCGAACGCCCCAGTGCCCAAACTGCCGACCTTGTTCCTTGTCAAACGTGCGCCAGCCGACGACCACTTCCAAGCTGACCTCGTTCTCCGCTCGCATCATAATATTATTGACGGTATTGGGTCGCTTCATCTCCTGAACAATCTTTTCAAATATGCATCTGAGGCTTTGGATCACCCAAAGATGTTCCACATTCCTGATTTCAGGGATGAATGGAAGAATCTCAGTCCGCCGTTGAAGACGGCTGCTTCAATTCCAGACCTCGACATCCCCGAGCAAGATGCTACGCTCAAGGGTATCTTGGATAGAAATGCTTCTCTTCTTGAGGAAGCTGAGATTGCCCAAATCCCTCATCAATCGGGACCGACCGTCCCAGGGTGCCACAAGCGAGTCTCGCTGACTCTTAGCGAAGAGCAGACTCAACACTTGTTGGTGGCGAGCAAGAAACTTGATGCTAGCATCACGCATGTATACCATGCAGCAATCGCAATTATTGTCCGTGACTTGCAGACGCGACAGCCCAAGGAGCGAAGAGTGAGATATATCAGCTACTCTCCCATCAACGAGCGCAGTCAATGCAAGCAACCATATAATACACCGGAGCATGCTGCCTCTGTGTACCACTCTGTATCTGGCCGGAGTCTCGCAATTGACTTGACGGTGCCAGCTCTCGCAGACTCCGATCCAACAACCAAAGAAAAGAAGTCAGAATTCGCAAAAACAGTCAAGCAGGTAAAAGACTACTACGTTGCTATGCGAGATGACAAGGAACACATCCGTCTAGTTCCCTCGTATTGGTCTCTTTCTACTCCCCCGTATCCCCCGGGAACGGAAGATCCTCCAGTTCCTCCGCCAAACCATGCACCATCGGCTTCAATCGCCAGTCTGGGCATGATTGAAACTATTCTCTCTCCAACGCATGGTCGTTTCGAACTAGATGACCCATGGGTGACCGGCGACGAACTCGGAACCGGATTGGGTCTGTACTTGGGCACATTCCGCGGTCGTATGTCATTGAGTGCTGCGTATAACGATGCCTGGCACGATGAAAGTGAAGCGAAGGAATTCGTGACAAAGTGTAACAGTCTAGTGTTGGAAATGCTGTAAATTAGAGCGTAGTTGAAGATGTCCATATACCCCCAAAATCGAAATCTAAGTTGCCTCCGCGCGTTACCCCACATCTTGTTATCGCCTCCCATTTCCCTCTCACATCTCCCATGCCGGAACGTGTACAGCGAATAGTCCGAGTGCGCACAGGGTGTTGGACCTGTCGACGACGCAAGAAGAAATGCGATGAAACACGCCCAATTTGTGGCGGGTGCCGACGGAATCACTTAGACTGCCAGTGGCCAGCCAATGTGCCTGGCAGGCGTGGTTCCGCGCCTAATAACACCAGCACTCAAAATGCAACAAACCGCCGACCGAGTCCTTTGCAAAGCATTGAATCGCCTGATCAAGTCCTACCTGGAAGTCCCTTGTCGCGAGCGGGATCTGCCTCGTCGAGTGCGCAGTCTGCCAGCGCTGACGCTGACCAGCTGGAAGAGGCCGCGCTGCCTGTTGAGACCAGTCCCCAACGCCCAACCTCAGTGACTCCCACTGGGGACTCGCTTGTGGCGGCTTTCTCAATGCGGAATGTGTTGCCGCGCAGCTTGTCGTTGTTGCCTGGTTATGATGCTGAGTCCTATCAGCTTCTTAGTCATTACTTGGCTACGACGGCCGACTGTATGGCGAATGGTTCAACGCCTGTAAACCCTTTTCTTGTACAAATTGTTCCGCTGGCCTTTTCTAGTGATTTGCTGTTGCAGTTGGTTATTACGCAAAGTGCCGCTCACCGCGCGTTTCGATCGCGAGATGAGTCCGACACTATTGCCCACAGTCACTATACCAAGGCTTTACAACATTTCCGTCGGGGAGTTACGGATTTCATTGATGGGAAAGAACCTAATCCATTAATGCTTCTAGTGGGAGCGCTTTTGATGTGTTTTACTGAGGTAGGAAGTCTCATCCTACGAAGTGTTTGACTGAGCTGATAAGGAACAGACAGCAAAAGGAGACATGAACGGGACGATATTTGACCATCTCTCCGCAGCAAATTCATTACTGGTCAAACTACTTGCACAGAGTGACTCTGCCGTTCCGCGAGATTTGAAAGATTTCGTCATCGAATATTACACCTACACTGCGACCGTGAGCATGATCTCAATCGATGCACGGTTCAGTGGCCAACTCTTCCTGAACCTCGATCTGGAAGAACGGTCCCGGGAACTACTGCGCACTCAATATGTAGGCAATCTGTGCGGCTGCTGGCTGGAACTTTTGCTGCTGATCCCGTGCATTTTCGATCTCGGCCGACAGTGGATCATGGATGATGCACAAACTCCTGTTCCTACAGCTGATGATTTCGCCATGTTCGCCTCTATCCAAGCTCAGGTTTTGCGCTGGTCGCCTTATCCTTCTGTCGGGCCGGAGGTCCATGTCGCTGGCTTGATTTTCCAACAGGCTATTCTCATCTATTTATACACCTCCCTTGAGGGATTCCGACATACACCTGATGGAATCTACAGAGGGTTACTTGAAAATGCAGTCACAGAGGCTATGTCATACCTGAGCGAGCTATCACCCAACGAGCGCATCAACTCGGGCCTTTGTTGGCCCATCGCTGTAGTAGGTTCGTGTCTCGTCACTCCAGACCAGCAAGCCCAACTTAGAGCGCGGTTAACCGCCATGACCGACTGCTTCGGGCTTGGAAATATGCATCGCACGTTACTTCTTCTCGAGGCTATGTGGCTACTGCCGATGTCCGAAGCCGGGCCATGGAATATTTGTCGGGCAATGCAGCAAAACCAGATTTGGATTTCATTCGCATGATGTTGATCGTCATTCTGTTCCTTATATTATGTACAAACTAGCAAAGCGCATTCCAAATCCATCATCAATGATCTATGACTGAGCCAAGTTCTTCGGTGCCTCCGTCGCAGGTCCCTCAGGCGTAACATAAGCCTTGGTCAAACCGCCATCAACAACAAAGTCGGTCGCGTTCACAAAGCTGCTCTCATCACTAGCGAGGAACACAACCGCATGCGCCTGCTCAATAGCCTCTCCGAATCGTCCACTGGGGAAGTGAACCTCACGACGGAACCGCTTCTCCTTATCATCACCAAGCCAATCCTGCAGAAGAGGCGTGCTATGAAACCCGTCAGTCCCATCATCATCATCACCAATACACCACCAGCAAAAGGGAAAAAGGGAAATACATACTTAAGCGGCGCAGGACACAGCGAATTAAACCTGAAACCCTCCCGAGCATGAACAATAGCCAACTCACGCGTCATAGCAAGGACAGCCCCCTTACTAGCGGTATACGCCAACTGCGGCGTAGCAGCCCCAACAAGCGCAACCATACTAGCAGTATTAATAACAGACGCGTGCTTCTTGCCATGCTTCCGGAAACTGCGCACAGCATGCTTCGATCCGAACCACACGCCCTTGACGTTGATGTTCATCGTGCGGTCCCAGATATCCTCCGGACACTCCTCGGCATCGCCGTCCTTGGGGTGCATGATGCCGGCATTGTTGAAGATCACGTCCAGGCCGCCCCAGGAGTCCAGGTGTGCAATTGCGGCTTCGACTTGGGATTCTGAGGATACGTCCACTGCTTTTGTTTCGACTCTGCCGGTGCGGCTGGAGGCGGGTACGATGGTGTTTACTTTTGTAAGGGCGGTTGCCAGGGTTGATTCGTTTATATCGGTCATTAAGACTGAGGCGCCTTCGCGGAGCATGAGGATTGTTGTTTCGAGGCCGATGCCGCTGTTTCGGGGGTTTGTTAGCGTAGCTTTGGCTATAGGTGGCTATTGAAGGTGAGGTTATTCGTACCCAGCTGCGCCAGTGACAATGGCGTTCTTGCCTTCGAGTCTGCCAACCATTTTGATAGTGATGGTGATAGTGTGGAATTAGATTTGAAGGAGTAAAGAGAAATCTAAATTGACAAAGATAATAAAACGAAAGACTGCGGACCCTCCATTCCTTAAATTTATAGCTCACCAGCCTACACACCCCACATTCCAATCGAACCAGATAACCACACGCTATCACAAGACCCTCACTCTGGAACCCGATAATATCACGGGTGCGATTCTTCACATAAACCCGCGGTCTCGGGTTCTCCCCCGTGAAGCTCTATCGCGCTCTGTTTGCCCCGCACGATATCCGGCGGCGCGGCGAGCTACAGTATATGTACACGCGCTGCGGGGTTGAGGGGTAGCTTTTAGCTGTAAGGTAAATTGTCTTAGTTGCATGAACTTCTTTTGGGAACTGCTGGTGCGCGCTATCTTTGGCACGGTCTGGGGCAGCGCGGTCCGGGACCGCGCGCTGTGGGGCAAATCTTATTGGTGGAGGGGAGACAAGTTATGGGACCTTTGATAGCTAATTACCTGTAATTCTGTGTGGTCTTTATGGGGTATCTTGGTGGTCAGCTGCTTTTATGTATGTCTATCATAGTACCTAGACGCCTCTATGTAGTTTATTTTCATAGGTCTTACCAGTCTTAGCTGTCGCTGCATTTCTCCATGGGGCTCAGAGTTATGCTGACTATGTAGATTCCAGACCAGGCTCAGACTCAGGTTCCTGATATCTCTCTACAGGTAAGTGTTTCGGAACTAGGACTTAAAGACACGGACGTACGTATATATCGACACTGTGGATGAGAATGCTATGGACTGAGTTGTTTCTGCTGCCAAGAAGAAAAGCCTAAGTGGTGTGACCCCTGGCCATCGTATATGTTTTTAGGAGCTAGGAGCCTATGGTATGTGTGCCCAAGGTTCATTCGTTTAACACTAGAACTGATCACCAAAGGTATCGTGGCAGGCAATCATATAGCACATAACCTCTTACTCCATGACCACACATTAAACTACAAGCCCGAGAGCTTTAGTTTTATTGCAAGTCCGTAGACCTGTCATATTGACAGGGCGAACAACTGTATACCCCGTGTGTATACCTATCTAGTCCTCTGGGAGCTTATGTAAAACTTGATCCTCAATGCCGTATTCTTGGTTGGCAGTGCTAAGCTGGTCACTACAGCTCACTGGAAGAAAGTCAATTTATCACGTTGAACATTAAATGACTCCTGCGCCACACCGCACCTCATGCATTGAGACCATAGAAATTTTGGCCGCATTTATTTAAAAGACTTTGCATTCGTTAGTTCATTATTAGACCCATCCTCTCGCGGTATGGTGTGCGAGTGATATCTTCACTATACTCCTGGCTAATGCCACTTCGGACTATTTTCCGTTAGTAGCCCCGAAAGGCCTTCCAACCAGCCGCAAGAGCGCTAGGCTTTTGATACCTCTCAGGCGCTGACGGTCCTAGCCAGACTTCTATTCCAGACACTTCATTGGGCATCACGTGAATAAGGGGCTCTTCCGGGTAATTTGTTCCATTTGGGTAGCGTATCGATTCCAGTAGCCTTGACTCGGCAGTACCTATGTTTTACGTTAGTAAAGCTCCTCATCAGTGCCATCATTCAGATTCGCTGTCGTCTGCCAGGAAGCCAGGACTTGGGTGGCGAACATGACGTTGGAGCTCAAGGGAAGAAGTGGAGAATCTGGAAATGTCAGATCAGTCGAGCTTGGGTCTGCCTCTGATTCCGACTCATCGTAGACGTCCGCCTGAGGCCGGAAGTGAACCCCAGACGAGTCACTGTTCACTTCTGACGGTAGGTCCTTGGCATGTGAGGATGGAAGGGGTAGGGCCCATACTCTGAGTTGTTGATGAGAGAAGAACGACCATAGGACTTGACAGGAAGGCCAAGACGCAGAGGCCAAGCAAAGAGAGACAAAGCCCGAATGGCAGGGACGGACCGTCAAAATCCCACTAATGTCCGACAAGCAAGTGAAACGAGAAAAGGGACATGTGGCGGTTTTATAGCCATCCAAGCAAGCTATCGACCCCATCGTCTCCCGACCAATGAGTGCTAGCACTTAGGGCCATTTTTGGCGTCCTCGCAAAATAGGGACCGGCACGGTGAGTTGAAGGTATAGACTTTAGTACGCTTTAAGAACGAATCCCTCAATAAGGGAACAAATCTAGCTCTAGATATATAGACAGCACTATCGCTGGATGGCAGTCAACATATATGTCTCCATAGCTTCTCCATAGCTTCTTTGTCTCCCCGTAGCCATGAAGGTAGTCATTTCCCCTCGCAGCCTTCCCAGTCCCCAGATAAACAAGCACCTGTGATATCTATGAAAGCTTGCTAAACGGGCGAGGCCCAGGGGAGGGCTGCAGAATACAAAAAAGTAGTCCGAACTTTGGATTGAGGAATTGGGGCATCCGTGGGCGCTTCAAGAAGAAAATGATGATGGTTTCAAGGGGACTTAGGTGCCAGCGACGCCGATAATCATGAATTTTTTTTTGGTTGGTGGATCTTGTAATTGCTAGATAGTTTCAAGTTTGCAGGCACAGCCACAATGCCAATGTTTAGTAATCTTGGCTTTTGGCATTTTCACTATATCTGTGCCTTGGTATTGGCTAGACAACGCAATGAAACGAGTGTGAGCCAAGACGGAAAATCAAATGTTAGAAAATGTCTTATTTTCCCGGGAAAAGGTACAGATAGAATGCATCCAAGCCAAATTGGGACCTGGACCCTGCAGAGCTAGTGGGAGTCGTGGGGTAATGCATCAAACCCATCCAGTCAGAGGTCGTCGAATTTCTTCACGGATATTGAGGAGTCCTGCAGCCATATATGGGACTGAGACAGTAGTCCTGTATTGTTTTGGTCTCCAAAGGTATAAAAGGCTCCTCGTTGGCCCTCGATCTGATCAACCATCAACGGAGCAAAATGCATTCCAGCGCTATCATCCTCAGTCTCATTGGCATTGCCAGTGCCCAAACTCTCAACATTCCCTCTCGTGTGGGTAGTGTTGTCTCTTTGCCTTCTCCCAGTGTGATCAAAGGCAGTATTGATCTGGGAAATCGGGAGTACGATCGTGGTCGAGCTTGCGACAATGATGATGATACCGGTATGTCCACATAAGAAATGGGTCAAAATAAATCGAGCTAATTGAATAGGCGACGAGAATGCCGTGTTCATCTTGGAAGATGGTGCATCACTGAGCAACGTGATCATTGGAAAGAACCAACTCGAAGGCGTCCACTGCAAAGGATCCTGCACACTGACCAACGTCTGGTTCCGTGATGTCTGCGAGGTGAGTCTCATGCCTATTTGGTCTACTAGTGCTAATGTACCCCTTATAGGACGCCATTTCCATCCTCGGAACCGGAAATGCACTCATCAAAGGTGGAGGTGCCCAAGAGGCCGATGACAAGGTGGTGCAGCACAACGGCAAAGGGACCGTCACCATTGATGGATTCACTGTGGTGAATGCAGGCAAGCTGTATCGGTCGTGCGGCAACTGCAGCAGCAACAAGAGTAAAAGTCCACGGAAAGTGGTAGTCAAGAACGTCAAGGCCAAGGGCGTGGAAACGTTGGTGGGAATCAACTCCAACTACGGCGATACGTCAGATGTGAGCAACACGTGTGGATCCAGCGTCAAGCATGTCTGCCAGGAGTTTGAGGGAGTGGATAAATCAGAGGATAGAGAGAGCCCGAAGTTGACATCGACTGCTTCGTGTAAGGGGCAGTCGTCTCTTTCCTCTTGCTAAGTTCAAATTGATCTTTTGATGGAAGAAGAAAGGGAGAAAGAAGCATGGACACTGATCACTGGCTATTGAGAAGGAGGAAGCAGGAATATGAGAGGGGGTCGTTGGCAATCAGATAATCGTCTCAGACTAGTTATCAATGTCAAACGATGTCGAAAACCTGAAAGCCCCCAAAACCCACTAATCCCTCGTAAACGGTAAACTTGAATGTCACGCTTCTAAACGGATCGCCCTATCCCTTAAATTTTCCATTTTAAACATCCTTATCGTGTAGGGACATACGAAGTTACAGTATAGACCGCAGAGGTAATATGAGCTGCTGTGTTTTCCGCTCACTGGAAGCCCTGTTCCCCACATCCTATGAAGAAATAGCAAAAGCATACAAGTTTCTTCATCCCTGCGGATTTGCAGGGGATCGGATCCTTCCAGGACGGTGGACTCAAGCACAACTTCGCGGGCGATATATAAAATTCTTCTCTCGAGGCCTCCGAAATATTTATTCTTCCGACTCATCAGTCTCCAGAACTTGTGGATAGGAAATCTAGGGTTGAGAGTCTAGTCAAGTCACTCGAGACTATACGGCCACTTACTAGTTAGGGCTAGACAAGTGGAATTTGGGTTGTGGTGGGCCGGGGAGGGGTGGGGTTTCCATTCGTCAAATATTGGGTTCATTTAGGAATCCACAATAAAGTTAACTTTATTTATTATACCCTTCTCTAATTTCTCCTCCCTCATTTCCTCGGTTTCTATTAGATATCTCTTATTAGCTAACTATTGGAACTCGTCTCCTAAATAGCGTATAAGCTTTATAGTTTCGTTAGGGTCCCTTCTTATAAATTCGATCCTTCCTACTTTTCTATGTAATCTAAGGAGGGCTCCTATAAGACATTTATTTAAATTTTTTAATCTTTAGATTAATCTATATCTTATACTATACCTTATTTGAGAGGTTAGTTGTCTTTTTTCCCGGCTTTACGTCAACGAATTCCTTACGAATTTTATAATAATGAATCCCATAGCACTAAGCCAATATAACTGAAATTTCTGGAGACAAAGAGTGGTTTTACCATTTCAAGATAGTTTTAAGCCAGTCTCTTTAAGGCTTCTTGACATTTCTCATCCAAGTCCGGGTGTCTTAGATTACACATAACCGTCCAAAAAGTTTTATGCCGCTTCGAAATCAATCGGGGCACTATGGACCGCCGTTTCATAAGGTCATGAGAAATAGACATTAAGGAACGGCTTATAGGTGTGAGAACCCTACCAGGTACCGAATAAGGGGGATGGAGTAATAAAGTCTGATAAGAAAGAGTGACTTGGTGATAATAGAAAGACCAATCGCTGGCCTTCGTAGGAAAGTCAGCTTGAGGTCTTTGTACGTCCTAAACGAGGCGTATAGGAGACATCTAGGTTAAGTGAACATCCCACTAATGCCCTAGGTCTCGCAAGCAGTGAGTGTCTCAAAGCTTATGAAGACATCCCAATCCCTGTCCCTCAGCAATTTCTCAGTTAGGCATCTATGGTGGTCTTGACAGTTGCAGTCTACTTAGGACCAGATCTCTAGAAAGTCCCGCGGGATTAAGCAGGGCCTAAGCAAGCCTAGTTTCCAAGTGCTTCCATAGCCTATATAGCCTTCATAGAGAATGTATCATCCTTTAAACTCAGAGTCTTCGACTATCAATTTGGCATAGTGAATAGAGTTTGAGTATTAAATATAATACAGGCAGCATAGGGGTCGCCGTCCCAAGAAAAAAAGAAAAATAAGAAAGAGGGAAAAGAACCGAGAGGCAGTAGCTCGTTGCCATCAGCAAGTCGTTGGGAATACGCCCGCATACTGATGGAAACGTTTACTCTCCAGTCTCTCTGTCCACAGACCAGTGGACATATTGCATGACACGCCCTTTGAGAGTGGCACGGCGAATTCGCTTACCCCAGATGAACAAGGGAACCCATAAAGCCAAGACGATGAAACTGAGCGCTGCCATGGCACCAAATGCTCCTGCATAGCCGTCACGATCGACCCATGGGTTTGCGTAGAAGGACATGAGGAACGTTATGATGGCTAGAACGTTCGTTGGTCAGCAATGTTTCCGGAATTCTTAGGGAGAGAGGCGAATAACCCACATTTGAAGGCGACTTGGCTCACCACAACCTCCTCAGCAATTGGCCTGTAACAGTCGATTGTATACACCACACTAATGCCGATCGCAGCACTACTTCCAAACGAGACTATAGCTCCAAAGTCAGCAAGCTCCCATTAAAATAAAATGAACAAAGGTTCTTACACAAGAATATGCCCAAGATAGGCACCATCCAATGCGCTTTGTAGTTGATCCCCAGGCCGTAGAGAAGAAGTGCTGCAGGATAGGTAATCATAGCGATGCTCACGGCGGGAAGACGCATCTCTGGCTCACGAATTCCGCCATTCTTCGTGGTTGCGCGGTTGGCTACCCAATCCGAGAAATAACCACCAAATGGTATGCCTAGTATGTTACCTACAATGCCTGCAATCCAAACCACTCCCACTTGCCAGGTTGTAAAATGGTAAACCTGTGTGAAAGCCGTTGCGGCTGTGGTCCCCATGATGACGAAGATCCCGATTCCTATCCCGAAAGACACCGTAGACCAGAAAACTGGTGGTAAAAAGAGGACCAGCGCGGGCCGGATAATGATCTTCCAAATAGATTCACGGGTGAGAGGAGACCGATTGAATGCCATCCGTTGTATGAATGTTTTCTTGTGCACGGTGTGCACTTCGGCACGCTCCATTTCGGACACGTTTGCGACCTTCTCATCTGTCTCTTCCTCTTCTCTTTCTACAGTCCTCTGATATGCAGTCTCGGGCATGGTAAAGAAAATCAAAAGTGTCGTGGTGAGGACGAGACCAGCGCACAAGTAATGAAACACTCTCCAACTTGTTGAGATTGACATAACTGCAGAGACCATTAACCCCAACGCAGCACCCGTCGAGAGCGCAGCCGAGTATATCCTAAAATGCAGTTGTAAGAATTGGAACGTTGCGATAAAAAGGAGGGTGGGGTTCCTCATACGCTGTCATTTTACCCCTTTCGTGAAGGAAAAAGATGTCCGCAATAGTAACGGGAGCAACGCACTCGACGCTTCCAGAAAACCATGAGGCTATAATTCTTGAAGCTAACAGACTCCCATAAGTGGAAGCACGTGCCGACCAGATGCAGCAGAGGCCAAAAGCGAGAAACGAAGAAGTATATACCACCCGACGGCCATATTTGACAGCGAGGGGGACCCACATAAGGTTTGCCATACCGGCGGCCAGAGAAGTTGTGGAGAAGAGCAAAGCCACCTTGCTCACTGCAGACGAGAATGCCGCCATCGACTTTGGGGCTAGTGTGGCGGGATTCCTGGGGTCAGGCGGATACACACCATAGAGATCGATGACTATTTCGACCAAAACAGATCCAGGACCACCTGCAAAGAAGTTGACCCATGTCAATGCTACACAAGTAAGCACAGTGATGTAGATCTTGAAGCCTTTCGACCTGGAATAAAGAAGTCGGAGTTAATAATGTCCAGGGCATAGAAGGGCATGTAAGGATGCGAGGGTATCTACCAGTTGAGAGGATCATTAGGGTCGGACGACGGCTGGGGCACGAGGAGCGTGGCACCAGTGCTTTCGTCTTGGAGTCGGACATGGCCGAGAGTCTCCGTAGGCCGGTGGCGATGAGTAATGACGGCTGAGCCGTTAGGCTCATTTTCACGATCAGGCATATTGAACCCTGCACGACGTCTGAAAGATGGATGGATAGGTCGGAGAAGATCAGGCAAGATTGATATGGTATGACCGTCTTCTTAGGATTGTTTTGTATCGTGGGGAAGTAAACCTTATGCAAACCGGGGTCCAATCAGCTTCAATCAGTCAGACTAGGGAGGTTCCGCGGAACATTATGTTTATATTGGCGAGGACACTTGGCAGATGCTGGCCATGGTTATAGATAATGGCCAGACAGCTTTTAAGACATTTTACACAGCATATGGGCCAATGAGAGGACTAAGCGCAGGCAATTAAATAGCTTCAACGCCTCAATAGAACACCTAAAGCGTATTTTGTAGGTGTGATGGCGCACATGGGAGGAGCAAAGCCAGAGGGGCTATGTCCCGTAATTACTGCATAGGATGTTGGTCCGCTGCACCGGACGCAGGAGTTAGAACTTCAAATTCCACATATGAAAACCTTCTCCACCACCTCACTTTCGACATGCTCATGCGACAGGCAACGCATGCGTGATTGAATATGTCGGCGAGGAATTGAAGGGCTTGTCATTGAGACTTAGATTTTTGACTAAATTTCGTTTGTCTCACACAACTCTCACACAACTGCGGGAAGCGAGTCTAATGCAAGGTTGGTAGTATGTCTGTTGCATGGAAGAAAGTGAAGGTGGCGTAGACTAATCGTTGAGTACTGGCGAACCGGTCATCTTTGAAAATCGGTTACATGATAGACTTAGAGTTGAGGGCTTAATTGATGTCCTCGGACCGGTAACGAAGTGAGAGTAGCCCCCGGAAAGGACTTGACCGCGCGATCTGATCAATTCGGTGGCGGCGACTCGATTGTTGTTCGAGCTGAACGACAAGAATTCCGCGGAACGACCGACTTCGAACCCAATCCGCTTTCCGCGGCTCTGGTCAGGAGTCGGCAGAATAGTTACCGACCGCAACGTAGTTGCAATGGCCATGATGCGTTGTTGAACATATAATGAGACTTTAGTTTCTGCACTTCTAGTCTCTCTCTCTACATACCAGTGTATACATCAAAATACCCAGAATGAGCGCAATGACGGTACTGGCTTCGGAAGTCAAGGAGGCCGAACTCTATTTGCCAGTCGGAAAGAGCCAGCTTGACAACCACTTCGGGCTCACATCACCATGGGAACACTACTACAATTCCGATGCTGCTCCTCAGGGTCGATTCGAATGCGAGCTGGACGAGGTGGTGGTCTTTGGTGAAATCCCTACGGAGATCAGCGGAACCTGGTATCGGATGCACATAGATCCTCATTTCTGCCCTCAGGTTGGAATTCCCTTCGTCGATGGGGATGGACATGTTTGTGCCTTCCGAATCCAGGATGGCAAGATTTCCATGAAAACGAAATATGTCCATACTGAGAGATGGCTTCTGGAGCGCAAGGCTGGTCGCCGCCTCTTTGGTCGTTACAGAAACCCTTACGACATTCACCCCTGCGTCCAGTTCGCCAATGACACCACTGGAAATACCAACATTGTCTACTGGGGCGGCAACCTCCTAGCTTTGGCTGAAAGGGGATTGCCATATGCTCTGGACCCGGACACTCTTGAGACAAAAGGTGCGGATCCGTACGGCGGTCAGGTGGCGGCGAAGACCTTTACGGCCCACCCCAAAGTCGACCCACACAAGAATCAACTAGTCACTTGGAGCTATTCCGCGAAGGGTCTCGGCACCCCCGATATTTGCACCTATGCCATTGATCCCAAAGGGCGAATCTCGGATGAACACTGGTTCAAGCAGGACAAGCCCGGATGGCCACACGATGCCTGGATCACGGAGAACTGGATCATCCTTTCCAATATGCCATTCACTGCCAACAGCGAGGAGGTGATGAAAGCTGGGGGCGATTACTGGAGATTCATTCCCGATCAACCCTCGGAATTCCTTGTCACCCCACGCAAGAGTCACGCTCCAAATCATCCAGACTGGAAGGCCGGCGAGTTCCGAAAGTATACCGCCCCTCACGGTCTAGTTATTCATACGGGCAACGCATGGGAAGAAGAACATGGAATTTTAAAACTTGAAAGCCACTTCGTCAGCTTCAATGTCTTTGACTTCTTCAATCCAAAGGACTACAAGCGCCCTCAAGGGAAACCCAGTGGTGATTGGATACGCTGGACCTTGGATCTTTCCAAGCCCGATGGAACTGCCGTGCCACCACCTGAAACATTGTTGTCGGGAATCTTTGATTTTCCCATTTATGATGAGCGGAGGACTGGCCTTAAGACCAAGATTGTCTACTTGACTGGTATGATAGCGCCAGAACAAAGCGAACGCCCCCGCTTCAATGGAATCATCAAGTTGAACACGGAAACGGGCGAGAAGTCAGTCTTCTACACAGCTGACGATGGTTGTGTCGCTGAGCCGGCATACATCCCTCGAGGACCTGATTGTGATGAAGGTGATGGCTGGATTATCTTCTACCTGGAGAAGGATTCGTCAGCCAAGGGGGAGCTGGTCATCCTCGACTGTAAAGACTTTTCCAAGCCGGTCGCTATTGCGCAGCTGCCTTTCCAGACGCGCAATCAAGTCCATGGAAATTGGGTCCCTAACCCGCATCCTGAGAGGCCTCTGCCGCTGTTAACCGGCCCTGTCAAAGATGTCCTGCCTAGCACTAAGTACTCACAGTTGAACATACTTCCGTAGAATCCGAGAATGTGACTTGCTTTTACTTTGATGATTGGTTAATTTGAGATTTTGGGGAACCTTCAGGGTCCCTCCCTTGTTTAGAAATTGGTAGATAACCTCTAACGACCTATTAGATAGACCTTATCTGCAAAACAGCATGTAAAGACACCAGATAAATTGCATACACCGTGTTACCGTGCCCTACTTTGGTGTGCAGCATCGGAAAGCGAAAGCAATTTTGCTGACTGAACACGGTACAATTGGTATGCAGGAAACTACTTTCAAGGTCGTTCTTTCAAAGAGAAAGTGACAGAAGTTGAGCCAAGTCAATATTTTGTTTGGATTCATGAAATAGCACTAGTTTCCAAGAGAAAATCTTAGTCTGTATTATGTAGATTACTTGGTACAACATCAACCTCCCAATTCTAGTGTTGTAGAAGGAAAGTATAAAGCATAATGCACTTTGCACAAGGAATGACATTGCTCGATATCAAATCCTATAGCCAGGGGTCATAACCTAGGTCAGTGTCGGATCATTATAGTGCGCAAGCTCAAAGCTTCCGCTCACTGCATCAGCCGACCTCGAATACCGCGGACAAGCAAGAATTCGGCAACGTATTTGGGTATGATTAACTATTTCCACGGTTCTGTCCCAGTGCCTCCGCATGCACGCTTCGTCCTTGTTACCGCGGAATTATCGGAAGTGGCTTTTGCTAGATGGACTGGCTATTTAGCACTTAGTCCAAACAATCAATTTACTTCAGCTCTACTGCGTGCTTTTCTCCAAATTTTGGCTGACTCGGAGAATTTTACATAATGATTTCCCAACTTGCGTACCTGCCGTATAACGTGCCCGTGCTCATCGCCGCAGCAAGCGCTCTCCTGATCTTGTATTATTTACTCGGGGCTCTTGGTCCTTTGCGGGATATCAAAGGCCCAACACTCGCTCGGTACACTCGCCTATGGGAGTTGTACAAGAATTGGCAAGGCCAATTTGAACATGTTACGGTCGCTCTTCACAAACAATATGGTAGCTTTATTTTACCCAACATGGAATGTCTGTACTAAATCTTGAAAGGTCCTATCGTCCGGCTAGCCCCAAATCGCTACAGCATTAGCGATCCGGCGGCAATTCGTGCTATATACGGCCCCGGCACAAAGTTCAGCAAATCCGATTATTATCATCCCTTTGGCACGCCTTCTATGGACCACAAAGATGTCTTCTCCGAGACAAGTAACGCAAAACATGCTCTCGAAAGAAAAAGATCTCCAATATGTACGCCATGAGCTCTTTGATATCTTACGAGCCGTTTGTGGATAAAGTGAGCAGCGAATTTATGGCGACGTTGGCCGACCATGCTCAGCAAGGGCGTGCATTTGATTTGTTCACCTGGATGCAGTTTTACGCATTCGATGTGATTGGTGAGATCACCTTAGGGCGATCGTTTGGCCTGATCGAAGCGGGCCATGACAAGGACGGACTTCTACATGCTGTTCATGTCGGTTCGATAAGCTATGGCTCCATGGTCGGATTAGTCTCTGAGATTCATCCATGGTACCTCTGGTTCCAGAACGTCTTCCCCATCAAAAGCCATTGGGAAATTACACAACGAGTTATACGTAAGGAGATTGGTGCCAGAATGCAGAACGCCAGTTCCAGTGATCGCAAGGACTTCCTAGCAAAGTGTATCGAATTGAGCAAAGTCGGCAAGCTTGATCAGTTCACAATCAACAATGTGCTTGGTAGCAACATTGGAGCTGGATCTGACACGACTGGTATCAGCATGACTGCTGTCATCTATTTCCTCATGAAACATCCAGCTTGCTTGCAAAAACTTCGTGATGAAATTGACGCGGCCACTCAGCAGGGAAACCTTTCTGACCCCGTTACATTCCAAGAAGCACAAAAGCTTTCCTACTTGCAAGCTACCATCAAAGAAGCCTTGAGGCTGCATGCGGCGGTTGGCCAGATTCTCAGCAGAGTTGTTCCTGAGGGCGGCGCGCAGATCGCTGGTCGACACTTCCCACAAGGTGTAAGTTGCAATACACGTACCTCCAAAATTATGCTACATAGTCCTCAAAACTAACGGCTAATCGTAAACTCGTTGGCAGACCGTGTTGGGTGTGAATGCTTGGGTAATCCATAGCGATGAAAACATCTGGGGCAAAGATGTCCACGAGTTTCGACCAGAGCGTTGGTTGGTTGGCAAAGAGCAAGTTGCCTTCTTGGATCAACATTTCTTGGCAGTAAGTGTGCTCGTGTTCATATTCTATCAAACCATCGTATCAAGTAGAAACATGCTGACCGAGTCTACAGTTTGGTGCCGGTGCAAGAACCTGCATAGGCAAGAACATTTCGCTCCTCGAAATGACGAAACTTCTACCGCAACTGGTGCAACGATTTGATTTTGTCCCCGCAGGCGATAGTCAGTGGACGACTAGTAGTGGGTGGTTTGTGAAGCAAAATATCCAAGTTAGAGTCATTGACAGAAAACGTGAGACTGGTCAAATCGTCTCGTAGGTTTGAGAGTGGCTGGGGCATGTTATTGTGGAGAACTTCTGGAAACAAGGTTTTGCCATCTTTACAACTTGTGCTCACGTGTCTTGGAATGAATATCCGTGGGCAATCATAAATGTTATCCAATCGCCTGGGCGATCCAATTGGTACAGGTCTGGTTCGGTCGAGCGAGAGCTTTCGTATTGGCAACAGAGGTTAGATTCTGCCGCAGTCCTGCGATTCCGGTTCCGCGGAAATCTGGAAAGTTTCTGATCCGCGTCACATTGTTATGAAGTTTACCTGTGTAGATTTGGCCAAGAAGGTCTTGTTTTGCTTCGGAGTTCTTACAGCAATATACACATAGATGATGCGGGTTAGGCGAGTCATCTGCTGTTCCTAATAAACCACGAGATCTTTATAAAGTTCTAAATGATAGCAAATTTGGACGACTGGCATGGCCTGTAATTGAGAAAAGTCTTGGTAACAATGGTGAGGCTGGCTTGGTTCATGCAGTTTCATTACCTCAATAATATATTCCGCGGAACTGTTGGTAATGGCAACTGAACATGGGAGCTTGATCGGATGCATCACTAAAAAGACGTAATGTTCAGAAAGGTTTCCATGTAGTGTGGATTAGACTCAGATCAAAGTAATTGAAATCGCAGCCGATCTCCAGCTTATTTGGTGCTGTCCTTACAACATTCCGTCATGGCTGATGCCGCAATCAAGTCCCGTGATTCCCACGCTAGAATTATTAAATGGATTGAAGAAGTTCAAGGTCATGACCAACGGTATGTTTTACCAAAAGAGATCTTACTCTGGCATTGACACCTTGCTACAGAAGCAATACTAGCGACAACTTTCACGGCATTGCAATGGAGTACAGACACACCTACGAAGCATTATTGCAACATTACGGGAATCGCTTGCCTTTTCCAGGCTCGAGCCCTAAGCACAAGGAAAATGCAATGAAACGGCAACCAGATAAATAATGAATGCACACATGTGGACAAAAGCGAACAAATCTCTGCATGACTGACTGGATTTGAGGATGTATCGTGAAGGTGGATATCTATTGCAGAATGGACAAGAAGTAAGAGGAGATCGTCGAAGTAATTTTGAAGGGCGGAGAACATCCATGCATCACTTTAATCTACTGAACGAGAGAATATCTTCTGAACGGTAGAATCGAGCCAAGAATTGGGTCTCGAGGAGGCTACTAAGTGAGACTCATCAATTTGACCAGGCAAGACGGATGCGATCGTGGCAAACACAAATCCAATATTGATGCTATTTATCTCTGTTCCATCATAAACATACAATCAACAGCTCCTCCTAGGATCTTGCATGTAGTGAACGTCTAAAACTAATATCCTGCCACCCATCTACACTGCCGCACTTTGAGTACAGCGCCTGCTACTTTAATCTGGCGTCTAACAGAGCCGAACGGCCGTTCTGTACAGCGTCCACAGCCTGGGGTAATAGAAATGCCAGTTCTTCAACGGTGCTGGCTCGCCCTCCCCAGCATTTTCCTCCCGATGCACCCTTAGCAATAGTCGAGTAATCTGGGTTTGGTGAGAACGAGATGTTGAGTTCCTCGTTGCTGACTTGAGACCCCAACCCATCAGGGTGAACAAGAAGCATAGACTTCCGAGGTGCATTCCACCCTGCAACAACATTCTCTGTCAGTCCAAAATTTCTCACAATGTGACCCAGGAACAGACGGTTGGGCCTCAACTTACCATCGTTATTCAGCACTATAGTCAGCACCGGTATCTCATACTTTTGTGCAATCCAATACACACTTGCAGGAATTGAGAATAGAAAGCAGCCGTCACCAATAATCTGGCATACGAACTTGCCTTTCCCTCCGTGAAGGGCGTCCGTGGCCATTTTTATACCAAGAGCTGCGCCGCCCGACCAACCTAGTCCACCTGCACCCGAGCTGAACACGCTTCCTGGCACTGTTGCTTGCAACTGATCGGCCACGGTAAAAGTATTGGTGACTGCTTCAACGACCCAAACAGTGTCGATTGGACAAGCTCTTCGAACTTGCGAAATGAGAAAGCCGCACCCGAAAGAGCCGTCCGGGTTGGGTTCGGCCTGTGAAGCTATTTCTTCTAGCTTTCGCCCATAGGATGTCTGCAAGGCCGACCATCGACTTGTGTAATGCTCGTGTTTTGCGCTGATTTGATCTGATAGCTCGGTCTTCAAATGTCGGACGATTTGGTCAACAGCGAACGCGGTGTTGACGCGACAACGCAGGATTGCGTCGATGTAGAAGAGAGGCATCTGCTGTTTCAGAGGATCGACATCGAAATGGATGATCTTAGTGCCATCTGCGGGTTTGCACTGGGTGTTGATCCACGGTACATCGCAGTCGATTACTAGTATCACGTCGGCCGTGCGAATGGCCTCATCTGAACCATACCTCACACTCAGCCAGCCAGGGTGATCTGCAGGGAAGCAGAGGTCCGAACCACCCGTGTCGAGAACCCGTAAACCCTTGATAATATTTGCCAACTCAACAAGCAATGGTACCACGGCAGTATCACGTCCGCAATACCCTGTGATGATGAGGGGCTCCCGAGAAGAGACCAAGGCTTGGGCGACCAAGTCCAGCTGCTTCGGCGTCAGCCCGCCAAGCTCCACGGGGCTCCAAAACTCTTGTTGGATCTCATAAGGCTCGATGACCTCTTCCATGACCTCTCTCGTCCCTTGTAAGTAGACTGGACCCTGGGGCCCGCTTTTTGCGAAACTCAAGGCTCGGTTCACCATCTGTTTGACGTTCTTACCCTTCCTCAGTTCGGCGGTATAGCGACAGTATTGCGCCACTATTGCTTTCTGGTCCGGGACGTCTTGTAACCAGTGGATGAATTCGGTTCTGCTTCCACGATATTCACCCTCCAACGTGCATGGGGATATACCGGCAAAGATGAATACAGGTACGCGGCCGACGCTAGCATTGTGTACGGCACAGCCGAGCGCTTGGGTTCCAACGTCGACATGTATAATAACTGCTTGTGGTTGTCCAGTGACACGAGCATAACCATCTGCCACGGACAGGGCCACCATTTCACTTGGACAAGTGATGAATTTTGGGAAGTAATCTGGTCTCTCGCGTTGGCCTTTAACCATTGCTTCCATGATGCTAGGATGATCCGATCCTAGATTTACGAAGCAGTACCGCACTCCAGCCTACCCAATTCAAGTCAGCACAGGCTCGCTGGCCGACAAGCGCGCGATTGTGTGGTAGTGAATACTTACGGCCCATAGTGCCTCAAACAGGGCTGATGATGCGGTATACTCCCTGTTATGATAATTAGCCTCGTTGATTAGCCTCGTTGTATGTAGCCGGGCTTCGCTTACATTCTGCTCAGATTATGAGATCAGGTTTAAAAAGCTCGGACTCAAAATCTCTTCCAGTTTTCGGGTCCGTGAATCAGACGAAGATCGTGTCAAGTAGTGACTTGAAGGATGCTCCAAGGTGTGCAAGGGCTTTCGCAGAATAGATAAACCATCTCGAGGCAAAAGCTCGGCTTACAATAACGGCAATCTAATCTGTAATGAATCCAACGTAAGAGCCCTCAAGGAACATTTTTCTGGAACGTACCGAGTTGTTCGGGTTTGCTACCGAAGTTCTCTCGCTATAGATTTGCCATGAAGTAGTTCCGCGGAATTGACGGTTCCTGCCGCGGCAACTAGCGCCCGCGCGGAACATACCACATTGTCAAGTACAGCTATTACAGCCGGACCATTGGCTTTAAATATAATAGAAGTCTTTCGAGTGGTTATTTTCCTACATGTTCTGTCGAATTTGCTATCCACTTGAAACAGACGAAATTATTGGCAAACATGGCAAGCGTCGACTATGTCTTCAAGGCTGTACAGTATGGGCTGCAGACGGTAAAGCTCTCAGCCACTGTACATTTGCCTAAAACCACAACATCGGTCAAGGGAATCGGTGAGACTTTTGGAAACAAATTAAAAGAAATGAAATTCATTCTGATCCATCTTGCAGCGTTATATTTCCACGGTGGCGGCTACATCGTTGGTAGCCGGGCAATGCTTCCGGCTGCCCATATCGAGGTGTTGACCGAAGCTGGTTTCGTCGCTGTATCTTCAGACTATCGCCTCGGTCCGACTATCTCTGTACTGGAAGGTCCAGTCGGGGATTCGATAGCCGCGTATGAATGGGCCCAGAACGAGCTTCCTGGACTTCTCGAGAGTGAGCATGGCATCCGGGTGAACGGCAAGAACATCGTCACACTCGGCCACTCATGCGGTGGAGGGCTTGCGTTGCTCATGGTGAGTATAAAACATGTGAGACCGGAAGGACCGAGCGTTAACGTGTCTTACACATCTAGGCATCTCGCCCTAACCCGCCCAAGGCTATCCTTGATTTATTCGGATTCAAATACCTGCGCGATCCTTTCTATCACACTGGGAGCAGCACTTTGCCTCCGCCAGGTGCACCCGCTCCACCGCCCGCTGAGTTCGTCGAGCAAGTCTTCAATGAGATTCCTCCCCCAACCGCTGCACCTGTTCCTTTCGGTCCCAACGGGCCGGACTTGAGCACACCGCGCAAGGCTTATCTCGTTACATCTGTCCGGAAGGGTACTCAGTTTGATCCAATAATCGCCGAAGATGAATATGATCATGTGGATCCGGAGAAATTGCTGAAGGAACCCGGTTTCCCGCCGACAGTCTTCGTTCATGGGACGGCGGATGTCGTTGTTGACATAAAGTTTTCCCAATGGGCACATGCGGAACTGCAAAAGAATGGGGTACCGGCTGAGTTGTACGTTGTCGAAGGCGTGCCTCACGGCTTTGATGCCAGGCTAAAGCGTGATGACGCGGCTTTTGAGTCTATTCAGAAAGCCGTAGACTTCCTTGCGCAGCATGTGGCGGGCAAATAAGGTACAAAAGTTCTTCCAGTTTCCCTTTCTGTGAAAAGGATTCTGAGAAAGCACTGATAAGGACCTAGAGAGTTCACAGGGCAAAATTGTCTACGGTTGCAAGAAGTTATGTAGTTGTTTTGGTCCCTACCTAGAAGGATAATACAAGAATGTTCATGACCTGTTACGATCAATTGCAAGAACACAACGGTTCACATGGCACAAGATATTTCAGGAGCTTATACAAACAAGAGACAAACATCTTCAATTATAGAAACCGGCAGACGGTCAAGGGGCTGAAATATCTATGACACGACTTGACTGAAGTGCGCGATAGAGGATGCCTGGAGTGTTCCGCACGGGGCGATCCAAATGCTCGAAACTTCGGACTGAATTTTATTAGATTTATAAGTGACCTTCTCAAACAGATATCAACACCCTTGAACACAGAAACTTCGCCCTTTTAAGGTTTCATGTTTCTCATCCAGCTGCCAACCTAACCTCCGGACCCCCAGACACAAACTCAATTACCAGACACTGTCTGAATACAACTTTTGAGATATCTATCCACTCTCTGCACATCATCAAGAGAGGCAACGACCCCGACATACCCATCAGGCCTAACAACAAGCAACACGCCTCGTGCCGGATCCACTCCATAAATAGTATACGCATCATCCAGAACTGACCCATCATAGAAGCGCATTTCTGCCTCCTGCTTCACACAAGCCGGAATATCATCCCACTCAAAAGATCGATGTAACTTAGGATGCAGGATAATCTGCTCAACGACAGACTTGGGGAATTGTGCGGCCAGTAGTGTGACTGCCTCCAGTGTCTGTGCAGAGATACTGTTTTGATCAAGCAGGTCTGCCGATGTGAGACACATGATGCGGAATCGGCCAGTGGAAGGGAGGTCTGTGAGTCTACTAGTCAGATATGATGCTTTAAACTTCCAAAGTCTTGCTGTTCTTAATGGTGCTGAGCCACATACCATCATGGATATCCCGCTGCCACCCATCAGCATGCCGCAGCAGCCGAACATTGAGTAATCTCCGCCCCGGTCTAAGGATTCCCGAAAGATAATCCGTTCCTTGAATAAGGCTCGGGCTGTTGATATTATCCTCATCCCGAACAACTAGCATGTTTTCCGGGTATTCCACACCACAGCCGCTGGTAAACCCATTGTTGAGTTCGAAAGCTTGCTGAAGTTCTTCCTGCATCAGTCCTTCGGTTGTGGCCATTTCGCCCGAGAACATGGTTGAAAACTTGCGGTCAAAGTCGATTAGTTGTTGCGCGATTTGGTGACGTTCTGTTTGGTAGGTCTCCAGCAATAGCGTTGGTTTGTTTGAGCATGTTGGTTGTGCTGCAAGTCCATTAATGTGGTACATTAGTTTCCAAGCTAAATTATAGGAGTCCATCATCGAGACATTCATGCCTTGACCGGCCTGGTGGTACGAAAGTCAGTTGTATTCCGAGGAAAGCGCGCTTGTAGACTTACTTTTGGACTATGTGTATGGCAGGCTGCAAGTATAGCTTATGTTAATTGAAATCCATGCAACAATTCAAAGCAAACGTACCATCTCCAGTGATAAAAACCCTCGCCGCACCCTTCGAATCCTTCACAATAAACTCAGGCGAGACACGCTGGCCAATTTGATATGCCGCCCACCAATCCACAGCACCGTCCTTGGGCCTCAGGGAGTAAGGCTGTATAGCATCTGCAGCTTGTTTCAAGATCCCCTCAAGGGTAATTTTGCTCCTCCGCTGCCGCGCATCGTCAGGCCTGACACCCTCTCCTCCACCCGGTACCAAGTCACACGCCGGAGCAACATCCTCGGGAACCTGAACATATAAACGGGTAAGGTACTCGCCAGTGGAAATTCTCTCTCTCGGAATAATCATAATTGAGCCCGCAGGAGAATGAATAGCACAGCGCCTGCGAATATCCGGAAAGTCAGTCTCAGCAACCATATCGACGACCCCCCAGATGTGATCCAGCGATTCCCCTTCCAGTGGCAAACCCATACAGCGACGGACAACAGAATGAGCCCCATCCGCACCAACGAGATGTTTCGTCCTTATCACCTTCACAATACCATCTGTAGCCATAGACACCAGCACCGGAAATTCATCATCACCCTCCTCATCAAGGCTCACATCCAAAACCCTTGTGTTTCGCAGAATACCCCGCTCCGAGTACCGCAGCAGATCAGTCTCCATGATCCGTTCAATGCGTCCCTGATGGATAGTAGCCTCGTACTTGAACCGCGCCGCAGGAATAACTTCCGGCACAACGGCTGTACGCTCAATCACCTTTTTTGGATCGGTTGCCGGATTCCAAAACGCGAATTGCCACATCTGGCATGCTTCGTTTTCGATCTCGGTTGAGATCCCTAGCGTCTTGAATACCTCCAGTGTCCGTGGCTGCACGCCGTCCGCTTGCCCGGATTTCAGGGTGCTGGGCTTGGCGTCGACACAGAGGAGGGAAGCATCGTTGAGACCGTAGCGTGACAGTAGCAGGCTTTGCATTAGACCTGCTGGTCCGGCCTGGATATTGGGGTTAGAAAACTTACAACACTTTTTTGCTCTCAATTTTTTTTTGTTGAGATGGAAACAATGGAATAGGGATACATACGCCGACCACGACTACTTCATATCTCTCGCCAATTTTAGGTTCAGGCTTGAATGGGGGTGCTAGTCGAGGTAGAGGTGGGGCGAACGATGGTAGGACTCTCAAGTCTCTAGATGAGGATGAATGTTCGGTGAAAACTGGCATTGTTTAAAGGATTGGCGAATAGTAAGTCTAATCTGGCTATGCGGAGATGAAGAGAATTTTAGGTATACTTATAGTCTGATTAGTGGGGTTGTTGATTTATGATCTAGCTATCGCACCCCGCCACCCCCCAACTTCCACCACTTCTCCACCCAATTTTCTAATGTAAGCCCTATAAAGTAAGGACTCTTGTTTTTATCGTGAAACCCATTCTGTATGCTTGCACTTTCCTCATGCTTACAACGGTCGTCTTCCTGCTCCTTCCTGCTCAATTATCAAATGACATCGCTCGATTCCATGATACTAGTATCTTGGTATTGTGGGTAGGAAGTACCTCCAAGCATAATGGCAACAGCGGAAGCTAGCAGGATATATGGACAAAGCTTTTTGAGAGGTTGACCTATAATATTAGGCAAAAGGCCTTACCTGCGTTCATAGGGCATGTAACTATGAAACCGGGTACTTATTAGAAGCAAACAACGTTGTACTTTCCCAAAAGCAGGACGAGTGAACAAAAGCCGACTTGTTACTATATCATTAATCAATTTTCAGCTGCAGGACAAGTGGATGAAATGACCAATTATTTGGATGCAATTTGTCGATGAACAAGCGTTCCGCATGAGTGGAGAACCACCCCGCATTATTTTGGGACGATCGGTGGGGTGAGAAGGCAACGGATGTGACCACCGGCAGCCGTTTACATGTAAGCAATTGGTGATTTCCAAGGTTGGGAAAATTATCAAGATGGCCACACCCTGAGTGAGTGATTGTAGATTGCGTTGGGCTCAGTATAGACACGCTATGCCTTATAAGCATGCATGCAACCTATTCGACATCGTCGAGGCGTGTACCAGAGGAATGCAGGAAATTAAGCTAGAGTAGAGGAAATGCGGAAGGATATTTTTTAGATTTTATCTTTAGATACCACTCTATTTTACCGCTGGATATACTTTCAATCACTCGAGTGATTGGGACAGCGAAGAATCAAATACCACCCTTGCCTTCCTCCAGTGCCGAAGAAAGCACGCCGGCAAAAGCTTGTGAGATACCCCAGCGCCCACCTCGCTGCAGCAAGTCAACCATGCCGTACAATTGGTCAATATCCGTAACCATAGAGTCCTCACTACTCTGAGCATGCTCAGGGAAGCATGCACCGTACGCGGCCCCCTCACCAAGCAATTTGAGTTCTGGCGACGCGAAAGCCTCCATATTGATGACTTTATTGGGTGCATACTGCGCGACACACAGGTATATCATAGCCGCCGAGAACAGTGCACGAGGGACATGTATGGCAGGCTCAGCGGATATATTCATACGCTCGAGATACCGAGCAATCAGCGATGCGTGCACAAGAGATCGACTCGCATTCAGGGAGCAGGCCCATTCCCGTGCCGGTGTTGATGCTTTGAGGGCGAGGACGCGGCCATCTCGTCCAACTGCTTGCTCGAGGAGGTCCATGTCTGCGTAGAGGTGGATGAAGATAGAGTGCCATAATACCGGTAGATAGAATGGATCTTTCTCGGGAGTATTATATGTCTGCCACCACTGAATCAAGAGGTTGGAGGTATCTTGGCAGACTAAGTGGTCAAATTCGCGAGATTGTTTGGCGTCTATAAGGCGAGCGCTGATTCCTTCAAGGATTCCATACGCAGTAAACTGGGAATTGTGGCCTGCGAGAGGAAAGAGACCCGGAGGCGGAGAGGGTTGTGCATGGAGTAGACTTTCACTCTGAGATTTCAGGGACTGACGGAAAGCCACAGCCCATGAGGATGCCGTAGGTGCAGAAAAAGTTTCTCCGAAGCTAGGCGGGGAAACTGGCGGAAGCGATGGCTACGAATAGGCTGATGATGAAACAAAGCAGCCAGCTCGGCGTCGTGAATATTAAGTGCCGCTTGAACTCGAGCGCACTGTTCACTGTCAATCCAGCTGTGCCAGCATTTCTCGACATCGGCGCCGTCGAGTATATCTTGTGATAGGCCAGAAAGAGGACCCAGCCGATTTGCTTCACGGGCCCAGGCGGCAACTGTCCCATGCAGCACATCAGCGAGAACAAGAAACTTCGGCTTTCCGGCTAGGATAGCATAGGTTTGGCCTAGAATAGCAGCTTGTACCATAGACAGGGCGTCTGGTCGGCTTTGTGATAAATATGACTCCCATGATGCCAGAATGGCCTTGTTCAGCCGCTCGAATAGGCGTGAGCCTTGAGCTACTGCGCGGGAGGATCCAACAAATAGACTGCCAATGGAACAAATCGACAAGAATAATAGCGAGTTTTCTGACGTCGGCCGAAATGACGGAGTATGTATGATTGGTAATAAAGGATGAAATCGATGAAAGTATAATTTGGCAAATAGGTTCAACTGTTCCAAGGTCGGTAAGGCCTCATCTTCCATAGGCTGGCGAAGCTTCTGACAAAGACCAGCTCGATAAGATTCATTCGCATTCATTTGTCCTGACCGGCTTGATGCCTCTGCCGCGAATTCTCGGATGGGTCTTCTCTCATCGAATGGGGACATGTGCGTAAACCATTTCCGTTTTACTGTGTCTCCTGTCATATTTGAACTTTCAACCTCGGGGACAGGGCTTTGAATAGGGTCGAAAACGCTATTTTCTCCAGTATAATGATTCGAGGCTGGGAATAACTGAGGGATCTGTGCCCATTCGGATATTGCGGATGTGATGGAGGAGTCGAGTGCGCCCACATCAAAATTATCTTCAAGAAACCATGTTCCGGGCCCTGAAAAGGCCATTGTTTGATCTACGCCATCTTGCGCAGATACGTTGGCTGGTCCAAAATTGACATTATCTGCATGGGTCAAGCTCGCTCTATCATCAGCGTTGACAGAAGTCTGCGGAAGAATATGGCCTGCTGGGCTAGAAAGTAATCCTGAGAGGCTCCTGAACGGATCGACTGCAGACGGAGGCGTGAGCATCGAAGAATCGACACCGGGTTCTCGAGATAATACATTAGGCAATCTCTCAGACTCCGTACTGTGACTTCGTTCGTGGCGGCGCAAAACATCACTAACATTGTTAGTATCTATAGCGAATTGTAACCAAGGCTCGATCTTGTACCTTCGCGAGTATAATTTCCCACAGACGGGGCATGCAAACGGTCTTTCTTTGGTATGGCCGCGAATATGTCTGGTGAGATGTTCTTTCTTGGAGAATATCTTGTTACATTTGTGACACTTTCGGTCCTCTCGAGACCCTATTCTATCCATATCTTTCGAAGTGAATAATCTTCAAGATTAGTCGCGGGGTGATTCTGGTCGCAAGGTAGCCGGCGCAGAAATGCTAAAATACTGAGCGCACCGGAGTGAGACTTGTCGGAGGAGAAATTCTCTTTCATTCAGTATCCCCGCCCGGACTTTGTTTTGTTGCCAGTTTGAGCAATATGAGGGTGGTTGGTTGTCAAGGATAAAGAGTCTGGGGTCCCCACTTCCCCACTTCCATTTCTACGTTAGATGGAGGTTAGTCAGCCATGCTTGAGAGAACCTCGGAAATATTCAACCGGTTTCTACAACTGTTTCCTAGGCGTCTTTATGCTGGATAAATTGTTTGTCCTTTGCAATCTATGACATATGCAAGAGAGAAAAAGGCTGTAAGGTATTCGGTAAGCAAGTGTTCTTGCTAGGACACCACTTCAAGTCCGATATTTGATGACTATATATATCAACAGCCAAACCCTTTCATAACTAACTATTGATATTGGTACCTTAACATAACAATAATAGATATTTGCGAGAGTTTAATAATAAAATAAAATCATAATTGACGATACTATAATAAACTACGATGTATTTTTGCCTTTTTACACTAAATATATATACTTGCTCCTACACGATTGGAGGATTATGGAATCTCCAAAATTATAGTTGTGCAGCGTAATATAAAATATAAGTCTCGCGAGGAGTATCTCTTATTTCGTCCCACAGTATGTCATGGAAATATAAGTTACTAGAGCGTACTAAGATGCTACAACACGGAACATCATAGTTTGAATATATTCTTTCTGGTGTTCAGGTGACCCGGTAAGTTATTTGTTATTTAGGACCAGTCTCCTTCATCCTGAACAGCCTCGCCATGCTCCGAAGCGTCCAGAAGCTCCTCGACAGTCCATGGCTTGTACTCGTAGCCAGGTACGGAATTACTGTTCTCAAATGGCGCACCCACGAGGAGGTGCTCTGCACATTTGGCATAGTTCTCATATGCATACTGTTCTGGGTCATGATGCACCAGCCAATTTCCGACCATCTTGCCCATTACCTCCGGGTTCTTGGCGACGAAATCCCAGTCTGTATTGTGGTATACCTCACGATTTTTGAATCCCATCTTTTGTGCGCAAGACACTCGTTCGAATCTGTCATCGGTGTATGTATTATCAGCCCCTGTAATGTTTGAACTTCTTCCTTGCGAATTCAAATCTGCAATAAAGCCTTTTAACAGAGACATACCTCAAGTGGTTGTGCACTTTCGTTGCGAGAGACACGTTCTTCTTCCCAGCAATATGCAGACAGGCAGCCAGAGAATAGGCATCCTCCATGGCCATAGTCCCGCCGCTAGCCGAGGTCGGCAGAAATGGATGTGCGGCATCACCGATCTGGACGACGCGGCCGCCAGGTGACGCCCACCGCGGCTGAGGGTTACGCCACATGAGCTTCCACTCAAGAACGGTGTGGTTGGGTGTCGCATTGATAAGCTCGGTCACGAATGGTTCCCAGCCCTCGACGGCTTTGAGGGCTTTGTCGATTGACGTACTCTTCGCCCAGTCTTCTTCTGCATTACTATCGTGCTCCTTTCTGAAATTAGTATGCAACCTGACATCACAAGTTTCCACGCGTGCAAAAACGTACCCTGCGAGTGAGCAGCCAACAAATATCTTTTGCGGACTTGCAAGTAACCATGTGTGCCCCAGAACCAGCGTGTAGGAATGCACGGTCCTTAAATCCTTCGAACTCCTTCGCGATGACTGGATTTTCGAGCGCCGGTGTCACGGGGAAAGTGACCCGATAGAGGACAAATCCTGAGCTGATGGGGGGCTCTTTGCTACCGATGACCAATTCCCACGATTTCGAGCCAACTCCATCGGCAGCCACCACTACATCCGCCGTGATAGTGCGGCCGTCGGACAGGACCACACCACCATGGTTGTCTGCCTCGAAGAACTCTGAAGCCGTCGCGGAGAATTCGACTGGGATGCCGAGCTGAAAGGCGTACTCGAAGAGCACGTTATGCAGCTTCGATCGGTAGATAGCCAGAGATGGGTCGTTTGGGTCACCAATGGGGAACGATCCGATCAGGGCCCCATCGAACTTTTTCATATTAACCACCGGAGCAACTGCCTCTTGCCTCGCCCGTTCCATGAAGCCCGGCCATTTCTTTGGGGTATGGAGGGCAGGAGTTGTAATGACAATCATTTCGCCTGCACTCAGTCAGCTAATATGTACAACATGATTATGGTTGTTTATTTTGTCGTGATTCATATCAAGTATGTAAGTAGTCGATAATCTCTTCTCATCAGTTCTGCACTTACCGGAAGTCTCCCCGCGGAGTCGTCGTTCGACAACCCGGACATCGTGACCCTTGCGATGAGCTTCAATGGCAAAGGTTAAACCCGCAATTCCACCCCCGACAACGAGGATGGAGATTCCAGTGTCTTGTTCTCGCTTCATTTCTGATTTTGACTGTCCGAGAAGCCAAATTTTCGAGGGTAAGCTGGACGTTTAACTTGAATACTTGCTGGTATTAAAATGTTCATTTTGTGAGCGCATTCGGGATCTTGCTTAAATATGAATAGTCCACACAGAAAAGTATTGAGAAGCCGGAAGTCACGGTAAAGGATACGGAACGGACAAGTCCGGTTTCGTACCTGGGCGGATCTCTAGTCGGCTTCCTAAGTCACTTCTGTTTGGTGTCTATGGAACCAAAATTCTAATGATCTACGTAGGTATTTTTCTCTGGTCCAAATATACCACAGTCTGTAGCTCTGAGTTATCCCGACTCCGAGTGACCCACTGTGTTTCGGGAAGAAACAAGACGCCCAAAAATGATTAACGAGAACAGCTATGGTATGATGGTATATCAAAATCAGACGAAGAATCTTTGAGGTATGTCAGTAAACAGAAGCCTCTTGATTTTATGACCATTAAAAACGATACTAGTTCCTAGTTTCCAGTGACCATACCAGCTGACGTTAACATTGCTTAAGTAAAGACATAATTATTTGCTGGCCGCACAATGCCTACTTGGTATACTAGAGACCGAGCACGGGAAGAAGCTTTGAGACATTGATCGCCCTATCCTTCCATACGGATGACGCGAGAGCCGAAGCGCCGCTTAGTAAGGGCTCGGGCTACAGTATGTCGAAAGCATGAACATCGTGTCAGCGAAGGAAGCCCTGATAATTATTTTCACCTGATGTGACAGCATACAATATCCTTTCAGTTGCCCACGTCTGCATCCCCATTTTAAGCGTCTGGTCAACAGTAGATCTTTTAGGTTATCAACGGATTTGGTAGTTGCATACCTGAATACATTGAATCTGGATGGGGCGCGGAGACTTAATTATTCACTCGTTCTTGAGAACATGCCTGATTCGCTCTAATGAGTCAGCTTCGACCTATGTTATAGTGACTGGTCACTAACTAACTAATACATGAATGATGAGTCAGCGGAAGCGTGAATAAGGTGACATCCGGGAGAATGGGTCTATGGATGGGAATATGCCATAACAGCGCACAAATAACGTAATTCACAAGCGTGCTGGGAACCTGCCCCATTTGTATTAATTCAAATTCATTCAGCTTAACCAAAAGGCCCACTATTTAACAACATAACCTATCAAGATAGGCATCTCTTCCACATAAATCACGCGGCGGTATAAAGGCCCTCGGGGCCGTGTTCTCTGAAGGGGGACGGACCGGAAGCCGGTACGCTTTTCCTTCTGCTTGTTGTTACCGGCGCGGGATTTGCCCACTTCTGTAAAGACAATCATCCTGCCGAATGTATCGGACCGATGCCTTCCCGGTTTCAGCCTCCTGTGAGACTCCGGTTTGATATCTATGTAGTCCTCCTTAGGTCTCCCGGCTTGGCAACCTGCTTCCACCTGTATAGACCTATAGCTTCCAAGAGTGAATGAAGCATCCTATCCTTCCTTCCTGTCCTTCCCCAGCTTTTTAGGCTTTATCAACTTCTTATTCGAGCATAGCGGCCGATTGTATTGTAATATGGCGTGCTTTGAGAATTTGATTTATCGCGGAATGAGGAGTAGATCTGGGAACGACACGCGGATGACCCTCAATCTCTGAGGGTTGAGGTTCTAGTCGAAGGACCCGCGAGGTCGGTCCTGCTGAGGCCGGACCGTCAGGGTTCACCAATAAAATAAAATAGAAAACTCGTGACTTCTGGTAACTTGTAGAAACATAATGTATTTTTCAGTATTTTCTTTACTAAGATTCTAATAAATTCTCGCCACATAAGTACAAGACAAAATTGTCATAAGGGTCTCACATCCGATTCGCAAATTGGTCTAACTTTGTAGAGCATACCAAAGGCAAGCGACACGAGAGAAAATGATATGCTGAAGAAGAAGTCCCTTTGCCCCTATGAGAAATGATGGTAGAGAATGCACAACTGACGCTCACGATAGGCTATATTCGGTGAGGCAATGGGAGCGAGCGCTAGTAATCAACAACCAACATCAACCCAACAGCACAATTCACGCATTTTCTGGAGATAGCGTTGACTGTCTCATGTCAGTCCGCCACACGCCAAAGAATGGCTTGGTTCCCTTCCTCGTCATCTCGGGCGTCGCCTTTGCCATTTGACGTATGTACCAGTCTTCCTGGGCGGTCTCAACGTCACTAGCACAGCGTAATTTGTTTTGCGTAGACACTGGGTCCACGAACGTCTGGAAAACCATGCGCCGCTCATCAGAGTAGGTGTCCAAAGTGGCGAGGGGTTTGCCTTCGTGGATGATGAGTTCAAGGGTATCTGCAAGCGCTTCGGAGTCAAGTATGCCTGTAGTAAGACCCATAGCTCCCATTGGCTACGTGACACTGTTAGCACTGAAGTCTTTGCAGTGTGGTAGCGGTAGACGCGACTTACATTGTTCAGGTGTGCTGCATCCCCAGCTAAAGCGCACCGTCCACGGCTGAAGGTCGAAGCGCAGAGTTGATGCACTCGGAACGGCGATGCTTTGATTACCGCATAAGCGAGAGGCCGTGGACCCGGAAGGACTCGGGTCAACAAATATGTGAGACTCGTCTCGGAGATTAGCTCTTGATTTGTTCGAGAGTCTTGGGGGCCGACCGCAACTGAGCATCTCCATAAGGTTTCCTTTCCCTTCTGTGGTTCTTCGAGTGGCGAAATGAGAGCAAAATGGACTGGGTCGACCACAAGAGAACTAGGTAGCTCCTCATCAAACTCCATGTCTTTGACCAAGACGTCGATGGCGATCAGTCGCTCTGGCCAAGTGTGTCCTTTGAATTGGATCCCGAGAAGCTTTCGGGTGGCTGATCTCGCTCCATCCGCTCCAACAAGAAATGACCCATTGAATGTTTTGTGGTCGCCCTGACGGTTGGTTACAAGGGCAGTAACAGAGGCTGAGTCTTGCTCAATAGCTATGAGTTCGCTCCCAAAGTGAACAGTGACCAAATTGGTCTCTTGCGCCTTCTGGTAAAGAAGCTTTGTGAGCTTCGCTTGTTGAAGATTGACCACTCCAGTATCCCAGTCATTGCTGCCGATAACAGGCAGCCTAGCCAGGACGTCCCCCAAAATTTTTTTGCCTTCATCACAATCCATGAGCGGCTTTCTCCAGCACAATCCGGCTGTTGTAAACCCAGCCTTCTTCACATCGTCCAGAACCCCAGCCCGTTGCAACGCGTGTAGGGCTGCTGCGTAGTAGGAGCACGCACGGGGTGCTTCATTCAACGCAGTCTCTTTCTCGACGATATCCACAGTAATACCTGTTTGCGCCAGCCTCAGGGCCGTAAGCAAGCCGACCGGGCCAGCGCCGACGATAATGACTTTGTGGGTTACGTCGTCAGACCCCATTGAGGAAAAGTAGCCAAATATGTCTGTATAAGAACCTCAAATGAGGAGAGGGAAGGCAGGAGAGAGAATGTGAAGAAGGGAAATCAATGTTCAAGCTTGGAGTCAAGTTGCAAAGGAAGGCCAATGGAGCTATTTGTAGCTCTGATACTGTGCATAAGATCTTTCAGATCATGGACCGGGTCATAACGGGCCCCAAATCCGATGAAACTACCCTTACTGTCTCTGTTCTATTATGAAGTCATCGTACCATCCCATCCGATATAGAATTGCATCATGGAATCGGTCATTTCGTGTTTGAAGTGCAGTCTCAATTGAATTACCTGTTTTGGTCATGATCGACATATAATAAAGGGGCTTTTCTTGTCCCACCTCTCCCGAATAACTTGCCCACGGTACCCGAAATGATCTACACCACTTCATCCGACCGGATCACATCGTACGAATAAGATTAACCAGCATAGACGCCTGAAAAATGCCTCATATAAGTTGTCCGCCTTACCCGAGGACTCGAGACTTGCAGTGCTAGCTACTATAAACCATCCGGAGTATTCCGCGGAAACGCAAGGCCGAAGCCGAATCAAGGTGCTATATGTTTGTGGCTTTCCTTTCTTTCTCTCACGAAATCCGAATACAGACTTGAGAAATACTTGCCCCAAATGCCTTCCAAGGACTACGCGTACAAGACAGTTGACGCGCTCCAGATCCTAGTCACCATTCACTATCGCGAGGATGATGGTCAGCCAGACAAAAGACCAGTTGGTACGTGTTACATGGCCAAACCCCGACATGTGGCTGATAGTGATCACAAGCAATCGGTTTTCATTCTGGTGGGTTCACCGTTGGCTCTAGGTTTCTCTTCAATCCCAATGAGATAGAGGCGCTGTTGGATCTCGGTTTTGTGGTGGTCGTCGCTGATCACCGTTTGTGTCCACATGTGTCCCTGTGGGAGGGGCCTATTCAAGATGCAAAGGAAGCGCTCGCTTGGACAAGGAAGTCCCTTCCAAGTATATTTGAAGATGATACCAGTATTCAGATCGATCCAGATCGCGTTGTTGTGTTTGGGCAATCCTCGGGCGGGACCCTTGCTTTGCATCTAGTAAGTCTACAGTTCCGTGCTTATAGAATCATGACTTCAGAAGCTTAAACAAGCCACCTCTATTCAGGGAAACCTCCCCAATCCTCCTCGGGCAATTGCTGCATTCTACGCCGCTGCGTATTTTGACGATGAGCTCTGGAATCAACCTAACCCCGGCGCTGAGATGATACCATCTATCGACAAGTCCTTCGCCGACCGTGTTTATGACGAGCCTCCTGCCTCCATGACAATAATTGCTCCCGAGCAGTTTGTCATCCCAGGTACCATGCCGATGCCGGATATTTCAAAGCCCAGAGACGCCTGGCTGGCATTGGCATTCAAGGACGGGAAGCACCTGGCCCGCTGTGTTCAAGACGGTGATTATCAACGGGTTGACCCTGCAACATCTTTCTCGTCGAAGTTTCCCCCAGTCATCTTTCTGACTGGGACAGATGACACTTTTATTGACCCGAAGTTCTCCAAGAGGGCACACATGCGGCTGTCTGAACTGGGAGTAGAATCGAAACTGGTCTTGGCGGAAGGGGGACAACATGGGTATAATTTCGGAATGGAAGGAGACGAATATTCCTTCAAGAGTACGGTTCTACCGGCTTTTGACTTCTTGAGGAGCCATGTGTAGGTAGTGCGCAGGAGATTAAATTTGATCAGTCTGATGCTGAGTTACTATTATTGTGCAGCGATGCAAATATAGAATTGAATTTGAGGCTTGCATGATAGTTTGTAAAATCAAGTCGCAAACTTGATTTTCTTGCATCTCAATAGGTAACTTAACTAGGAGATTGTGACGATGATGAATCAGCACGGACAATATGCACGGGCCCAATTGAAGCGAAAACTCCACGACCTCTTAATTCTGTTACTCGCAGTTACCGATGCAGCAAAGTCTTGGTTGAGTTATTTGTCATGCCACAGCCTCGACACAAAAAGCCGGATTTGGTCTGTACATCATGCCCGAGGACGTTCAAGCGATTCGAACATTTCGAACGTCATATCCGGACGCATACGAAAGAAAAGCCCTTTGCTTGTGTATGGTGTAGCCAGACCTTTAGTCGCGTGTTCGTTTTTCCTCCATTGAGCCCAAGAAAATGGTGAGCGGGTACTAATTTTATAAAGTGATTCGCTCACGCGCCATCATGCTACTGTACACCAAGCGCCGAGTTTGGAAGGTACTGGTGCATCAATAAGAGCCAGACGCAGAGCTATTAAAGCGTGCGGGCCCTGTGCTCAGTCAAAGCTTCGATGTGATGGACATGAGCCATGTCAGCGGTGTTATTATCAACATAATCACTGCTATTACGGGTCTTCCAAGCGTATATCGGCAGATGCCATTGAGGACAGTGTCTCTTCAAAGTACCCAACAACCTCGGCTATCCAATCTAGGCCAGGGTTGCAAAATCAAAGTATGAGCTTTTCAGAAAATGTTCAAAAGCCGTTGCCAAGAACTTTGACGGAGTATACTAGTTCTGTTGCTGTTGCGCTGCAAGACCAGACCACAGACCTACCACATCCTGAAACAATAGAAGCAAGCACACTTCCGCGAGAACCAGCAAATTTCAATAATACAGAGTCATTACAAGCTCTTCATAACACTGATACAGCTTTCACGTCTTCTCTTACTCCTAGAGATTGGATTGACTTTGACGCCTGGTTCAATACAAGCCCTGAATATGATTGTCTACTGGGCGCATCACTTTCACAACCGGTTTTGTCCTTGTTAGATGATGTTCAATCCGCACCCATGACAGAAGCATTTGGTCATGAACCTCGGTATGCAACATCTCAGTTCACTGCGCAAACCTGTTCTGCCGTGAATGAGAACTATCAGCGTATTCAGTTACCCGAGACTGATCAAGATGCCGTTGGGCCAAGAACTTATAATCCAGTTCCCAACGAAGAACACAATGAATTCATGTTCCCCGACATGACCCATGTTCCTGCTGAAGATGTGGAGCTGGAAGACTTCTCGCATGTGGAGCGAGTCCCAGCTGATATCACAGAGAAGGTCTTACAATTTGCGAACGACATACAAGTCAACTCCAATTATCCAAGATTTATTCAGTTAAGGATCCCACCGCCAAGTGTCCTGAATTCTTGGGTTCAACTTTACTTCGAGCACTTTCATCCCATCTTTCCCATCCTCCATAAATCAACTTTTGTTCCGTCGCGCACGAATCCGTTCCTTGTGTTCGCAGTGGCTGCTCTCGGATCTCATTTTTCGAACATCGACGGGTCGTTCTCTTGCCTCAAATCGATGCATGAATTGATACGACGATACACAGCTTACACTGTAAGACATATTGGCAAGATTTATTGATCATTACAATCCACTGATATCTCCAATAGTGTGAAAAATGGAACCAGAAAAGCAGAGAATTATGGATGACCCAGACGATTATCTTAAACCAGCTGGGATTGATGTACTCTGGTGATCGCAGAGCGCTGGAGTTGGCAGAGCTGTTTCAGTCAGTTCCGGTGACTCTAGGTCGACGAAAGAGGCTTTTCTCAAATGTCCTTCCTCCAGACAAATTGTCCTCGATGCTATTGCCTATTGACAGCGAGTGGCAGCTCTGGGTATTGGATGAGCAGCGTCGGCGGGCAGGATTCGCCATTTGGGTCAGACTGCTCTTGTCAGATCTTCTTGTTCACAGTTCAGTGCTAATCAGAACCTACAGCTCATTGATTTAGCTTATGACCACGATTTTGATCTATCCCACACCATCAGGCCAGAAGAGTTACAAAATTGCTTGCCCCAGCTGGAATCTCGTTGGGATGCACCTAACGGCCAAAGCTGGGCCAGCTTTGCGAGCGGCAATGGTGAGTCAATGAATGCTACTATAGACATATGAGAGCTTAGCTTTACTAAAACACACCATGCTCTTATTAGCCAAGCATCAGACTCTCTGTCAGGTGGCTGCAAGTTCCAGTTGGAGAGCAAGCTGGGTTCAGACCGGTACCCTTGGGAAGCAGGCCATTCTTCAATATCTGGCATACGTTGTGGACGCTAGATGGCAGTCGGCCGGTATTCCTGGGTTCTCAGCAGACGATAGGAGGACTGCTGCGAGGACGCTCGAGGAACTTCTCGCCCAAATAGAGGACGGATGTGACACACACTCAGTCTCCGAGTTGAAAGCCGCCATTGTCCATAGGATCATGGCTATGACTGCACTGATGAACTTTCATGCGCCGGTCTCCAATCTTCTATCCGTGGCTTTCAAAATTATATACGGAAAATTACAGAAGGGCTTCTGGGAAGGGATGGCGGATCAATGGGCAAAGTTTCCCAATCAAGGACGTACAGGGGTGCTCTTTGCTGCCCGTACCCTTAAAACAGTCGGGTCCAGTCGTTGTACCCATTTCAGTACGCCAGTCTCTCTCTTGAGGGCAGTACTGCTTCTTTGGCTTTATTCTACGATTTCTGATCGGCTGAGAAGACTTTTTCCAGCTCAGTTGCCTATCCCTTCGGTGGTACTAGACCTGAATGCTTTGGACTCTGTTGAGTTGCGCAACTGGATTGAGAACGGTTCCAGTTGTGTCAAGCTTCCAGGATGCGGCAATATTATGACGATAAAAGGGAGATCGAAGATGCTGAGTGAATCTGTTTCGGTTATGAAATCTCTCAATGCATGGGGAATTAACAGCATGTATGCGCAACTATTGACCCGACTACAAGAAACAGATAGCCCACAGGAATAGATGATTGTTATCTATGAATCAACCTCAATATACGACGAGATATATATGTTTCCTCCTGAGTGTCACATTAAACTACCTTGCAAGCTTTGTACCGGTTTAGAAACCCCTTTTGTAAAACTAGGAACGCTCGAGGGCTGATAATAAAGTCCGCCGTGAAGGGTTAAAGTGTTCCGGTTGTATTTGTGGTCCACAAGGATGCAGGGTCGAGTTGCACTCCTGCCTGTTGGCAATTTCAGTATCTGAATTCTCGCCTTCTCCATCCATTCTAATAGTGATCCTTCAATAATGACGTCAGTGTGAGACAGTTTTGATCCTAATAACGACTTACAATGTTTCTCACACTGCAAAACCCGTGTTTCTATACTATACTATAGCTTGCTTTCCGAAAGGTTCTTTTGTGTTTCACGAGCAAGTTTCTGAACTCTGCGAGGGTCGGGGTAAATGATTTAACACGAACACACATACTGTGCCCTTCAAGGATGCCCTAACGTTGCTCCTGGGAATTTTTACCATGGTTCCCATTGCAATCCGGTAGACAATGGCATACTTAAAAGACCTTGTAGCCTTCAAAAGCCGATAGAATAAATTATAAAGACTAGGGTTGCGGCCCTGGTCCAAACCCGAGCTGATCAAGGTCAATACGAGGTACCTCTTTTCGTTGTGCTTAGTCGATTTAGCAGGAATACGCTGTCATTGGTTGGTCAAAAACAGGACAAGGATAGTATAGCAAAGATGTGCATCAAATATTATTGAGATTCGCAGGCAGCGGGACTCCTTTTGTCTTTTGTTTTTGAAAAAGTCTGCTCGCTGTCGATATTGTTGAACTCCGCGGATATTAGACCTCGAATGGGGTATATATCAACATCCGACGTCATGTGATAACCTTTATGTCGCTTTCCTGTATTACCTCCGTGGTTCATATACAGGAGATGCCTAACAATAGCTTTGCCTAGACGGTTCGCTCATGGAGCTTCGATCCCGTTGTGCGCTAGAAGCGCCATTAAGGCATATAAAGTCGAAATCGGTGTGCTGCTGTCTGCTAGTCATGTGGTGAATGGACGAGACGACAAGTGATCGGAGACATGGTAGTGAGGCAGTGATAATCACTATATAGCTTTCAACGAGACCCCAGCGTACGAGGTGGGAAGTCGCCCCCGTAAAATTAGGGCTGATAATGTCCTTAAGTGAGACGGTTTTGGCCAAAGAAGCCGCCATTGCACTGAAGCCAATTAGTACAAGCATTTATTTTAGAAGGCCAAACAGAGCCATAGGAAATATCACGATGACACCTACAAAAGCCCAAGGCTCATCAATACAATAAGACTAACTCTTACCCCGAGCCGAAGATTGAGACCCCAGAAGATGCATGTCGGCACTATGACAAGGTACAGATCAACTGCAGTGTTGAAAGCTATTTATGGAGAGCAGTCAGTAAGGTATAACGTGTAAGTTGGGGACCTTTGGTTCGCAGAAGCAAGCAGAAGTGGGCGTACCAGTTTGAAAGTAAGCGTAACGTGCTTGACGGGTAAGACATCCACGAGGGAGGCCTTTGTTCCAGGTCGACTGCAGCTGCAGATCTTTGCAACCGGTGAATATCAGGATAATGGACACGGCGTTAAATGTCACCTCCAAGATTGCGAGCGTCAATAAAATAATTCTATGTTTCGTCTCCCCACCTAGGATGGCCTGAAGATAGAGAATAAAGGCCACACGGCCGGCAGTGCTGCTGCCAATGACACATGCCTGAGTGATGGTATAGAATTTGAATACGTGGACGGCAGAGTCGAAGTCAAGTTCCCAAATATCCTGCCCATAGCCATAATGCACGGCAATGGTAAAAAGGGTAGATGCAACGATGGCTAGAGCCTGGAGGCGAAAGAAACAGGACGGATGTGAGCCAACGGATTGGAAGCTAAACATGCCCTATAAAAGACGGTCGACGTACCCAGGCAATCATCATGGTGGCGTCATCCACCTTTAAACGACCGATCCTCGCCTTGGCGAAGATGCGCAAGGCGACCACCACAGTAGTAACGCCTCCTAAAACCCAGAAGAGAATAACCAAGGAATGGGCCTTCATTAATATGAGGTGTGTTCGCCAATGCGCTATTATCTCTGGTCTGCAATGAACGTAGGTATTGTATCATGTCGAAAAGGTCGAAGTCACCATGCTTGAGATGGAAAAGAGGAGCAGAATCGTATATTTACGAGGAGACTCTGCCAAGAACCAACAGAAAGCAAGTCTCGTAGCTGTTTTGAAGGTTCAATGGTTACGGTCAGTGAGAACTGTGGCTGGAAGCCAAAACCTCTGTCTAGGCCTCGGCCTCGTCCAGGCCCCACCAAAACGCGGGTCTGATCCGGGATTTAACTTTAAAAAACCCCCAACATTGATCCCATGCACTTGTTTCCCCCGTATTCTGGACTGAAATCCTTGGTTTCGTTAATACATCCAAAGTCAACATAGTTGACGCGTTAAAGTTAAGGTGTGGGGACTCTTGGCACATTTGGCAGGATAGCGCGTTTTTGGGCTGCATGCATCTAGCTGACGGATCCAAACACCGAGGCACTCCTTGCTTACTGTACAGTAAAAGTTGATATGACATGATGGTTGTTCTACAAATGATGCGCGAAATTTGAAACCAAACGCTTCTTGGTGATAATTGGGGTGCTATCTGTAGCGGGAGAGTGTATTTAACACGCGAGGGTTACTCGCGGTGAATTAAAATACCAAAGGGGTTAAATTATGGCGTCATTGGCGGAGATGGCTTCTCTATACCACCGCAAGCCTACTCGTAACAAGTAAATACTAAATACAACGATCTAGCACTGCATCTCCCTTAGCTGATGAAACTCAACTCCATTTGAACACTGCTATGTGGGTTAGTCTGTTTTGATGCAGTAGTAATGACTTCCAGTCCAACCTCCAAGCCCACTCAGTCTAAGAGAGACTCCAATACCCTCCCGTGTGGCCTTCGTCAAAACCACCAATACGCCTTGTTTCATGTCTCCTGTTTCCAGGCCCTAAGCCCCAATCTGCGGATACAAGATGTACGACATGGTACCGCAGCTTACTCTGCACTGTACTCCAAATCCTACTCATTCGCCCGACATCTGATGGAAGCTAATTCAATTACTTTCAACAAAAATATACCTGTTAATTAACATTGATCTATCCGATATGTGCGCTGTTTGACATCACACTCTGCGTTTCAAGGTACAGACAAGACCCTTCTGTTGCACAAACCAGATATTCCTTGTTTCCCACTCCTGCTCCGGGATAGACAGTGATAACTCAAACTTGTGTAGAATTTCGGGAACAACCTTAGCCATCTCCATCATTGCGATATGTCTTCCAATACATGTGCGCGGCCCTGCGCCGAACGCGAAGAAAGACTGGTCCATTATTTTCAACTCTTCTTCCGATGCATCGAGCCAACGCTCTGGCTCAAACTTCTCGGGATTTGGAAAGACATCGCGATCATGCTGCGTCACCCATGCGTTAATGCCAACAATGGTCCCTTCAGGAACATGGTGGCCGCACAGCTTTGCACCGCCGGTTGGGACATAACGCTCTAACAAAAGGCCAACTGAAGGGTGGATTCGCAGAGCTTCCTTAAGCACAGCCTGTAGATACGGTAGGTTGTTTTTTGACTCCTGAAAGGAGATAGGCTGACCGAGCTGCCCTCTTGCAAATGCGCTCTCGATCTCAAGTACCAGTTTCTGCATCTTTATCGGACTTTTGAGGAGATAGTAAAACACCGCCCGTAGAGCGATGGCAGTTGTATCGGACCCTGCGAAAACATTTGTGCTCAGGTGCACAACGAGGTCCCGAGTGGATATCTTGTCCGGTTCAGAGAGTTTGAGAGCGTACCACTTCGAGAGCATATCTCCACGACGCTCGAGGCTTCCCAGGTCTAGCTCGTCGCCCTGTTTCCCCTTCTCTTCAGAACCAGTGTCCCGGCCCGTAACCGTATTGACGGCTTTGAGGGTAAAACTCAGTACCTTGTCCCAGCCCTCCATTGAGGGTAGGAGGATGGGTAGAAGTGGATTGCCCATTAGGAACTTGTGCCAGATAGGGACCTGACCTACTTGACTGGCATATGTCTGACGCCTTGGTAAGCATGATGGCCTATTTAAGTAACAGGTTGGGCAGTGTTTACATACCAATAGATTCTCAATGGCATGGATTATCCCATCAACATCTGATCCAGCGTCAAGGAATCCCAGCTTCATTCCGAACGTAAGTTCGCCCACAGTATCGAAGGTGTAAAACTGAATCCACTCGCCAAAATCCACAGGCGTGTTTCCATCCGCAAATCTTGCAAGTTGGCTGACCAGGAGCTCCGTGCATGAATCAACGGCCTGCTCACTGGAGAGCAATGTCGATAAACTATACGCATTGGCAACGGGCCGTTTCAGCTTACGATGATATTCTTCATCGATCGTGCCAAAAAGGTTGACCTCTACCTTCCCCTTCCATGTAATTGACTGGATTGGGTAGAATGCGGTCTGATTTCCGATTAATAGCTGCGTTTGACAAGATGGCTGTTTTGGGTGCTTTTACCTTGGTGTAACCGGACTTGAGGCCATAGATATTTTTAATCTCTTGAGGATCAGAGATAGAGACATGATGCGGCCCAATGCGTACAATCGGCCCGTACTTGCGATGCAGCTCTATTGCTCTCTGATGTGCTTTTCCACTGCGGACGTCCTTCCATCGCCAGAGCCCTGTGTATGCTGCCAGCCATGGCCCAGGTAACATTGCAAGGCCCCGACCATATTTGTTGCGGAGTAAATGTATGAAAAGCACGAGAAATGCTGCGATAAGCAACCCCTGGGCCATATTGGCTGCAGATGCTGGGATGGTGTTTTGCTTGGTTAGCCGTGTCGTAGCAACGTGCATTGGAACAGCCGTAACTCCTCTTCTACTATCCTCACTTTAATCTAGCCTTCGTCTGACTTAAAATTTTTTTGCAGAAGCTAGTTTAACAGTGAATTCGATTCCGCGGTCCGAATTCCGAGGTCCGAATTCCAAATTTAGAATGCTCCGTGGAACACCTACTAATACCAGGTAAGCAAGCACTACAGCTTGGTACAAGGGACAAATACCGAGCACCATACCGATCAAGCTACCCATAGACCTCACATTGCTCAATTATGTCAGGTTCGATGGGATATACAAACTAAGATTTCGACATACATACTGTACATTAGCATATACGACTGAGAAGGAATAATCATATGCTCACACTATGTTCGAAACTTCTCCGCCCACACCAAATCCACAATTAGTAGATGAAGCCAGCGAAGGAATGCTCATATAATTTGGGTAAGACACCGAGCAAAGGTCAAGCCACCTAAGTCTACGTAAGCAGCAGGTACGAAAACTTGCTTATGAAGAGGGTGTACAGGGTTGAACCCTTCCTGCTGCAGCTAGCCAACTTCTTTGTCGATATATTACATATCAGTTGCTGCCATATTGACATCTCCCAACATGGAGAAGTACTCCGAATCCCGCGCTTGGAACTTATCAAACACGTTGCCTTCATTATAGGGCTATCCGTGATAGAAATTATTGCCAGTGCGTTCCTTGCAATTGACCAAGTGCGCCGACCGCTTAGAGGGTAACATATGAGTAGGTTCAGCAACCACCTCCAACGGCGCTTGTGATGTGTCGCTTAATATGTAGGCAGCGAGAGCACAATGTAATTCCGGGAAAAGTAGGGCTTTCTATATGCTGATTCAAGCGTCGGTACCTCCAGATTAAGACCGAACATTTGGTAAGATCCTACCTCCGGCTTACCTGGGATATCAAGGGTCTCAAAATTTTAGAAATCGTCAGCTTTATATCCAGGTATGAATCATAGAACCTTCTCTGCAGGATGCATTGGATTTAATTGTGTTAGATCATTCTATTGATTGTTCTAATGGTAAACGCGCTAGACTATCCTGAACACGGACCACGATCCCTGCAACTTCACCACGGCGTTAAGGTACTTCAAAATGCCCCATTGCTCGAGTAACTGGAGCAACACGCTTAAACCATGGGTGGAAGCCTTAGGAAACCAAGTGAGTCCCCATGGCACGCTATCTGTTGTGGCAACTGTAGCTTACTGCGCTGGTAGGGCTACGACAGGCACGATGATCGTCGAGTCATACTTTCCACCGAAGTGAATCGTATGCCGACCTTCGTTCAGGTTATCGAGTTTCTTATCAATGTGGCTGGGGAAATCCGAGCTCGTATCAATGAAGCCTTGGACACGGAAGAGCAAGGCCTCCCCAGCTTCGAAGTGGATGCCCATGGGCCAAAGGGAGATTTCAAGCTTGACAATATTGCCCAGGGGTACTTTCTCTTCCTTGTCGTGGGGATGGTACGGGATCATGGGCGTGCTCCGTTCTGGGACCTGAGCGCGGTGCGAAGCCCGGAGAATGCCAGTCGGTCCAGTATACTGTGGCGCGAATCCGGTCAGCGTGCTTCTCAATGCTCTCTTGGAGGCTTTTCAGTCGGAACAAACCACTCACCTTGACAGTCTGCGCCATTGGAACATCGTGTTGGGTGTTGACCCCATGAGGTAATGATTCCCAGGGAACATTCACATGTTCTAACACTTCACCGTTCTTGCTCAACTTGCGGATAGATACATAAACATCCATGTCGTCCTTCTCCTTGCAAGACATCCACAGTTCTGCCTTCGAATGGCCCACGAGAGTAGTCGCTTTGTCGAAGGCCAGCACAAACTCGGATGGTTTTGCCTGATAGCTGTCCGCGTAATGGGCGACGGAGTTCTCATTAGATTGCGGTGAGGTGGCCAGCTTTCCAGAGTCTTGCAGGTAGAGTTTGCGATATTCGGTAGATGGGATCGGGTAGTCAGCGAATGGCAAGTCCCATTTTGGACCCTATTAAAAGATGTCAGTGTGGCCTTACGATGATTCTGTCACATCAACCTACAGGCTCAAAACGGTTCCCATATGTGAGAACAGAGACCCTAGCCTTGGGAGTCTTCTCCCAACCATTGTCGATACCCTTCAAGTAACGATCGAAGAACCGTTGCAGATCATCGATGTATCTTGGAGTGTAAAGATCGAACCACTCCTGAGTCGGATGGAAGCGAATCCATTTGTCTTTCGAGGGGGCCCCAACCCAGCCTCTCACGGTACCAGAACCATGATTCCCCGAAGAATAGCTAACAAGTGCATATATCGGTAACGTAAGATCACTGGTGTCGTAGACTTTATCTTCCCAGTATCTGTTGAAAAGAGGCCACTTAGTGAGCGCTTCGCCAATGTCCTCCCGACGATTACGGCCACGAATTGTTTTGTCGAAGATGAATGATGCGAAGCTGGTTTTAGGAACACCACCGCGGCAGATTAGGTCACGATACTTATCCGTGAACCCTTCCCAAGGCGCAATACACTTGAGCGAAGGTGGTTTCTGGATGGCGGTCGTCCACTGCTCCGTTGCCAGCCAGGAATTGCCACACATGCTTACAGCACCATTGCACCATGGTTGTGCTGCGATAAATTCGACCGTATCGTAACCGTCCACACCTGACAACTGTCAATAACCACCGTATCAATTCTTGCCTTGGGGTGGAGGAGTAGCGTACCCATCTGGCTTCCCTCAATATAAAGATCGCCTTCACTATCCCAAGTGCCTCGGATGTCTACGTTGACGATTGCATAGCCGCGAGGGCACCACTCAGCAGGATCGGGCCTATGTCGCCCGGTCAGCATTTCCCATCTGATGCGTCGCGCAGAGAACTGTTTACCCTTCGAATTTCTCCAGACCGGATGTGGCACTCTCCGGTAGTCCGAGCCGGAAGGGAATATTGTCGAAGATGCGGAATCCTTGCAACCATATCATGGTTAGGTTCTATTTCAAGCTGCAGGTTTACGTGAGTTCCATACCGTGTCCGTTCTTTCCATATGGGCTGACGGCCAAGATGGCAGGAATTTTGGCATCTGTGACGGGCCGGAAAATGTCACAGTAGATCTTGGGAACCGGATGAGTAATGCTTTCTGCAAGTCTATTGCGTTTGACGAACCTTGACTCCGTCCCTCAGTGGAATTTCGACCACTTCGTCAAATACGGTTTCTTGATGGAAGGGGCGTCTGCCCTCCGCAAACTGCCAACCTACAGGCAGTGTCCTAGTGTTTCTAGTCTGCTTCTTGTAGGGATACATGTTTGTCTCATCTTCTGGTCGGTTGGTGGGTGTCCACGGAATAGGAAAACCCCCAAACTCAAGCTTCGGTCCGGTCATGGTGCAGATTTGCGGCTAACGTCGCTAGGTAGCCTCTCTCGGTAAGACAAAATGCAGATTTGAAAAGAGTCTTGGTTGTATTTAGTCGAATTGTACTGCAGTGGTAGTTATACTTGTAGATGACAAAGATTGGTTAGATAGCCCGCCTCAGCTTCCGCGGAACTTAAGATGGTTCCGGTGAACTCGGAACCTTCCCACGGTGGTTCTTGTGGGCGCTACGGCAAGGTACTTGCTACAAAGTATTTCAAATAAAATGATTCCGTGGAAAATTATACTATACTTTCCATTCCGGCGGCCAAATGGATAACCCATTAACGGCAAACATGGCAGGGATAGAAATGCCATCAACATGGAATCACGTTACCGCAGCCTTGAGAATATCATGTATGAATGTTGACGACCGAGCAGTCCTGTACTTCCCTGAGTTTGGACAAAAGCATTTTCCTTTCCACAATGGTCGTTCCAAATTCAAAACGTTAGCCATGGACTGGCCCGGTAAGTATATCCACATCAGGGACATTTATAACTACAGCCGGTAATAGGCATCCAAGCACCTCTATAAAAATACCAGTGATTATATCTAGATCCGCCATGAGGTTGGTTGTTCAAGGATAACTAGGTACAGTATTTCTCGACTTATCACCCAAGTTGTTCATAAGCTTCACGATGATGTGATCCTCCCATTTCCTTCTGGTTACATCCGAGATCCTCTAGTCTTTCTGTATTCACAATATTTTCTCCTGCAACTGCCAGCATAACGATCGTCTCCGATTAACCTTACTATGGATATCAAAGCGCTTCTTCGGAGCTGGAAATTCTTGATCAACCTTCGTCTGTGAAGCTAGTCCAAGGCGGTAAGCTTTCGGGGGTGGATCTCATCACTAGTGATTACCCCCGCCCCTGGTCGGCGTATCCTACTTTGATGTTTCCATGTACGGAATCCCCTTTATTCACAAACAAGAAAATATCAGATTCTGTATCTGTCTCTCATAATGGTGTGTCTTTCTCTCTCACAGCTAGATTACTCTACTTGTTAGAGATTTTTACGAGATGACCGCAACTTCCTTCGGGTTGACCGTTAGGCCGAGTCAATATTGGGTGTATTAGCCGACCGGTCGGCTTCTACAAGTGTCATGGCTGAACTCTAGGGATCGTAAAGAGCAGGTGACTCACATAAAGAGACCGCAATCCTCTTCGGGTTGACCGGAGGGCCGAGTCAATGTTGGGTGTATTCCCCGACCGGTCGGCTGCTAGAACTGAGTATCATACAGAGCAGCTAACTCACGAAAGGAGACTGGGGAACATGCTGATTATAGAGTGTCTGTTGGCTCGGACCAGCTATTATGTGCTAGAAGCCCTTTCCTATTTGAGCTTCGCGCATTGGGTAGCACAGTTCCCGTAGTTTAGCGTCGGCACCAGGAGGCTCTACCACTTGCCGAAATAGTCGGCATGGCACTTGGATATCGGTAAGTCCTGTCAGTCTAACTCAAATAACTCAAACTATGTCTCCATCCATGCGGGGTAAGCTAGTATCCGCCACTCTCCGGTTCTGATCGAACCCCGGATCCCCGTTGATCTAACCCTGTGATGTAGCCTGATTAGGTATACTTTGTGGGGACTGCGGGGAGTATTTGGGCCTGGCTTTCCTCAAAACCACAGGCGGTTCCTCCCCTCAATTTTCTCTTCTGATGTTCATTTCTGTCTACTCTACCACTTCCATGCCAGTATGAAACCCACCACATCTTCAACTTTGTCTCGGGGTAAAAGGTCTCCGAGCGCTCTCCGGGAGTCCCGGCCCCGGAAAAGGGAGAAATATACAAGAAGGGCCTGGTAGGTTTTGCCTCAACAGATCTCCTTTTTTTGGTTTTTTTTTTTTTTTTTTTTTTTCCCATTTGCAGTAGCTTACCATAGATAGCTCTTTATGCAAGATACGTAAGGTCAAGTGCAGCGGAACTCAACCTTGCAGCCGGTGTGACGAGCTCCGTAGCGAATGTACCTACAACGAGCCATTTCAGTCTGACCATGAGTATGTCCCCGCGATAGAAGAAATCATCATTGCAGTCGTCGGTGGTCCAAACTAATCACCAAATAGCGGCTTCGACCCACAGCCGGCCCACCAGGACCTTGAATCCACGGTCTTGCGAATGAATAGGATTTGTGAACAAATGCAGCAATCGATGGGGCGCTTTGGCCTGGTTCATCCACGCGGGGCCTACCTACAACGAAGACACTGGAGTGACGAGCTTCCTCGACCGAGCAAACCCCTCGCTCATACGGACTTTCAATACACCTTGAACCTCACGCAGGACGCTATGAGAGCAAGAGACCTCACACCTCCTCAAGACTCCGCAAGTGGACATCATTCGGTCGCTGATGACGAATTGAAATACCCCGATACTTTGATCACTTTACTGCAAGCCGCACGACCCATCTTGGAACTTGGCCACGAGAAGGTCACTCAGCTCTTTACAATATTCAAAGACGAGGTCTACCCTATATATCCTTGCATCAGCCTGGAATTGGGCTATGGAGCTATCGACGTCATCTTTTCACATTTGACGCATGCTGCCACCGGAGCTACTTCCAAGCTGGATATGATCGATGTAGAGCTCACGAAATCAGTTTTAGCAATCGCCTTGCTTGTCAGAGGTGAGACACAGAATGTCCTAGCCGTTGACCTCGAAGCCCAATTGGCGTGGAGTGTAGATTCTTGTCTCGATCAAGAGAAGCCTCAGGTTGAGGATGTCGTCATGGCAACTCTGCTGGTGAGCCATTGCACCGCTCTTCAAACACATTGACACCACTAACGAAAGGGAATCTTCCGCTCCGATGCAGTCAGTCTATTTAGATCTCAAGCAAAGACCCGTCAAGGCATGGCGAATGTCTGGTGTCGCCGCTAGATTGTGTCTCGAGCTCGGTCTACATCGAGAAAAGTTCTTTGAAGATGTCAAGGCGCTTCCACAGCGAATTATCGACTGGAAGCGCCTCTTTGCTTGTGTGTATCGCATAGACAGAAAGTGCAGCTTCTATTCCGGTCTGCCGTGGACACTCCATGACAGAGACCTCGATGCCTCTGTACTTAGGATAGTATGGCTCTCTATCAGCACATTCCGGTCGCTTACAGCTGACATCTCTTGGTCCAGGAACCACAAGGATCTTATCTATCAACCATGATCTCTTTGGACAGTAACCTCTCCGAGATATGGACTCTCGTCAACGCTCCGTCATCGCAGACAAAGAATAACGCTGAACGGATTGAATTCCTCACCTTTCAATTACAGAAACTCGTTGACAAAATACCAACAGAGGACTTTGTGTCTCCAGAGCCAACCGTAATCCCACCAGCATGGTTACAGACTGGACTGAAACACTTCTGCCACCTCCGCGTGCACCACATCAGAATCCTCACACAGATCGGCGCCTTCGGTTCACTGCGGGATCTTATCTCCCTACCAGCATCAGCCAAATCTCTCTTGACGGCTGCTGCGAAGTCGGTCGACCTACATTCCAGAATGGCGGATGCTGGTGAAATCAGCCCATTCTTGTTGCCGACGGCGGTCAAACTGCTTCTAACCTCTCTATCCATCATGCTCTTCAGTGTCTCACATCGTCCAGAAGAATACGGACCGATGTGTAGCAAGCCCTTTCAAACGGCGATCATTATACTGCATAACTTACAGAACTGTGTCAAAGACCTGGATTCGAAGATCTTTAGCACGTTGGAGGTATTGGAGAAAATTGCTGGAATTAATGAGGCGTCACACTCTAAGACATTGGCGCCCGTGTTCAATCGCAAGGAAAGCACCCGCAACAACGTCTATCAAGGAGAATCCTTTGGTGAAGGGACCTTGTTTGACGAGCTCCCCACGCCAGATTCAGAATTGTTCAGTCTATTAGGAGATGTCGGTATGGCGGCTACTGACATGTTACATTTCGATGATATATTTGGGTAAATCCCGCAGCGAGTTAAAGTTTGGATACCCCTTGCAAGGTTTCTTCCTGTATTTTGTATAATACAATCAAATTTTTTTTTTTTGATTTCATCTACAGAAGATGAAAGATTAAGTGGCTTGGCCATCCCTGGATAATGGGTACAAGATGGTGAGGGTGTAGAAATCCGGAGGTCTGACAGGTCAATCTCAATCCCTGGGGATGGATGGTCTTAGAGATGAAAGTTCATATTGGTCCAACCTGACAATGCCTCGCGAGCCAAGACGGTGGTATAGGTGTAGACTAGAGCGTTTAGCATATTATCCTCTTGACCAGGCTCGCTCAATAACCCGCATCAACAACCAGGTCTGGGAACGGTATGGACCTCGCTTTAACACGATAACTATCTCACCCTCTGCGTTCGACAGCGATCACAGACCCTCCAAACAACAATTTTTGCACGTGAATATATACTCTGGCAAGCCATGGCTGCAGTCTTCGCACTACAAACTTCCTCGATCATGCCAAGCGTATTAGGAGTTCATACATTGCTTATATCCGACATCTTTATACTATCTAAGTGCGACAAGAACTATACGTAGTGTAGTGGTGGAACCCGTGACTGTAGCGTATTATTGGCCTGAGGTGTCGCAAATGCCCCAGGAAGCTTGCATGCAGTCTTCTCCTTCTAGGGATAGCATCCTACCGTCATCAATATGACTACATTTTTCCACAGATTCTTCATTCATGATATAGCTTCAGGACCAGTACTTCAGTCACTTCACGAGACTACTCTCTACGCCTACGGTGGGCATGAGAGTGATTGGTTGTCTTCTCTCCATTGATATCGACCCGTCTGCTGTCAGACTGCCATCTTGCCATCCCCATTTCAGTAGATAATAAAATTTGCCTAATGAAACGCTACGGTACACTCAAATAGGATATCTATATCGGGGAGACTAAAGGGTGGTCCTTTGTTATGGTCATATCTGCAGGTACGTAATTCATTTCTTTTGAACCAAAATTTCACTTCTAGGTACATAGCACTCCGTATTTAGAACTAGCCATTAAGCTGAGGCATCTTTCATATGGAAGCTCTTCAGCTTGGTGAAACCATCATAGCCCCGGGGACCAAGGGTGCAACCCAACCCCGATTGCTTCCAACCGGTCCAAGCAAGATCCTAGACCCTGAGATTAGCTTCGGGATATTCACAATATAAGTGAATCGGGCCTTCTTACCGGAGATGGATAATCACAGCGGTTAATGAACACCGTGCCAGCCTCAAGACGCTCAATCAACTCCTCTCCATGAGCCATATCCTTCGTCCAGACACTGGCGGTCAAACCGTAGTCACTATCATTCATGAGGGCCACGGCTTCATCGTCACTGGATACCTTCATGATAGGCATAACGGGACCAAATGTCTCTTCTTTCATCGTAGCCATCGTGTGGTTGACACCGGTCAACACGACAGGAGCGATAAAGTTTCCTTTCTGTGTCTGGGGGTTGCTGGCCACCTGGAAGCTAACGTTCTCAGGTGTCGAGTTGACGGCTCCCTTGTCCAAAGCATCCTGGACGTGGCCGCTAATGTTCTTCACAGCCTGGGCTGAGATGACCGGGCCAGTAGTTGTGCTTTGGTCGTGGGGATCACCGAGTTTATAACTGCGTTGCATGTTAACATTATTCCCATCGATGCTTATCATACTCACGATTTCAGCTCTTCTTGCACCGCACTAACAAAGGCATCGTAAACCTTCTCGTGCACATACACCCGCTCAATGGAGCAGCAGCTCTGCCCGGAGTTGAAAATAGCTCCATCTACAAGGTTCTCCGCGACATTCTTAACATCGACATCTTCCCGAACATAGGCAGCGTCATTTCCACCAAGCTCGAGATTAACAGGCTTGATATGACGGGCGGTTGCCTCTCTCAATCTGATACCGCCTGCGGTTGAGCCGGTGAAGGAAACAGACTGGATCTGAGGAATTTGCACCACTTGATCGAGAACATCTAGATTTCCAATATGGATGACCTGGAGAACGTGAAGGGGAAGTCCGGCCTCTGTGAAGATCTCCAACATTTGGTTTCCAAATAGTGGGGTCTGAGGCGAAGGTCGGAGGATGACACTGTTACCAGCCAAAAGAGCGGGCACGAGTGCGCTGATCGTAGTCAAGAAGGGGTACTACAAACTAGTTAGCGGTGATTCTACGTACATGCAGGGTATTAATGACTCGCATTCCAAGTGCCTGCAATCAAGACCGGCCCAACGGGAACACGCTTCACCACCCTCCGGAAACCAGCTTCAGGCCGACCAGGCAGATCTGAGAGACTCTCTTCAGCGATTTCCATCAAGTATTCAGCGCGGAGACGCATCGTGTTGATCTCTGCTGCACAGTATCTAATGGGCCGGCCCATTTGGGTGGTAAGGTCTTTAGATAACTCATCGCGGTTCTTTGCGACAATATCCAATGCTCGCTTCACGATGCTCTTTCTATCTTCCAATGAAGAAGTACGCCAAGTTTCAAAGGCTTTCTTTGACTCTGCAGCGACTTGGATGGCTTCTTCAAGTGAAGTGCCAGGTTGGTCAAAGATGACTTCGTGTGTGGAGGGAGAAATGGTACGAATTTGGTTAGACATTGTGAGGATGGGAGTGGGAGAATGGAAGGGGTTGGTGGTGGGTGACGGGTGTGGTGGGCTTTATAGCGCGCGAGGTCGTACCGCGGTCTTGGGTGGTCCCGGGCAGTTGTAGATCCGACTCTTGATCTGTCCGGACCGGGACTTGACTTGATGGCTTATCTCGGGTGTAATAACATTTTTGTATTATGATTTGCTACTTTGTGCCTCCACAATGAACTTCGCCATTGCCTTCGCTATCAATCGCCCATCATGAGGATTCCCCGCACGCGACAACCCATCCTTATATAATCCATCATTGAATAAACCGCTTGCATGCCTCACTTCTAGCAAACTAGACATGATTCCTTCGTGAAACTCAGGATGCCCCTGCACCGACAACACTCGCTGTGGCAAGTAAAGACCCTGGACCCCGCAAATCGGACTTGTCGCAAGGTTGGTGCAGCCAGCCGGGATATCGAAGACAATATCTCGATGCATTTGTTGGATGGACTATATTCATTCGCCGTGTTAGGCCACTACATCACAATGGAATTTATCACGTACCAGTGTGTTCTTTCCAAACAACTTCTTCCCGGTATCGGTCAAATTGAGCTCCTCCACAGAGATCTCCCATCCGATTTCACTTCTTCCCACTTTGGCCCCCAGTGCTCGTGCGAGAATCTGGTGTCCGAAGCAGATGCCAACTACAGGCTTCTTCGCTTCAAACACACTCGTCACGTAGCTCGTGAGACCGACGATCCACTCATCGTCGGCCCAGGCATCATGTTCTAGTAGACCACTCAGCAAGAATCCATGTTTATATTTTCGAAGAGAACTCACTGCTTCCGGTCATGAGCAAGGCATCGTAGTCTCGCAGTTCAGGGAACTGAGGATTGTTTACCACATGGTAACCGCTGAATTCCACATCAATTTCGTCTGATAACTCCAAGTCTTTGAAACCTTGCTTCATCAGAGCTTGGAAGATAGCATGGTAGTCGCCATATTGCTCGAGGACTGGCTGAATTGGGGTGTCACACACGAGAACAGCTACACGAAGACGGTTTGACATTGTGTGTATACAGAATTGTGACTGGAATAATCAGGTAAATTGTGGAATTCTATGAAGTCCAACTTTTGAATGCTGGCCCGATAACGTCACGATAAGCGCGCTACCCCAACTCCACAGCGCGGACCGCGGAGCATCTCGGTCGCGACATTATCCGACGGCCATAACTTCACCGGTGACCCTCTGCCGATGATCACTTGTACGACATGGTGCGCGCTTTCTCTACCGCGGGGATTATCGTTGATCAAAGATGCGCGGGATTAATGACAACCACAAGCTTGACCCGCAGCATCCCCAATGGCCCGCAATTCGCGCAATTGTATAATAGAGCCATGGTGGCAAGCGGGAGATCTGTTTCTCTTCAGTTTTCTTCAATTGATTCTCTACAGTTTTCAAAATGATTACACCCACCATGATTACTGTTGAATCCCTCCCCACTCTTCTCGCCGACGACATCAAGGTCAAGGTCGCCGGCATTGACAGCGATGGTGTCCTCCGTGGCAAGGTCATGGCCAAGGAGAAGTTCCTCGGCATCGCAGAAAAGGGCTTTGGCTTCAGTTCTGCTCTCTTCGGTTGGGATATGCATGATATGATGTGGACAACCGAAGCACGCGTCGCGCCCCCAGAGTCAGGCTATGCGGATTTCCTCGCCATTCCAGACCTGAACTCATTCAGACGTCTGCCATGGGAGGAGAATATTCCATTCTTCCTTGTGCGCTTCCTCAATGATACTGATCCGGTATTGGCCGATGGAAGGAGTATGTTGAGGAGTCTGTGTGATCGGCTTGGAGGGGAGGGAATTCGAGCTCTGGCTGGAGGTGAGATGCACCGTTACTGCATGCAAGTTAGCTTACTCTAACAATCGATAGTTGAACTTGAGTTCATGAACTTCCAGACTCCCTCCGAAGACGGATACGGCAGCGCCGGTTCCAACCACCCCAATCTGGCTTCCTTCCTGGAGAAGAACGCCCCCAGTTCCCTTCGACCCATCACAGCTGGCATGTTCTGCTACAGCTCAACACGCCCTGTTGCCAACAAGAAGTACTTCTATGATATTTTCAACACTGCTGCGCAGATCAATTGCGGCATTGAAGGGTGGCACACTGAGGGCGGGCCCGGTGTGTACGAAGCTGTATGTTACCCTTCCAAAATATAAGAGACTTTTCTGACATTTCACAGGCCCTGAAGGTTTCAGAAATCAGTGAAATGGCCGACAAGGTTGCAATGTTTAAGTCGGTGCTACCAACCCAAGTATTGTTTCTAACCATCACTAACAAGAGACAGACTCCTCACCAAATCATTGGGAATGGATCACGGAGTCACACCCTGCTTCATGGCTAAGCCCATGCATGGCATGCCCGGAAGCTCAGGCCACATTCACATTTCCCTCGCCGACAAAGAGGGTAAGAACCTCTTTGCGCGCGAGACCCCCGAAGCCCACCCTCAATGGTCAGACATTGCCCACCTATCCGACACAGGACGCCATTTCCTCGCCGGACTCCTAGACGCTCTCCCAGATATCATGCCACTCTTTGCCCCTACCGTCAACTCATACAAGCGTCTTGTCGAGAACTACTGGGCACCAGTACACATCAGCTGGGGACTCGAGGACCGAATTGCCTCTATTCGTCTCATCACACCACCAGTCTGCAAGCCCGGTGCCACACGCTTTGAAGTCCGTATCCCTGGTGCGGACTTACATCCTCACTACGCTCTCAGCGTCATCCTCGCAGCTGGCTGGAGGGGCGTGCAGAAGAAGCTTGAGATCAAGGTCCCGCCTATGTCAGCGCGCAAGGCAGGGGACCATCGTCCAGAGCTGCTGCCCAACACTTTGGACAAGGCTTTGGATCGGTTCTCGGCACCTAACAGCATTGCTCGTGAGATTTTGGATTCAGAGTTTGTGGACTTCTTCACTGCTACGAGACAGCATGAGTTGGGTCAGTGGAGGAGGCTGTGACTGATTGGTAAGTTGGACAAATCATGGTGCTTATTGAGGCACTGCTAACTTATTTATAGGGAGATCAAACGGTACATTGAAATAGTTTAAATCTGTACATTATACCACAACCAATGGAATTTTGTCAATCGTGTATGTTCTGGACCTCTTAAGTCTGTAAGAATATTTGGGTTATACGCTTTTCTAGTAACGTCAATGTCCCTACCTAAAAGCTAAGAGCTAGAATAGAGAGATTTGATCTATATATATTTGATCGATTTCACCTAATGGCACTCCTAAAAGACAGCGATAACATCATCAGTTTCCATACGAAGCGACATAGAATGAAGCGCGTTATTATTCAAGGCGCTAGTGCTAGCGACGAGTTACCGCCGTAGGCATTATAGGCGATATGCTAATGACCTTAGCTCGTGTTGTTAATTTCGAAGTGGGTTAAGTTAGAGCATACTTGGCAAATATTGGTCGTCACGATCGTGGGCAAATACTATTTGCGAATATACACATTGTAGTGGTGGAACCCGTGACAGTAGCGTATCAATGGCCTAAGGTGTCGCAAATGCTTTGGGAAGCATACATACAGTCTTTTCTTAGAGATAGCATCATCCTACCTTAATATGACTGCAGCGTTTTACCAGATTCTTCATTCATGATCTAGCTTCAACACTAGTGCAATAGCCACCTATAGAGACTGCTCTCTACGCCTGAGCAGGACATGGGAGTGGTTGGTTGTGCTGTATCTCATTGATATCGACCCGTCTGCTACACCAGACTGCCATCGTGCCGTCCCCATTTCAAGATATAGATGAAAATGATAGAGGAAACATGCATGTGCATTTTGTAGGTTGCAATCGAGATCCAGAGAAGAAAGAGAAGAAAGAAAGGGAAAGTGTGCGTTGGATGAACTGATTATACCAGATAGTCGTGCGCAATGGTCACGAAATACGGCCTCCAAAAAGGATTCGCTTTATTTTGGCCTAAAACATGAATTGAAATTGTCAATCAAGCTACAGAACTTGGCATATTTACCCATCGCAGCACGCTCTACCGGAGTAACCTCGTGCTAGATGACTAAACTCTACAATATCCATATGTGAATAATTGACCAAGTTGCAAAGAGGTTGAAAGCTCCATCCAGAATCTGGCAACGTTCGCAGGGAGCCTAGAAATTGAAGATGCACTCCTATCAAGTGATCAGATCTGTATCCATCTCCATCCATTACCGTGTATCAGTCCACTCATCGAATAGATTCTCAAACTGTGTCTTCTTGTTGTGATATAAGCCTGGTGTAGATCAGGAACCAAGCCCCATCATCGGAGATAATTCCTTCATGATGCAAATGTATACGAAGAACCAAGTTGATTTGAAATCAACTTAAGCCCCACGTTTTACATAGTGTTTTGTGCTCCCTGGAAAGTAAAGGAATAAATAATAATATCCTCCAAACAACAATGCTGAGTCCCCGTTCTCCCTGATGGGGGTGTGTCGTGTCTGCCTGGCTCTTAGAGTGGATGTTCAATTGGCAAGACACTAGGGGTTTTATTAATTTGGTCTCATTGCTTAACCGGCGAGATTGCCTTCGTGTCTATCACAAAAAGCGGGATATGCGCGATCATACTCAGCATCATTTCCGGCGTCATTCTTTTTGTGTTTGCTATTCCGCCCTCATTCGCCAGAGTCGCTATACTCGTCTATGTTGACTTTGCATCCATCATACTCGCTCTGGGATTTACTATCATCGTGACGGGGATACAGAGTTTTCACTCAGTCGATAATGCAGTCGCTACCTGGTCCGCCTGGCCAGAGCAAGGCCTTGGCTTGTCTGATGGCTTTATCGCTGTCAACAACATTGTCTTTGCATACTCATTTGCTGCCGCTCAGCCATCTTTAATGGAAGAAATGCACACCCCAGTCGATTATGTAAAATCGTTGTGACGCTGGGGGCCGTTGAAATTACCATCTACACTGTGACCGGAGGTGTCATTTACTACATAGTTGGAGAAGGAGTGCAATCTCTTGCTCTCTCGTCTGCTGGAGAGCTCTGGTCAAGGATCATTTTGGTATCGCCCTACCTGTGATCTTCAGTTCTGGTTCCATCAACACAACTGTTGTGTGTCGATTCATTCATGGACAATTGTATCGGAACTGTGTCGTCCGATATGTGAATACTACAAAAGGCTGGGTCACATGGACCATATTTGAGACTATCACAACCCTCATTGCTTGGGTCATTGCAGATGTCATTCCCTTTTCTCAGAGCTACTTTCAATTTGTTCGTCCTTGTTTGTTTCCAGTCTTTCTTTCTATTTTCCTGCCTTAATGTGGTTCTTTGCTTGTTAACGAAGGGTCATGGTACTCCCGATGAAATATATGGAAGGCCGCTTTGAATGGGTTCGTTTCACTCCTTGTGTTGGTTATCCTTGGATGTGGTACTTATGCCAGTGTTGTTGAGTTGGTGAGTAACAACGGGGCAATGATGACGTTGAGACTAACATCAATTTTCAGATCAAAAAGTTCGACTCTATGTCTGTCAATAAACCATTCTAATGTCAGCTTGCGTATCAATTAGAGTTAGAGGTGATCGCAGCTTCTTTGACATGGAAGGGGTTTGCTTTCTAGGATTCTTACGACGGGCTGAGACTTACAGGTGGCATTTTGATTCATGACCTGGTAGAGTGGGTATATGTGATTTTCAAGGATAATATAGCGAATCCCATCGGCATGATTCGTCAAGTCAAACTATTAGAGAACCTTGAAGAGTTGCCTTCTACCTTCTATAGATGTTTCCGTTTGTATGATCGGCCGGAATTGAGACATAAGCCAATGTATTTCCAATCATGAGCTGAAGATTGATTACGATTGGAATGACTCAAGTTTTAATGTTCTAACCTACCATAAAACTAGTACATCAGATTGACACTTAGTGCTTTGTATTATCCGGAAGAACAGGAATTTTTGGACAGACAAAAAAAACACTCCTTATTCTAGAGAGGGCGGGTAGCATAGGTGATCTACCAATGAGAGAAAACATCAGTACACGACGGTATTTCGGAAAAGGACGGACTAGGGGGAAAAATGGAAAGACACTACTATGTTACCCAGCTTTGGCCATTATACACCTTCTCATACGGAGTACCATATAAATACCCGGGTTTTGATGAAACAAAGATCGCCCGTATATTTCTCCGATGCGCCGTAACCTCCATCCCCTGTCACTAATACGTATCGGACTTCCACATGCTGTTCGGACATAAATGGACCAGAACCTCTCAATTTGTGCGACGGATCAGGCCTAGGGTAAATATCTGAATCTTATCGCCGAAACCCAGAACGCGTCAACTAATTGCGAGCATTGCCGACACTCTAAAATTAGGGCCACATTAGAAGGACCCCCATGGAAGCTATTCGGACCCCCTCTCCGCCTAATTAAGCCGGCCGCAATAATTGTATTTCCAATGCATGAATTCTTGGCAATGCAGGATGCCCGAGCATCGGCGGTCATGGATCCAATGTACTCACTTCTATTTACTATACAGCCCCCTAGTAAAATTAAGTCACCATCATTCCTCACCCACGACGAACTGGCTTCCTGAACTCAAGGTACTTCCAATTGCTATGTGGACATCTAGTTAAATCAAATATCTACCAGCGACCAATTTCCTAATAAGTCACTAGTCCCAATTAGGAAACCGATACTGATATCACAACTCTGCGGATTTGAAGGAATCCAGCATTTCCGGTTTTCTTTATAAAAAAAAAGCATGAGAAAGTCAAAAGATCGAGACAATTTTGGCGTATTACCTATTTGGCAATATAACCAATGCTTCCTAAGGCTATTTATTGGGCTCTTCGACGCTTCCTAAGCCGATCAGACCAGAAATTCTTACCCTGGACCGTAGATAAAGCTACTCCTAGTGCCTAAGATATCGCCGGCGACGTAGGAATGCTTGCGGGCAACGCCTAGGCTATAGTTTGCGCTCCCTAAGATGCCGATGAAGCTATTCCCCGCCCTAAGAGTGCTAGGAGCATGCTCGGGCGGGCTTAGATAAGCCAAATTTACGAGAGAGTGACTTATTTTTACTAGTGTTTTGCATATTAAATGTAGGTACTCAGATGGTATATTGGGTATGAGTATCCATGAGACCTCCGATGCTCGGGGCATGCATTAGCATTGCCAAGAAATGCATGCATTTTTAGCGATTAATGCATTGGAAATACAATTATTGCGGCCGGCTTAATTAGGTCTAGCAGGTGGAGAGGGTGTCCGAATAGCTTCCATGGGTTCCTTCTAATATGGCCCTTAAATTATGGTGTGATGTGCAACAACCTCGCGACCTTTGAACGCGACGTGGATGCGAGTTTCTCACTTGTTCCGGACTACCTACCGCGAGTATCTCGATTTGTATCTTTAGAAGTAATGCGCACAGGGCACTATAGAGTTTAGACTTAGGCTCCCATGAGTCGCCGACAAGATATGGGAGTGAAATGGCATCCGACCGAACTGTTAGCAATTGCCGGTAAGGGGGAATGCTTAACTAGCGTAAACCGGCTCTAAAAATCGTGAGAAATACTGGGGAGTTAATACTAAGTGAAACCTTAAACGAATGCCCCGCAATGACTTGATAGGAAATGATTTAATTACCTGCCTCATGTCTTCACGCGGTATCGTAATGTTTTCCTATCTCAACACCACTCCATACGGTTCCATACGTTCCTAGCTTGTTACGTTCACGGTCACAAACCCCTGTCACTTTCTGGACAGACCCCGCATAAGAATTTCAAGCTATTTATATGTTCCTTCCCCTTTCTTTCAATAGCAATACCATCCGGCTACCTAACCGTCCAGGTTATAATTCTGATATGGACTGGGAATCCCTCGCAACGAAGAAGAGGAGTGACCTCGAGGCGTCAATTCCTCCAGAATGGCGCATCAAAATTCACCCCGCTGACGGCTCTGTCATGTCATTCCCAAGGACGAGTGGACACCTCACACCGGAAGAACTGGTTATTACTGAATGCTCAGCTACAGAGTTGGTTCAAAATCTAGCTACTGGAAAGCTTACCTCAGTTGCGGTCACCAGGGCGTTTTGCAAGAGAGCCGCGCTGGCGCATCAGTTGGTGAGTCGAGTGCCCTACGAAGTTATGAAAAACAAGAATTGTTGATCCATTACAGACGAATTGCATTCATGAGTTTTTCCCCGATATTGCGCTAGCCAGAGCGCAGTATCTGGATGGTTACTTTGCAGAGCACAAGAAGCCAATCGGGCCATTGCACGGACTGCCCATTTCATTGAAAGACCAACTCCGCGTAAAGGTAAGTCGATCTCTACACCTATCACGGACTACAGCTAATGAGAACAGGGTCTTGACACTACTATGGGTTATGTTTCTTGGATTGGAAAGAAGGATAACGATAATTCTGTCCTTACGACCATGCTTCTCAACGCTGGTGCAGTACTCTACGTCAAGACCTCTGTACCCCAAAGTCTGATGGTGTGCGAGACCGTCAATAACATCCATGGCCGTACCACGAATCCGCGAAACAAGAACTGGTCTTGTGGAGGGAGCTCTGGGGGAGAGGGCGCTATCGTTGCATTGCGTGGCGGTGTGATAGGGGTTGGAACTGACATTGGTGAGTAGATGCAGCTTGAGCCTTCTTCTATGTTTGATAAAAAGCTAAAAAGAACAACCAGGTGGCTCGATACGAGTTCCGGCAGCCTTTAATTTCCTTTACGGTCTCCGACCTAGTCATGGCCGTCTTCCCTACGCTAAGATGGCCAACAGCATGGAAGGACAAGAGACGATCCACAGCGTATGCGGACCACTTGGCCATTCCGTAGCTGACATGCGACTCTTTGTTACATCTGTTCTCTCTCAGGAACCTTGGTCCTACGACTCAAAGGTTATTCCAATGCCGTGGCGACGAGACGAAGAGGAGACTATCAAGACCAAGATATCCTCCAGTGGATTGACTCTAGGTTATTATTCATGTGACGGCAACGTAAATTCTTGTCTATGTTAACGAACTTTTGCAAGGCCGCTTACCCGCTCTAACAGGTTATGCCTCATCCACCGGTTCTACGAGCAGTTCAAACTGTTATCAATAAGCTCAGTGAAGCTGGGCATACAGTTCATCCTTGGGAACCTTACAAGCATGCACATGGTGTTAGCCTTGCCAATCGCATATACGCGTCTGACGGGGGAGCTGTAAGTCTTTTAATATACTTAGGAAATACAGCCACTTATACTACTTAGGATATATTCGGTGTTCTCAAAGCTTCTGGAGAGCCAGCAATCCCGAATATCGCCGATCTAGTGAGCCCAAACCTGCCAAAGATGAACGTCAATGAGCTTTGGGATGTGCAGCTTCAGAAATGGGATTACCAATGCGAATATCTTTCCAAAATCCGTCAATTTGAAAAGGAGCTTGGCAAAGAGCTAGATGCTATCATTGCTCCTATTACGCCTACCGCGGCTATCCGACATAATAAATTCAAGTATTACGGATACGCCAGTGCTATCAACATTCTCGATTTTACTAGCGTCGTGGTGCCAGTCACGTATGCTGACAAGGCTATCGATGTCAAAAACGAGAAGTTGAAGCCGCTGTCAGATATTGATAAGACTGTGCAGGCTGAATGTAAGTAACACGGCTTCTGCAAAATGCAAGACTAACGGCGTAACAGATAACCCGGCAGAGTATCATGGCGCACCGGTGGCAGTGCAGATCATAGGAAGGCGATTGACTGAGGAGAGAGTGATGTGTATCGCCGAAGAAGTAGGGCGTCTACTTGGGAACGAGGTAACACAGTAGAGTGGCAAGGGAGCTAGCGGACATTCTGTGTTTATTATTGCAATACACAACCAAGTATCTTCCTGCTACGATGCGAACGGTACAAAAGGTGATCAAACCCGCAATCCATGCTATATAAGACCACAGATATGAACATGAAAATTCTACAACTAGCCAAACTACTGCATCCATGTAGTGTTACGAAAGGTTTTGCGAATGTATTTTCTTATTGTAGTGGTGGTACCCGTAACAGTACTGTATTATTGGCCTGAGGTGTCGCAAATGCCCCAGGAAGCATGCATGCAGTCTTCTCCTTCTAGAGATAGGAACTTACCATCATCAATATGACTACAGTTTTTCCACCAGATTTTTCCTTCATGATATAGTTTCAAGAACAGTACGATAGCTAACTATTGTTTAAGCGAGTGGAACAGCTAGAACATCACCTTAAATGCGAAATTTGGTGATGACACATATTGACAACTAAACCCTTTCATGATTCAATATGGTGACTAGTATCTTATTGTAGTAAAATTAGATAGCTATGAGACTTTTAATAAAATAAAATAAGAATTGAAGAGATTACGGTAAAATAAGGTGTATTTTTGCATTTTTATATAAAAATATATACATCTCGGCCTTGGAGTCTCTAAATAATCTAAGGCTCCTACAGTATACTTAATTACTTATATATAACATATCCTTAGAGTTAGCCTTCTTATTATCCCACGAGTGTGGAACTTAGACATTGTAATTTATCACCTTTAAGGTGGTGTTCTAACTTGGCTGTTCCACTCGCTTACATGTTCCACTCGCTTACACAATACGTTACCCCCTGAGACTGCTCTCCACGCCTGAGCTAGCCATGGGAGTGGTTGGTCGTCTTCTCTCCATTGATATCGACCCATCTGCTATGTCAGACTGCCATCGTGCCATCCCCATTTCAATATATATATATTGTTGCTGTAGCCTGAATATCACTTCACAAAGATCCGCGGTAAATGAGCACTACTACTACGACGACTACTACTTCAACATCAGCTTTGGCGTTTCCTTTTCACAATAAGTGCTATCCGGCTTCCCAGTGACATTGTTAACCATAGCAGTAAGTAGCCATTTCTTTGAGTTTTCGTTTTTCGTTTTTCGGCTATTTTTCTCTGGGCGTATTCTATCATTTTGAGTAGTGCTAAAACCTAAGACCCCTGACTTCTGGAGAAGGGCGTGGGAGACTTATCGGAGTTACAGCAATGTTTTCATATGCAAGAGCTGCAGTCAAACGAATAAATCGCTAACGCTTAAGTCTTGTTTCTCATAAGCTCCTGTCTTTCTGATACATTGCGGGCCATTTCCTTGCCAAGTGCAGTGTCCAAGCTCTCAAACCCCGCAATAACGCCTTCGCGGTCATTTTCAGGCATTTCCTGACTCATTTTGAACTTGCCCCCGAGACTGGTAATGTCGACCTGAATGCCAATGATGTTTTTCTGCAGTAAAGCGATGTACCGATCAGGGGCATCGGATACTTTCCAAGGTCCCTGTTTCTCCACACCATCGTATCCCATCACTGATGTCTCTGCATGCTGGGAGAGATCATGGATCTGTCGAGACAGGTATTCCGTAGATGCGACCCCATTGTCGAAGAAGATGGTGGCCTTGCCGTACGCTTGTACGGCAGAATAGTTCCATGTCGGCACAACTTTGCCTGTCGCTGGCTTCGTTTCAGTATAGAACTTAGGCGTCACATAGTGATGAGCGTGTGCCGTGAACAGAACCAGCACCTCATTATCAAGTTGCACGCCACCTTGAGCCCCATCAGGCATGGCGCACTTGGCAGACTCTATCATGGCTTTCGCCTGGGGATTCTGTCTGGCCATGTGCCCCCGAAGGACACCAAGCTCAGATTCACTCGACTCGTCGGTCACATCCATAACCCATGGGATATGGCTCGTTTGAAGGAATGGATAGCCTGACGACGCGATTGCAGTAGTCACAGTGCCAAGCGGATTATTTTTGATGAAGTTGCGAAGGGTAGGTATGTGCGAATCCGCATGAATCGCTCGTAGGTACATCGTGACTTGATGAGTATACGCTGGAGTATCGACAGAATAGCCAGCCGTAACTTTTGTCTTTGTATTTGAATGGAGTATACTGACTGATTTCAATGAACAAGGATGTAAGAAAACCTCGTCAAGTCAGGAGGGGAAAGAGGAGCGCGAGGCCTTTGTCAAGGCCCGATCAATGCCAGGAAAGGGATGAGTAATATAATTAATCCATGAGTCAAGGTTCCGGAGCAGGGGTGAATATTTCCGAACGATACAAAGATTTTAACAAATCTCCGATGTACATCGGGGTTACATGGGAACCGTAATTTTGGGTGGTTGGATGGTTGATGCGAGCCTAACCTTATGTATTATATCCGACGCGTGTCCATACAGAATTGCATGCGAGAGTTACTACGGGTTTGCTAGAGCGGGAGTAGGCGAAGATGTGGAATTCATTTGCCCACAGGAGGACCGAACTGATACTTCGGTCATGAAGTAGACTCCACTACTGCCTGTGCAGTCTTGTCATAATCGTACTACTTCTCTTCGGGAATAATCTCGACTTTTCTCCGTGTAGGGACTACAGTTACGTAAAGGGAGATTTGAGTTCCCAGTTTGATAGTAGTCGTCGGATTTAAGTCATTTCCTTCGGATGTGATGTAGAGAAGAAATTTGCAGCACCTTTGAGTATATATGTCCACGAGTTGCCATGGACATTTCTGTGCACCCCCGTTCTGCCCGCAAATACGAAACATTCTATTTGCGCAGCTCCCATCGAACCTCTCACAAAGAAAATGTCTTTATCAATGGAGGATCTGGAAGCCACATTTTCATTGGCTACGAATGCCATTCATATGGATGATCGCTATGCTGGGCCTGATGTTGCGCCGGCCATGCACCCTAGCACAACATTCCGATACCCCTACAATCCAGAAGAGCTTGAGCCCCGGAGAACTCTATCTGTAAGCCATCGGTTGAGTCCGCTGCAAGACGATCGGAGTTTGAATGTTGCTAATCTGTTATACACATTGTAGAAGACCGACATGATCTATGCCAGACTTGCCCGCCCCACGGGATCTCGACTCGAGCACATCCTGACAAAGCTCCTTAAAGGAAACTCCTTGGTTTACGCGACCGGACTTTCCGCCATACATGCCTATCTCGTTCGGCTTGGGCCCAAGAAAGTTGCAATTGGTGGAGGCTACCATGGGACTCATGCTGTGCTCGACATACACCATCGTCTGACCGGTACCCTCAAAGTAGGACTGGACCAGTTGGATAAACTCGAGCCTGGAGACGTTATACATCTTGAAACTCCCTTGAACCCAACCGGTGAAGCGCGGAACATTGCTGCTTACGCGAAAATCGCCAAAGAGAAGGGTCTCTATCTCGTGGTTGACTCCACATTTGGGCCACCAGCTTTGCAAGACCCTTTTCTGTGGGGTGCCGATATCGTCATCCATAGTGGCACCAAGTATATCGGTGGACACAGTGACATCATGTGCGGTATATTGGCTATACAGCGAGAAGATCTCTTTATAGGTCTTTGGGAGGACCGTTGCGCGCTAGGCAGTGTTCTCGGCGGGTTCGAATCTTGGCTCGGCCTTCGAAGCTTGCGTACTCTGGATATCCGCTGCAGAAGGCAGAGCGAAAATTGCACCGCCCTTGTTGCATGGATGACCGACAGGATAAAAGACACCAAGGTGAACGAAGTCAATTCAACTGTGCAAAAAATTACACATGCCAGTCTTCAATGCTCCGATATGAACTGGCTTCAAAAGCAAATGCCTAACGGGTTTGGCCCGGTTTTCGGCCTAGTCATGAAAAGTGAGAAGTATGCGCAGTGGCTCCCGAGTAAACTCCGCATATTCCAACACGCAACCAGCCTTGGGGGCGTGGAAAGCTTGATTGAATGGAGAAAGATGTCGGATCATTCCGCCGAGGGCGACGTTCTCCGAGTCAGCGTGGGTATTGAAACACTGGAGGATCTTCAGAAAGACATTTCAAACGGATTCAATGCTATAATGGAAATGCGACAGTGAATTGACTTTCCTGGTTGCTGGTACGGCGAGGAAGGCCATACTTGCATCGAAGCCGAGCGGGGATACCATGCTATCTGTTCGAAAGTAGTCAAATTACTCTTGCCAAAGCTTTCTTATCGCTTAACTTTCTTTACTGGGCTTCCAATTTCTTGCTCCAGTAGTGCCCTCTTTTTTTGTTTTTTTGTTTTTTTCCTCTTCTTTTTTTTTTGCTGAGAGTTATCCTGATCTGGCCTTACCTATAGAAGCGTCTGAGCTGCTGGTGCCAGTATAGTGGCTACATCTGCAGTGTGTACATCTTTTATAACCAGAACAACGCCTTTACATCGCGGTAGTCCTACTTCTTCCGTGCTCGCTCATCAATATGAGAATGTTGAAAAATTCCGTGAAGTAAGGAGTATATGATCTAGCATTTATGTAACAACTTCTTGTGTATGAGTCCTCCGCCGACCTCTTGAATGTCTCAACAGCAAACTCGTCGGAAACCTCACTTCCTGTCGATATTAACCGCGTAATTGCTGTTCTTGCGGATCCTCGGTCCATATATGTACAGCAAATATGGCACACAGGTCAGAACTGCACTGATAGACCCGAGTATCGTGAGTGTATACTGTACTCCAATAGACTGATAAATCGGACCACCAGCAATAGTCACCCCGCCCGCGACCACATATCGCGTGAACACAAGAAACCCTAGTGCGGAAGCCGAGTATGTATCGTAGGAATCGATGAGATACATGTAAGAAACGATGAAGATAGTTGTAATGCCGAAGCCAAAGAGGACGGTCGCGACGAGAGGAGACCATATCGAGATTGCCGGCTGTATCATAATGAGAAAAGAAAGTTAGTCTTCCACATATTCACTTGATATACAGAAGACTTACGTTGCTAGTCCATCCCATCCAGAATAGACTGACTGGCACTGCTGGTGCCCCACCGAGCATTGCATACCAGAGTCTCATCTCAGGGTCAACTGCAGAGGCTTCGCCTCGAACGTAAGCCTTCGCTGTCCAACTGTACACTACTGGCACCACGCAGCCCACAAGCAAGGTGCCAATTAGCATACCAGTCCAGCACAGACTAGTCAGGCCCTCGGAGATGCCGTATGTTTGGCCAAAGACAAAAGTATAGCCCTCTAGGAACGTGAACAGGACGATGTAGATAATCGTCAAGTAGAGCGAGATCAGGATGATTATCAGCTCAGAGTAGAACATAGCAAACGGCCGGTGCACCGAGAGCTTCAGACGCTGCCCTAGACTCTCGCAATTCATCTCCGTGGGGGCTCTGTATCTCTCATCTCCCGTCTCTTTTCGAAGTATCGAGGCTTTCCAATAGAGAATAAGATCGCCGTAGGTCTCTGGCTGAAACAGGAGAACCAGAACCAGAACTATACCTCCCATTATAAGCATTATCCATTCTAGCCAGCGCCAGCCTAATTTTACTGGAATGTAGCTTCCAATCATCTGACCGACCATCGGCCCTGAGAATGCTGGTATAGCGTAGATAGGAAAGGCGTAGGCCTTCTCTACCGGATTCCATAGATCTGCGACCGTGCCACCGGCGCAGCTTAGTGGGGTAGAAGCGAAAAATCCGGCGAGAAAGCGAAAAATGAGGTGACCGTGGAGGTTTGGTGCGAATCCCGACGCCATAATGAAGACCAAAAAGATGAGCATGGTTGTTAGATATACCGCATTGCGTCCAAAGGTCTCCGAGAATGGGCCGGAGAACAGGGAGCCGAACGCAAATCCGATAAGGAAAAGGCCTAAATAACAGTCCAAAAGATACAGCTTGAGTCTTTTCTGAGCTTGAAGGGATGGAGGGGTGATAGCAGAAAGCAGAAAAAAGTCGACATACCTGTTGCGAGAGATCCCACGAGTTCAGATACTTGGAAATACTCACTGTATTCCCTGACACCACATGCATCGATTGCAGATGCTGCAGTGACAGACAGCGCAATCAAAGAAACCATGACAGTCATGAAAAGTTTTCGTCCTGTACTTTGATTTGCTGGATTCAAAGGATCACTTTGCCCTTCCCAGCCGACGAGAATCAATTCATCTGTAACTGTTGATTTCGTGAAAGATTGCTTTTCCGGGGTGCCATGATGAAATTTCAGTTCACATCTATTGTAAGTTGTGTCAGACAATTCAGGACCAGAACTCTTTCGCCAACACTTACTTCGTGTTATGAGGAGATCCAACAGTGTAGCTTGGGCAGCTGCAAGCACTTCTTAGCTCAGACACTTGTTGTTGAACTGCTTGTCGAACTCTCTGGTACTGAAGATAAGCCTCCATCACAGGCAAGACAATGAAGACAAGGTGAGGGGAAGAGGTATAGAGGTATATAATATGATTAAGCGTTGGCTTAGACGATTGAGGTATTCAAGGAAAAGCTGAAAGCTGACAAACTCAAGTTATGTAGTCGTTACCTACATTACAAATTGCAAGTTCATATTGAGGCATCGGAGATCAACGGCCCCTGGTAACATTTCCGATAACCTGAATCCCGAGGTTAACTCCGACGTTAATCCGATCTGCTATTCCCCGATGGTGACTAATTATCCAGACACTTGCACTGCTAAATCATGATGTCGCTGTCTAGTACTTTTTGGAAATTGTGATGGCGAATATATATTACAAAACTTTATATAAACCTGTGGATGTGCGCTCGCTTCCTTCAGCTTGTATATTCTTTTATATCCGTCTGTGGTTAATCCAACATAGCGATGCCGTTTCATATCAAAATTGTTTTGAATGATGAACACCCAAAGGCAGAAAATGATGCACTTCCTTTCGTCTTCAATATAGCCCTGTGTGGCTCTGTCGTGTTTCGTGGTAGCGGACCGTTTGACGGATACTTCAAACTGTTCCTGGAAGGTTTTTCTCCCATTAGCCTTACCACTTTTCCCAAATGCTAATCTACAGGGGATTTGATGAACCAAATATGTCTCGAGTCCGAAAATACGTATACGCTGAAAGTGAACGGTCAACGGGTTAGTGGGAATTAGCTATCAGCTATTGACCAAGTAAAGTCTAACAACATGTCTCCGATAAGTTGCTCCATTTGGCTCAAGAGTGCAGACTTCCTGAGATGGGAACTTCGTCCGCTATCCAAGATATCTCAATCCCGTTTAATTTCAAAATACCCGACCAGATTCTCCCACCTTATAATTCCGAAATGTCGGCATTCGACACCCCTCCTTCGATTTGCATTAGTCTCTATAGAGGATTCGACTCTCATCCCATCGTGTACGCACATTGCTATGTCTCCTATCGAATTCGATGCCAGACGATCATAGATGACAGAGTTGTTGGCGAGGTAGTGCAGCCATTCAAACTCTATCGGATCTCAGACGTCGGCCCTCCTCTTTGTGCTAATGATTTTCCTGGCGAATATCTTCTTTCGGACCAAAGAGCATTGTCTTCGTTTCTAAAGGTCAAACGACACTTCCATCTCATGATGAAGGCACGGGAGCCTAAGCCAATTCTCATAAGCAAGGCCCATCCATCGACCACGATCGATATTCACTCGAGACTGCTCAGGTACAAAGATGCTTATCCAGATGTCATCCCAATACCTGTCTCAGGCCAAATTTCCATTGTCATCAAGTCCGAAACTATTTTTTCCGTCACTCCTTGCTCCCAAGTACCAACCTCGCTAGAAGCTACCAACTCGGTTGATATGGTGAAGTCCTCGGCGGTTCACCTTCAATGCAAAAAGAGGTTAACATTATCAGAGTTTTCTCCTGTCGAAAATAGTGTTCCAGGTAATTGAAGCTACAAATACCCTGCATGTGGAGGCCTGGAGGTTGAAGTCCGTGTGCTAATCCCACTTCTCCAAGAACCCCATAGAAACCGCAGCGAGGGGTTTTACTGGGAGTGTGACACGAAACTTGTCATTGATTGCTCCAATATGGGACTTACTCCGCCTACTTTTGCCTCGCCGTGGGCATATCGAAGGTACGCGGTCCATTTGGCCTTTGCCCTTGATAAATACCCGAGACAAGGGTTAAATTTACGGATTCCCGTGCAAGTGAATTATTCAACGTGAAGATTATTGATAAAACCGGGAGTGAGTCCGCAGTGCACTAGAACACTATCCAAGTAGACTGGAAACCATTTAAATGATTTTGTAGTATAACGGCTATCAGATTGCCAAACCAATTGCATTGTATTGTATCTCGGCCAAGAAGTAAAATCAAGCAGGGATCGCTATCATGTCTTCCGAACCCTAAAAAGCAGCAGGACATTCTCCGATTGCTCGGGTATCGGCGGTAGATTTCTCCGACCTTCGACGCTAACCTTTCGGAACTCGATCTTCCTCCTGTCATCTCCGAACAACAACATTTTCCGTGACGGACCATGTATTTACAACCAATTTCAAATAATTGAACCAATCGGGGCCGTAGTGATTCAATATTCCTGTTTACTCACGTTGACGTAGAAATGACGTGAACGACATATGATCTTACCACGGCTCTTGCGGTCATGCTATATAAATGTTTCCCTCGCATACTTGACCTTGCTATTGCCATATTCTTTTGGACTTCGAAACGCCGTAGCACTCAACATTTTTATTTTCAGAAGAAATGGCTGCCACTATTACTCGGGGTCTGGAGAAGGCCCAGCAAGCGTCTCAGTCTGCGTCCTCTAAGAACAAAAAGACGGTTGATCTTTCTCATGACACTGTCGACGCTCATACCAGCAAGCCACAGACAACGGATCATGGCGTTCGCATAGAGAATCCCGACAACTGGCTCAAGGTTGCATCTGACCGCAAGACTGGCCCATCTTTGCTGGAGGATCAAATCGCAAGGGAGAAGGCAAATTTAGCCTCCTAATACCAGGTTCAGCTTTCTGACAGGGGTTGTAGATCCACCGTTTTGACCATGAGCGAATTCCTGAGCGCGTCGTCCATGCTCGTGGAACTGGTGCATTTGGCAACTTCATACTCTATGAAAGTGCCGAGGACGTAAGCCATGCTGGTATTCTTACTGACACATCCCGTAATACCCCAGTCTTCATTCGCTTTTCGACAGTGCAGGGCAGCAGAGGCAGCGCGGACACCGTGAGAGACGTGAGAGGCTTCGCCGTCAAGTTCTACACCGATGAGGGAAACTGGGACATCGTTGGAAATAACATACCTGTGTTTTTCATCCAGGATTCGATCAAGTTCCCAGACTTTGGTATGTTTCTCTTGACAGATGTATTAGAGGTAAGCTAACATGGCGAACAGTGCATGCCGTCAAACCTGAGCCACATAACGAAGTTCCGCAGGCTCAGACTGCGCATAACAATTTCTGGGATTTTGTCTATCTTCACCCTGAGGCAACCCATATGTTTATGTGGGCTATGTCCGATAGAGCGATCCCTCGTTCATATCGCATGATGCAAGGATTTGGTGTCAATACCTATACATTGGTCAACAAGGACGGTAAACGCCATTTTGTGAAATTCCACTTTATACCCAAACTCGGGGTGCACTCTCTTGTCTGGGATGAAGCCCTGAAGCTTGCAGGCCAGGATCCTGATTTCCATCGCAAGGATCTGATGGAAGCCATTGCTAATGGCGCGTACCCCCAGTGGGACTTTGCTATTCAAACTATTCCTGAGGAAAAGGAGCACGATTTTGACTTCGATATTCTTGATGCGACCAAGGTTTGGCCGGAGGAGCTCGTCCCTCTTCGACGTATTGGAAAACTTGAGCTTAATAAGAATGTGGATGAGTTTTTCCCGCAAACTGAACAGGTCGCGTTTTGCACTAGTCATATCGTCCCTGGTATTGATTTTTCGGACGATCCATTGCTGCAAGGCCGGAACTTTTCCTACTTTGACACTCAAATCAGTCGGCTGGGCATCAATTGGGAAGAGCTACCAATCAACCGACCTGTCTGCCCTGTGATGAACTTCAATCGCGACGGTGCAATGCGTCACCGAATCAGCAAGGGTCCTGTCAACTACTGGCCAAATAGGTTCGAGGCGCTACCTCCAGCCAAGGCAGAAGAGGGTGCATTCACCTCATACACTGAGAAGATATCAGGTTTCAAAAAGCGTGCGCTCAGCGAGAAGTTCCGCGACCATCATACCCAAGCGCAAATGTTCTACAACTCGATGTCTGAGCACGAAAAGGCACACATCATGAAGGCCTTAACTTTTGAACTTGACCACTGTGATGACCCTGTTGTATACGAACGTCTCGCCGGGACTAGGCTTTCCGAGATTGACCTGAAACTTGCCCAGCAAGTCGCTGAGCTAGTCGGGGCTCCTATTCCTGACAGACAACTCATGCCAAATCCTGGCAACCGCGCCAAGGGTCTGTCACAAACCGAATTTCTGCCAGAAAAGCCTACTATTGAGAGTCGTCGCATTGCTATACTCATTGGTGACGGCTTCGATCAAGTTGCTTTTACGGGTATGAAGATGGCTATCAAGGCCGCAGGAGCACTGCCATTTGTGATCGGCACCAAGCGATCTCCGATTTATGCTCAGGGGCAGTCTTCTGAGAACTCAGATGGTGTGATTGCAGACCATATGTATGATGGCCAGCGCTCAACAATGTTTGATGCTACCTTTATCCCGGGTGGGTCCCATATCACCACTCTATTGAAGAACGGCCAACTCCGGTTCTGGGTTGTGGAAAGCTTCGGGCATCTCAAAGCCATTGGAGCTACTGGCGAGGCTTGCGATTTCGTTAAGCGCGTGTTGGGTAATACTTTGGATGTTAGGCTCGCATCTCCTGCCTCAGCAGAACCTGTTGAATGGTACGGAGTTGTTACTGCTGGCATGCCAAAGCCAGAGAGCTTCAAGGAGGGCTTCCAAATCGCCAAGGCGGCAAAGGACTTCGTGAGCCAATTCTTCTACCAAGTTTCTCGGCACCGGAACTACCAGCGTGAACTGGACGGCCTTAGTTCGGCGTTGGACTGGTAAATGGGCAGATTGGTCGAAAAAGTGCGGGACATGAAAAAGTGCGGGACATGGTCGTTGAACATCGTATCCCAGTTACTGATTGCGTTCTAGTGTTCTAGTCTATTTGAGTCAATTTATTTTTATTTTTTTCAAACCAGATAAACATATTAAAACTTTAAGACACGGCTTTAATTGCCATAAATAATTTGCACAGGGGTTCGCTCCCATCACGTACGCCTGATAGGACCACAGCCACTCCCAAAATCAGCTTAACCAGTACATACTGAATACCTCTTATCTGGTGTCCCATCGCCATGGCTTTAGCGCGGATAATCATTGAGCAAACCGCGTTAATAAAAGGTGATGGGCAAGAGGAAAATGCTTCAGTAAGGTTCTTTATATTCTGCCAAGTGTAATTAGATTCTACTCTTCAACTCTTGGTCAGTTGATGTTAAGATTCACTGTACTATATGGCCGCATGACACAGATGGCATATACTGCGGCCCTCAGCTTGATGCGCCTTGCTCCATTAATTATCTGCGCTAACCTTGGCGGCATGGCCAGGGTAGAGTTACTCTGTATGTATCGGTCAAGCCGATTTCGGGAACTATAGAACAACAAAGATGATGTTAGGACGACGTATATGGGACATCCCAAGCTCACACCCTCCCATATGCCTCACAGTAATCCTCTTATATAAGTAAACTTCGCTTATAGCCTGGTACTTGCAGGGTAAATCATCACGATTCCAGAAACAACGTTCATCTTGAAGGTCGCCATCAAGCGTTTAATATTTGAGGGCCTACTATGGAGGTATTCTGACGTTAATCCACCTGAATCCGGAGTTCTTCTGCATATACATTTTCGCTGTAAAATTAGATAACCGCATCCTGATCTGCACTTTCCGCTCATATTCTTCCTCCCACCCGGGTCTTCGGCATCAAGTGAGCCTCATCTCCAGGCAGACTGGACTATTTCTGCTGGATCTAAGCTCTGAGAAAACCAATGGGGTCTTTATGGGTTGGGTCTTCGTATCCAAAGAAGACTTGGTCGTTTTGATCTTTTGTGAACGTAATTTTATGCTCGCCTATTACATCTTCCCAGTCCTAAGGAAATGAAGAATATGGTTTTCTCCGATACTCGGGCTTAAGCCGTCAATTCGAGTTGTATCGCGGCGAAAACGGCGATCGGGAATATGTATCTCCGAATCACTCCCTCCTTGCTTCAAGTCCCCTCCGAACAACTGCCGCGTCGGACTTCAGAATCGGAAATTGTGTCCTTTCATATGGGAATGATTTATAACACTCCGGCACAAACTGGGCCCATGGCGCAAGTCTCAGGCTCTCGTCGTCGAAAGCGTAAAACCGTGAATTGCGAGGAATGCCGACGCTCTAAATTACGATGCGATCGCCAGCATCCGTGTGGCGCTTGCAAGCGTCGCCGACGCGATGCCAGCTGCTCCTACGAGGTTTCCACAGATGTACCTTCACCAGCCAACACTCACAGAACAGCCGCTACTGCTCAAGCGTCAACTGTGTTTGGCAATAGAGTAGGATCGCCATGTACGCCATCGAGACAAAACCTTGCCAGAGCTTCAGCATCACAACAGGGGCTGCAGGTATCTGAAACGGATCAATTGCCTCTGGATACGCACTGGGAAACCGTGCTTGAAAGACCTGCCCCAGAATCCGATGCTTACGACGCTTCATCACCTCTTTCAATTGGCCTGCGTATGTCTCTCCAAGAAATCATTGAATCTCTTCCGCCTAAACCCTGTTGCGACTATTTGGTTTCACACTTTTTTAAAAACATATCCACTTTGTTCCCTATTCTCCACGGGCCGACATTCCAAAAACAATATACTAGATTCATGCAACGACCTCCTGACATCGACATACCTTGGCTGGCCTTGCTTTTCTCTATGTGCTCTCTGGCTTTAAACACTATGGATGAAAGCGATCCTAGGCTGGCACGTTACTTGTCTCAACTGCCTTCGAGCCCTGCGCAAGTTCCTGCTACGGTTTATGTGTCTCGTCGCCTTCTCCGAACCGCAATGACGTGTCTGTTAAAGGACAATTTTTTTGTCAACCACAAATTCAGCACATTCGAGGCTTTGTTAATGGTGATTTACAATCTTTCCCACAATGAGTCTGTCGACCAAGGGTGGGCCTTGTTAGGGATGGCATTGAATATTGGCATTGCATTGCGGTGTAATGTGGATCAGAACCTAAGCCCCATTGAGACAGAAAGACGGCGACGCTGTTGGGCTGGACTCTTAACATTACATACGTATCAGGGCATGCTATTTCGGGATGTTGATATGTCATATCTTCTCAACATCAAGTCCTCCTTACCTGCCAATGTCAATGATTCTGATATCACAGACGAAGGCAAATTACATCCGTCTAGTCGAGGCGAGCCTACGCAAATGTCGGTCATGTTGGACAAGGTTCGGCTTTTCCGGCTTTCTACTGAGATCTGTCGTCATATATCGGGCCCTTCGCGACTGGATCAACATTTACTGCATGAAATCGATACAGCGATAGCCCAGGAACAAAAACAATGGGACTTTACATATATGGTGGACGGCTCGCCAAGCATTTTGGATTCTACTAGCTACGCATATTGGTGCGTTTTGCAGACTTACGCACATCATCTCTACCTTCTTTTACACCGACCTTTCCACCATTCTAGATCATCTTTGTTTCTTCCGACATCCAGAGAAAGATGTATCAGCTCTAGTAAAGCCTTGATATCCATTCACAGGGAGCTGTACGAAGCTCCACTACTCCGAAATTATCTCTGGTTACTCAGTGGGGTGACAAGTCTGAAAGCACTCCACGCTGCTGTGGCCCTCAATTCGTGTCTTCAAGATGTATCATCGGTAATTGACTCAACATACGACTTGGACTCTTTGCGGGAGGAGATTGAAAACATGGTCATCCGTATGAAAGACCTTTCAGGCCGCAGTAATATTTGCTCCAGAGCGTATCGGATCCTCCGCCATTTGCAGTAGGTTACGCGCTAATACCTTGCCAATTCTCAACTAATTGAAAATCTACTCTAGGAGCCAGACAGGCACGAGAGATACCCCCGCAGGGAGCGTGGGGACTCAAGAGACTCAATTTGAGACTTTATTCGATGAATGGACTGACATACGGGAATGGATGGATACGGATCTCATCAATTGGGTAGGAGGAGTACGTTCCCAATTTCTGGGCTACCTGCTAACTTTTACAGAATTTGGATGGAGCTTTCAACGTCTTTGCTCCCTGATGAATTCTCACGCGAGGATGATGTGTAGCGGAGCCGTGTCGTACGAGCTTATTCCGATAGAAAGCCTTGCGGGTGGGTCAAAGCTTCTCAGTGGTTTTTGTGATAAAGAAACATCAATGGAGCACTTGGCTTCAATCGATTTTGACACCTTCCTCATTTTGAAAATGGAAATAGGTCCTTGGAAGTTGCCTGTATTAGATCTCCCTTCTCTTATTTCTTCGACTCCCAATCACAAAGCCGAATCCAGAGTTAGTTGCGTCAAATTCCCCTAATTTGAACGTTATTGCTCTCTTTTCGCGCAACTGAGTTTTCTTTTAGAGTACCATTGTACAAACTTCAACTCGGAGGTCCACAATTGGCAAGAGAGCGCAATTAGCAAGAACCCAGTAGTATATAGAAAAAAAAAAAAAAAAAAAAAAAAAAAATGGGGGTTTTACTTAATTATTACGCGAGAACAGTGTGTCTAAAAGAAATACCAAGTATACCGAAGCCAATAAAGCATACTAACATTGCGCTAGATAATGACCGTAAGTGGAACCAACCATCCTCATAGTAGGTACAAGACGTTTCTTGGGTCTCAAAATATTTAGATGTGACTATAAGTAAAAGACAAAAGAGAAGTCCAGTCAAGCCCCGTCGTAGTGGTTTAAGCTATCTATCATTTCAACCCGCCAGCAAGCAGAATACTTTGTCCAGTCATATAACCAGTCTTGCAGAGCATCGTTATCACATTAGCACATTCCTGCGGTGTGCCTAACCGACCCACTGGAATGTTGGACACATCTCCAGGTGTCCCTTTTAGGGATTTGGCGTCTGGGATCATTCCGGTATCACCAATCATCGCCGGTGCCACATCATTAACCGTGACCCCATCGTGAGCCAGTTTAGTGGCTAAGTTCTTCATCATGCCAGTGAGACCAGCCTTGCTAGCAGCGTAATGACAACCATTTATTCCGCCCCCAATTCCCGCAATCGATGACATAAAGATGATTCTTCCCCACTGTTGAGAGACCATGTATGGGACAGCGAGCTTAGACAGCAGGAAGGAGGACAAAAGATTCACTTGTATCATCTTTTGAAATTCTTCGAGCGAGATGTCGACAATGTTTGAAATTCGTTTGCCGTAGCCTGCGTTTGAAATCAGGATATCCGGTCCAGACTGCTCGTGAAGCGATTGAATTTGTTCATAAAGGGTTGCAATATCATCCGCATTGCTGACATCCACTCTATGAGACGTGACCCGACGGGATGAGTCCTGTGTTTTCAGCTCGTCAATCAGGGCTTCGACGGCTGATTTATTTGTGGAATATGTCAATGCTAGATGCGCCCCATGAGTGAACAGATCACGGGCGCAAGCTGCTCCAATGCTTTTGGCAAGTTGTCAGTGACGAGCATCATATGAATTAACGAGAACATTACCCTCCTGAGGCACCCGTAATCAAGACAAGTCTTCCATTGAGGTCGTTGTTGAGAACCATGTCTGCTTTACTTGTCCCAGATGTGAAACGAAGACAGGGAAGTAAACTGAATAAGTATCGTTTTGTGTGGCCAGCTTCGGCACCTTCGGGAAATGCGGCCACTCTATGGAAGCTTTTCCTAATCCTTTTCTAAGCTATCCACCAATCATTGCCATTGTCAGCATGGGATTTGCCGTCTGTCCATTTCCCAACGCCGGTTCCCTAAAAACAAAGCTAAATTGCGTGTGACGGCTAATGCAATGACCAATCGGCATCTCATGGAGTGACTTCTTGCCGGCTCGACTAATATCATACAAGTATTCTGCAATAGAACCTATCACCATAATTTAAATTCCGTGTGCGCGGAGACATGGTTCTAATGCCGATAAACTTCAGAAAAATACCCTCCCCCTTCCTTCAACAAATCGTCTATTGACTCAGCTTGAGTGTCAAAGCGTCAAAAGCGATGATTCATGCCGAAAACACAAAAAACACAATTTGTCGGCAAACGAAGAAAATGCTTAAAACTATTTGTACAGGCCAATCCGCTTCTAAAATTTTGAGTTTTAGCCCACGATTCTCCAACTCAATGGATTTCTCTATCGAGCACAAATACACAAGAGCCGGGCCGTGTGAACAAAGAAGTGTTGTCTAACTATACAAAGCCACCACCCTCTCCCAATAGTAGCCGTATGGTCTTCCGAAATCCACGTCGGGTGTCTCAGTCATGGAAAGAATATTCTAGATGTGGTTATTGACTTGCTGCACGAAGCTGTGTTCAAAAAGGAGTCTCCTTGGCCGTAATCAGCATTATGTTTTCTTCCTTGAACAACAAGCGTTAGGCATGAATGCACTATTCGGCACCAGTTGCCCTAGACACACAGTTTGATTTTCGCAGCTACGCTAAGTATACATAACGCGTTTGGAGTCTCTATTTTTCCATTTTATTCTCCCATATTTGAACTCTATTGCGCCAATAACGTTAACGGTTATTGGGTGGACGAGTAGGAGTGGAGACTTTGTTCAAGTGTCAACTGGACAATTCCGGAGATAACAACGGCCGATAGCAAAAAAAGACTTTGATTTGGATGGTGTGCCGTTGAATATAGAACGGGAAAATTAACGCAAGCTGTGTACATAAATTGACCCATATTACGTCCTCAGCTGAAAAGATTAACCTCGCTTAGGAACAACATTATTCTCGCCACTGAGATGATTTTTTTTGTGCTATATTCATTTAGGGCCGCATTAGAAGGACCTCCAAGAAAGCTATTCGAATCCTTCTCCGTTTATCTAACCGTAATAGCTAAGGCGTAGTAATTGTATTTCCCGCGCATTATTTGGTAAATTGCATGCATTTCTTGGCAATGCTAATGCACCGAGGACTGCCCCTAATGTACATTTCCAGTACTTGCCTTTACTATGTAAACAACAACTAGTAAATATAAGTCGCATTATCGTATATCCGGCTCATGTCTCATGGTCTACCAGCGACCAGAGAAAACATTTACTGTTTCAGCTGCTGAAATATTTTATCTCGTGTTTTGGGAAGAAATTGTTTTGGCTCAACTCAACATAAAAGTGGCACAAAGGGATTAGTAGTGCGCCATTATATTCAGCGGAATGCATTTTTCAATGGGTTATAAATATGGCTTTGTAGGTTTTACGATTCAAAGTGCTTGGGCTTCGCTAGATAATGGTTCACCATCTCAACGAGAATGTATGTATAGGCTACCAATCAGCTTCCTCCTGGTACTTATGTCAGGATTATTATCACGCCAGCTTGGCTCGCCGCAAGATTCTTCTCTACGTGTACCCTTAGGATGCAGATATATATTAACGATCCGAGGCCATACGCGCTTTTTTCGTATGTTTGAGAGGCGTCAAAACGGTATATAAATCTATGAAAATTGTGTTTGTAGAACTGAAGTATATTTGCTTACCGCACGACGCTTAACGCCATTAACCTCTTCTGGCCAGATATATCTCGACCCGATCTTGGGCACTGGGGTTAATGCATCATGATACTTTCACTTGAACTCCGTTTCTTTCATATATGTGAAATGACACGTTAATCTTTGAGTTGGTATGGCTTGTAGTTCGCTATCCATTGTGTATGAAGGCCACTCCTATGGCAGCTCCGTAGCTCTAGACGATCATGATCCGATTCCCTTAGTTGTTCATGACCTTCGACAGCCGAAGGGTTCGCGTGTATCACTGTGAGTAGACTATTGAGCACTATAAATTCCATGTTCAACTTGATGCTGTAAGCTACCGGTTTGTATGTTGTCTGGATGTCAAAGTTGTTGATGTACTCAATAGCGAGAAGGGTTGCATTCAACAGTAGCTTATGTAATTACAATAGACCCATAAATAGTGAGAAATAGGGGGTAAATGAAATACAGAGTTATTGATATCTCGAAATGGCCGGATACAGCAAAAAGTGGTGACAAGAGAGGCTAGCATCAGGCAGCTTGGTCGCCAGCTTGATGTATTTTGGCTTGGCCTGTTTGCCGGGAACCTTCAATACACAAATTGTGCATCTGATATGGAAGGCAATAATAAGACGAACTGACTGCATAGACAAGTAACATAAAGCCATTCCGAACTTTGAACACGAAAAATTGAAGCCTACCGTCAAGTACTCAAGGTGATCGCGAGTACATAAGAACAGAGTCCTGTTATCCTCATGTGACGGGTACATACTGTACATTGTAAGCTAAGCAACTTCTTTCACCGCCATTTCATCGTACTCCACCACAGGCTTCGCAGTGAACAATTCCATTGCCACATGCTCGTCTTCACCTGCGAAGAGTCGGTCAACATCTTCAAGCTGAAGGCCTAGTCTTTTGTTAGCATTGGTCCAGAAATCATAACACATTTTCTGACCTTTGGTCTCTGGAAAGAAGAGATAGATTATGGGGACCCAGAGAGTATTCAATACAGCGAAGATAATGTAGGTTTTCCAGCCGATATTGCTGATTGCTGGTGGCGTTATCTGTACAATAAGATAATTGCAAATCCAATTGGCGGCTGTACTTATTGACGATCCACGTTGCCGTAGCCGTAAAGGTAGGATTTCCGATGGATAGACCTGGAAGAACTGGTTAGCCAGAACAGTTACTCCGTCTGATGTAAACTTACCCAAACAGTTGCTTGAAAACCAATAGTGAACGCCCCCTGGAATATGAAAAGCATTGCTGCTGCTGCAATGCCACTCTGGTGAGCGATGGCCGTACTATTCTGAACCTGGTAAATGAGAGCCGTCTGCGCAACCATCACAGCGGCCATGACTGAAACCATTGACAACAATAGTGGACGTCGACCGATGCGATCAATCAGAAACCATGGAATAAAGGAGGCGACAAAGAACCATGTTTGTAGAAAGCCCGACATCAAGCTAGACATATGCGCTGAAAACCCGACAGACTTCTCAAACAATGTCCCAGAGTAGTAAATGATGGCGTTGATTCCGCCTAGTTGCTGGAATATCTGAATGGCACATGCAATAAAGAATCGCTTCTGACTCTGGATCTTATCATT